GGTCAAAACCCGGTACCGGTGAACATCAAAATAGGTGGCAAATGGATGTTCATCCACCACAAAATGGAGCCATAGGTTATGCGCCATGGCCAAATGGCAGTGGGTCATCCACCGTTGGGGTGTTGTGTTTTGGGGGTGGTTTTTCTTTTTTCCGTGTTTCCTTTGCGGTTTCGTTGGCCAAAGATCGAAGAATTCACCATGATCGAACAATTCGGTGGTTTTCTTTTGCGCCATGCAGGTGGATACCAACTCAATAGTGCCAAGGTCCTAAGGTAAGGGAACAAACATGGCTGTGGGTCAAGACTAGGTACTAAATGGAACCAAGGACTAAAATCTGCGGTCCCCTGGAGGTTCAATTTGGGTTGTCTCTAAAGGGCATTCACAATAAAGTAAAATGTTGAGTCCATAGGCCACGGGATGGATCGCTCCCTTGTGTTTCAATTGCGCTTTTGGGATAGTGCTAAAATGAAAGCCAGAAAAGAACCACAACTTTTTCAGGGTTCCCTATTTTAAGACACACTAAAACTCGATAGCAAGAACCAGGGTGAATTATAACGACCTCACACAACCGAATTCACCCCAAATGTTGGGAACATGTGGGGAATAGGTTCCCAAGCACCGCAAGTTTCAGGTTGGTGAAGTATTATAATTCACCCAGAACCATTCTCACAGATTCAGCTGGATGGTTTGAAAGCCTTGCCGACTGGCTTGGCCTTGTCTCATTTGGCTCAAGGCTTGCTGCAAGTCTTTTTCTGAGCTTCTGACCCTCCAAGGTCCGTTTTCTTGGGTGGCCGTGAGGGGACTTGATAAGGGCTCACAGGCTCCACTGAGAACGCGGTTTTGATGATTTTGATAGGTGCTTCAGTACATCCTCAAGGTATTTGGCTGTGTTTTCTGTGGAGGCTTGGTACCCATTTTTGGGCTTTAATGGGAAATCAAATGTAGCAAATTCCAAGAACCCCCCAAACAAACTGATAAAATCTATTTAATTGACACCATCAGGTTTGGGGAGTTTTCCGGCTTTTGAGACAAAACTATTTGGACCCTCACTCTCGGCGGGCTACCGAGGCTGGGCTTTGCAAAGACCACGGCGCGACTGGTGAGGCTGATGGCCTATCCCATGTGAACTGCACGTCTTCTTGCCTCACCTGACATGTATTTCCCGTTTTTGTGCGATCTAAATTCATCACCTGTTGGGCTCATTGACCCCCGTACACATCAACATGGACTCCCGCAAAACGGCGAAACAGGGGTCCAACTCCCAAACAAACCATTCCTCTGAAGATGGTGGGTTTCGGAGTCCCGGGACCTTGCTTTTGTGGTGGTGTTCAATGGGGGAACCCCTAGGGAGCCCTGTCACCTCGGGGTTTTTGCCAGCTCGCCCATGAGGGTCCATGTGAGGTTGTTGGATTGTGCCTGGAGTCTCCATGAGCCGTTAAAAATGGGTAATGACCCTATTTGTTCAGAGTCAGAAGAGGTCTCCAGTCTGCACGGGTCCAAGTCCATCGTCACCTTCCATTTGGCTAAGAATATGTTGTTCTTCTTCCTGGCTAATTTTAATGGAAACCTATCACTACTGGATATATATTTGTTCTTTTTCCCTGGGGGACTTAAGCAACTGAAGGTCACAAGGCAGCCTTAGGATTTGACGCAAACTGCAGTGAAGTGAACATGTTTGACCCAAAGTGTCCAGCTTAAATGTCTGACTGGAAGTGCGAAAGACGGCAAAGTTGTTGATGCAAAGAACCAGTGAGGCGAGACCATCACTATCAGTTTACTCCTCTAACCGTGGCTCAACATGGTTTAGAGTCTGTCAGAACCCCATTATATTTGTTGCACAGCCCTCATAGTACCATACCCGAAAAAAAAACCAAACCGCCCCTACGGCCAAGTTTGGTTTGTGGAGAGCAAACCAGGTGCAGTGAATGGGAAGGTTTGCTCTGCTTTTTTTTTGGGGGCGTGTCTTTTTGTAGGGACCCCCCAAAAAAACGGGTGGTTTTTTCCCTTTGGTTTCCCTGGAAAGCCACCAAACAGGTACCTGAACCCTGAAACTAACCTCAAGAAGCCGAATTCGCCCACCATAATTTTGGGGGCACTCACCCATTTGTAAGAAACATGCTGAGGCCTGCGCCACTCTTTGAGGGTGGCAGGTACCCTCCAAACAAAGACTCGGTTGCCCAAAGCGAATCTTAACCTTTTGGTTTTCCAGTTTTGGTCCATTTTTAGTCCCAAAAGGTTAACCTCTTATTTCTGGATCCTTTGGGCAAGTGAGAAAAGACACACCCTTGTCTCCGATGAACCCATCGGGTCAGACGGCGTTTCGACCTTTCGAGTCTGAGCCAAAGCGCTGGGCTCAAGAATGTGTCGCTCAGCTTTGACGCTCACAGGGTTGTTGTTGGGAAACATGTTTCCCGATTTTTGATCTTATTGTGGTTTGGTGATTGAAATCCAACCACTTGACGGCGAATTGCTTTTCAGTTTTTGCTCCCCTTACGTCGACCAAGCTCATGGGTTCCCCTGAAAAGTGGTGGGTGGACTTGGATCCCCGCCGAATTTTGAGGCCCGCCAAATCAAATCCCGGATTAGATTAGAATTCAGTCCTTCATGGGTATGTGGGTTTGTCTTAGAATAGGCTGGCCCCATGTACACATCTATATATATATATACATATTGATTTCAGTTTTGTTTTTTTTCATTATGAAGCCACCCCCCAAGCGGCAGGGGGGGACACTCCCCCCTTGGCTGACTGTGATAGCCCAAAAAACGGTCAACACAACATCCCCTGATAGGGGAGCCCCCCAAAATGGTAGGTTTCCCTTTGTTTTTTCTTTGGTACCCACCAAAATGGGGTTCCCTTAAATCAAGACACACCAATGTGTCAAAAAGAACCCGGGAATGGGCACAGAAAATGCTGCGTTCCTTTTGGAGTCCCCTTGATCCCACCTTAAGGCGCTTGCATGTTCGGCCAATGGTTGGCGTTGGCCTGGGTACAGCCCGGCAAATAACAACGTCAACTCCGCGTGAGCTGATGACCAGCGTGTACCTCATTATGTTGCGGCAACGTGTGGTCGGACACTCAAGTAGGGGTTTTCCCTTTGTTAGCGATACATGGCTCCGGTCACATTGAACCATCTTAGCTGCTTCTAAGGGTTCCGGCATGCTGAGTTTGAGATGTATCCTTAAGACTCCTATTGGATGTAGATAGAGTACATCCCTTTTGCGGCACCAAGGGACCCTTGGATGTAGGTGTGCGCGCAGATTTGGCCGATATTACTTTCGGGCAGGATGAGTATTGACCGTGGCTCGTTTACCCGTTTACTGTTCAAAACTCAGACGAATACGATCTGCATGGTGTCTTCGGCTGGAGCGACCCATCGCTTTGGTGCGTTTTGCGCTGCCATCGGCAGTCCGTGCTTTTTCTCACCCTCTTCGTTTGCACCAAAAGCACCACGCAGACAAAGAGAAGAGTGCTTTCGTATTTGTGCGAGTTGCTGCGCAGCTGAATGTCAATCATTAAATGTGCAGAACCCGTACTATACTCACAAGTGGTTCCTCCTTGAATTAGTAAGAATTTGTTCATTTCAATGGATTTTGGTGCTCCGCCCGGAAATCGGAAGTTAGAATTGGGGACCACCAAAAGAGCTTGTACACCTTTTCATTCTGCTTGAACGCATTTGAAAGGGAGTCCTGCCAATTTGAGAAGCCCCCCCCCCCTCCAGACATCAGCATTTGATGCTTCAATCGAGTGTGGAAGTGATCGAAGCTGCATTTGATGCACCCGCCTTGACTTGTCCGGCTGGCCGACTTTCTCATTGCTGCTTTGCCATTGTGGTTATGGCCACCCATTCTCAGGTTGGTTTAAAGGGAAACCAACCAGAAACTCTCCCCGCCCCCCACCCCCTTTTCCCGGCTGAGACAATTTGCAAACTTGCCTTTAATTTTCAGGGTTTGTCAGAAGTGAGTGACTATTGGGGAAACCATGGTCACTCCGGGGCCGAACGGAATATTGATCAACCACTTGAAGGTAAACGGGCTGGTGATTGGATTTGGCCGTAAAAGCCCAAGAATACGTTTGTAGGTTCCAACCCAATCGCGTTCAAGCATGCCAACAATAACTGGGCTGCCTTCAGACCCCCTCGCTAAAATTCGAAAACTACCACTAAACACTGAGATCCAAAAAGCTAAGTTGAACCAGATGGCTGGGCTCGACAAGATAAAATCGGCCAGCTCAAGTGGCCCGAACCCAAAACCGAACCCGAGCCACCCGGCTCGAAACACCAAACCCGCAGCCGAAGGATTCTTTCTGGGTTTATTTTGAGTCACAAGAATTCACCAAACTCACAAAACAAGCGTGTTTTTCTTTAGGGGACCGCCCCCCCCCCCCCACCGCGTTGGTCTTCATTAGAGTTTGCCTTGAAAACCACAAATTTCGGAGTATCCTCACAAAAAAAGACACCCCGAGAGTGCAGCTTTCCCCCCTGGTTTGAGTTCCGAGCTCTCCCGCCAGAGTCGAAAAAGCATAAACTGTTCTCTCCAGTTGTTCTTTCCCCGCAACGAAACTCAACCCTTACGACCGGGTTGAAAAGCCACCATGTCTGCACTTGGCAGTTCCGCCCACCTTAGGTGCGCAGAAGGGTGTTTCTCCAAGTGGTTTTCTAAATTGGTGTTCTTTTGGTTTCGCTTTGTTTACCAACCAAAAGGGGCTCCGAATCCCATTTTGAGAGCCACCTACTTAAAGGGGCAGGTCACATAAGTGGTTAGAAAGGCTGGTTATAACCCACTGAACGGAGACTTATCACCATAGTTTCTGCGGGTTACAACCAGCCTGACTAGAGTCTCCATGACCCTTGAAAAATGGTTAGTCATTACCCAAATGGGGGTCATTGCCCCATTTTTGATTCGGGTCAGAAGGAGACTCCAGACAGCCTTCCTCACCACTTCCGCGAGCTGCGTCGACGCAACGACTCGACCGCCCCTTCGTGACGTAGCTCTTGATGCCGAGCGTTTTGGGTGCAGGGCGAGCGGGCCCCGTCATGTGCCGGTCATGAAAATTGGGCACGATGGCACCTCGGCGAGAAGAACTGGGGACGGCGACCCTTGGAAAAGGGTGGCGCTTTTTTTTTTTCTCACTTCCCGAGTTCATGGATGTTTCAAACACGTTTTGGGGCTTGGACCATTTGGGTGGTAAACAAAAAGGTTAGACACTTTTGTTTCGCCAATCTGCTCAGGAAGTGAGTTCTAAGGGAAGCTTCCATTCGCTTGAGAGTCTTGTTTGGTTCCTCTTGTTGGTTTCAAGAGGAGTCTATCATTACTGAACATAGTTTTTCCAAAGGACTTGAGCAAATGGAGGGAAGCCAAACGGAAACCAAAGCCCATTTTGGGCGTCCCTCATTTTAAGTCATGTGCACCTCTTGGAGTCAACCTCCCAATTTCCCCCCAAGGAGGATGCGCTGCAGAGCAAAAGCCCAGAAATGTCCTTGTCGGCAGATGCATTTACCTGGTAGATGCATTTACCTGGTAGACAACCAAGGAACCACCCCTTTAAAGATGAAAAGGCGAATGGCAGAAGGAGAAACCTACTACTGTGCATGGACGAAATCCGTTTCGCACCACCTAAGAAGCCATGGTTGAAATCATAACGTTGGTTGGTATTTCCGTTGCGCATTCCGTTGGGTTTCTCAGCTGGAGCGAAATGGATTTCGCAATCATCCACAGTATGAGGTTGCCTGGGATCCACTAGGCTTCTCAGACCACTGGGCTAGTTGGAAGCGTCTTTGGTCGTTTTCAACCGGACAGAGTTGGAAAGGCATGAGGGCTTACCCTGGGCTTGTCAGACCACTGGGCTAGTTGGAAGCACCTTTGTCTTTCAAAAGGACAGACCGACTGCATGAGACACATTGGAAGTTCCGATCCGAAGATCTTGGGCTAGACTACATATATGATAGTCTTTCCTACAGAGTTGTTGTCTTTCCGGCAGATGTTTTGTGTTATTTTAGGGTAGTTACACAGTATGAAACAACATTTGAGCATACTGTTTCTTCGCGGCTTTTTTCTTGGGTCTAGTGGCTCTGCTGTTGATGGACCTTCCACACCTCTGCTGCTAGACCTTTTAACTTGAGACAATCTTTTCATGTGGGAATCTTTAACAAAGAATCCTGAGAGAGGTCGAACACGAGCTTTGCTTGACCAAAAAATTGAGCGTTCTTCGGAGGGGTTTTTCCAAAACTTCGGTTCAGGGGTCCGGGGTGTGTGGTCCTTTGTGTGTAGCTCTGCCTCTAGGACAAAGAGCGTAGGCTAGCAGTATGATGGCTTTGCCACATGCAACATGTGCGAGCTGCAGCGGATGATACGCCCACATATCATTGTAGATACACGCATACAATATGCATAGTGTAAATGTACAATTATCATTACGTATATGTTTTTTGCCAATGCATCTGTATATATATATACATACACCTGGACCCCCCAGGCGGGAAAAAAACTGAACCCCCCAGGCGTGAATTCAAAATATGTGATTCCAAAGAGAAAAACACCGGAGCCATCTATTTTGTGTATATATATATATATACCAGTGCCTTTTGTTTTGGCTGTATCCATCCCGAATCGCCGGTGGCTTTGACATGCAGCCCAGGCTATCAGAAGGTGCCACTGCACGACGTCCAAAGTGACGAAGAGACAGATTGCCGCAGTTGGCCCAGCGACAGCGACTTGACCGCACTGCCAAGGTCATGGGGGCTGGGGGGGAGGGACGGGGGGGGAGGTCATGGGGGCTGGGGGGGGGGAGGGCCCCCAAATTTGGGGCTTATTAGGGGATTAAGGGCTTATTTTGGCTCTCTTCCCCCACCCCCACCCTCACCCCCAGCCCCCATGACAAGGGCTTCCCCTTGATCTTCGATTCGCGGGAAGTGGAAAGGCCACCTGTGTTTTCAACCCACGAATATCATGCGGGAAGGGGCAGGGAGGGGGGGGGGAGGGAGCCCGTTATTAAGCCCTTAATATCGGGGGCTCCACGATAATGGCAAGGCTAAATCCACAGGACGGGGGACTTGTAAGCGGATAACCTAGGTTACTGCTGACTAACATGGTTGAACACCCCAGCAGAAAAGTCATGCCTTGCCTCGCAGCACCTTACATTCGGGATGCATTGCATCGCCTCAAGCAAGTCAGGCCGCTTGGGCCAAACTCGAACTCAGGTCGTTCATCAATGATTGTGCAACCTGATGTTAGTTTGCAACTTCAGCAAGACTGGACTGGGACACACTGTGTTAGGGTAGAGCAGAGTGATGCTAGCGACTCCACCTATGGATTGCGCGTTGATTGGAGAACACCCCCTCTCATGTTAGCTCAATAAAGCCAAGGGAACTCTTTATTTTTGTGTAGGTCGCCCCCTTTTTGAAGGATAATTAGGATGGCGCATTCTTTCCGCTGTCACGTTTCCCAACCACACACGCCGAGGGGTGGTCAACGTATACTATCTGAAGATATGTGTTCAGTAGCGGACGCCATAGGGCACACGTTTTGGAAAGCACTTCAAAAGCAAAAAGCACAGGAACACCAGAAACGACGCTCGCAGACATGGCCCAACAGTTCCTGAAGAGGATTTGCCAGGCCGAGTTCCACCAGATATGTGGGATCCGGGATGTGAAAGCGACTCCAGTGCTTCCAGTTGCCATACTTAAAGGGTCATTGTACTTAGTAAATGGGTAAGATGCATGGTTACAGACCACTTACCGTAGCCTTGCCCCTTCGAGTATAGTAGAAACCATCATGTGGCACCCGGAGGCAAGGATTCTGGTGACCTATATATACTATAGAGGTAGCTGGAAGCGCTGGGATCGTGTAGGCAGCCAGCTTGCCTGTCCATGGCCTGAGTGTGTAAGCATGGTTTTGTCTTTTTTGAGGGTACACCTTTCAAGGGTTGCTGTTAAGGGAGAGCACATGGAAACTATTTTCAGAAACACTGACAGAGTGTTTAAGCCAAAGGCAACGGCTGAGGACTTTATTTGAGCCCAGAGAACAACATCAGCGATGACCTCATCAGGGTTGAAGAAGAGCCTGAAGAGGAGGACATCATCTCCCCCGCGGACAAGAAGCCGCCGGACTGCACTTCAAGGTTAGGTCCGACATCTCCGATTGATTTGTCTACTTAAAGAGGCGATCGGGTACTTAGTAAGTGGTTGGAATCCCAAGTACCAGTCTTACTAACCACTTTCTAAGCAAGGCGGTACCAGCCCGATTTATTTCCATGTCCCAGAAAACCATTGAGACTTCTGGTAAAACGGGGGGGGGGGGGGTCGTGGTAAGGCTGATGCAGACCTTTACATGACCCAGACATGGGGGCAATGTACCTGGAGTCTCCTTCTGACCCTTGAAAAATGGTTGGTCATTACCCAAAAAAACGGGGTCATTCACCCATTTTAAAATGGTCAGAAGGAGACTCCAGGTATCAATTATATTTGGGGTCGTTTAAGCACCAGGCGACTCCAGGTTGCGGTGGCTTTCACTCCTCCCAACTCCAACTCACTTCCTCAGTTCATGAACTTAAAACTTTTTGGGAAGACCATTTTAGTTGTAAATATAAAGTTTGGACTGTTTTTGGCCATCCACTCAGCAAGCGAGCCAAACCACCCGCAGAAGGGGGTACACTTCATGTGGCTGTGGCCAATTTCTGGGGGTTTTGGGGGTACTGGAAACCATGGAGAGGATGTTCCACCTGCCCCCCCCGGGAAACCTGAGCCATGGGTGGCCAACAATTTGTTGGTTCAAAAATTCCAGTCGAAACAACTGAACGGCTTGGAAGAAGAACAAAGACGCCAGGGTGGAAACTTGGCACAGGGCAGTGCCTTTGGTTTACTTGTCGGGTTGAACCGATTCCGTACCTCGGTCCCCCAGTAGTGCCCTTTTACCCCTTTTTGGGGAGGGTTCCCCTACTAACACAGACTACAGAAAAAGAAGAAGATCGGGTAGCCTTATTCCTCTTACTGGAGGACCCAGGTGAAAAAACTCCCGGGGGTCCTGGGGTCCTTGCTGAGGTCTTGCTTCTACTTCGTAGAGTCTGGGTGGTTCCACTTCCTGGGTGCGCTGGCCGCGCGGCAAAAATCGGGGGGGGGGGGGTTCAGAAACTCATGTCCGGATGGGCCTACTTAAAGGCGCGACCGGGGACTTAGTAAGCGGTGAATGTTGACCCCGAGTCAATTCATTAATAGGGGTGTGTGCCTGGTTTTAGTGGGGAGTCATCACCTTTGGAGGGGAACACCCGCATATTAACAAACCGGGGCCTATTAATCCGGGGTCACTGGGGTAGACTTAGGATACATTTTAATTTTCACCAGTGACTCAACTTGAAGCAAACAACAAATTATACATTCTATAACTGGGCCTAACTCTTCTCACGAACAAACTGGTTGTTCAAGGGGCCCGCAACATGGGACAGGCTTGAAGCGGGGTGTTGCCTGGGTACTTGGATGCCAAGTCTCGGGAAGTGGAAAAAAGGCCACCTGGTTTAGTTATACTCCAAGTGAGTTGAGCGGGGGACTGATAAGCGGGTTGTAACTTAGGCCACCAACTTGCTACCATGGCCAATCGAACACCCAATGGTTGAGAATCTGGGGTCAAATCATAGAAGTTCCTTATTTGACTGTCACAACTTGCCCAGATGCTCCAAATGTCTGCCAATCCAGATATGATCAACTCCAGTTGCCGGTCCAGTTGGCTTTGGGACAGGGAGGCACCAGCAGGGGCAGGGCTCCATGTTTTTTTGACTACCCCAAAGTCGACTTAAACCCAGCGTGGTTGATTTCCCCAAAAGGAAAACTCCTGAGTTAAGGTCTACTTTGGGGTAGTCAAAAACGGACCCCTGTCCCGGGGCCTCTGGAATTTGTTCAGAACAAATGTTCACCGTGGCTTACAGGAGCAGCGCCCCAAATCCCTGGCCATGTTTACAGCCCAGTATCCGGCTTATGTTGTTCCAAAGTGTCAAACATATATCGTTTTTTCCCCAACAGTTGAAAGCTTTGGGGTCCGGGGCGGCCCTGCCAGCAGGGTTCCACCAGGGTTCGTGGAACCTTGCCGCAGGGCTGCTCCGGACCACCCCGGAGCCTATCTGCTTTCAGCTGTTGGGGAACAATTGGAGGGTGTTGCTTGTGAGCCGGAACATTCCTTGAACCTTACACTTGGCTGCACACCAGCCCGACACCTCCGGAGCCAATGTGGCCTGCGCCAGACCACCCCGCCTTGCACCTGGCCGTCACTAGACCACCCCGAACCTCCGGAACCTTCCTTAAACCTTACACCTGGCCTGCACCACCCCGGAACCTCCGGAACCTCCGGAACCTTCCTTGAACCTTACACCTAGCCGTCGCCAGACCACCCCGGAACTGGCCTGCACCAGACCACCCCGGAACCTCCAGAGGTCCAGAACCTTAAGAATGGGTCAATGACCAACCATTTTTCAAGGGTCAGAAGGAGACTCCTACCCTCAAAGACACCCAAGGCTTTTTCGAGTTGAGCCGCGTGATCGACTTTCCGTTCGTTCGCGGAGTTGGATCAATCCGGTTTCCAGAGATTCTTCTTTCCAGAGCACCAGCAAAGTATTTCGGAGTCTCCTTCAAAACTGAGATAGACTTAGGATACATGTTACATTTCACCAGTGACTCAAAGTGAAGCAAACAACAAATTATACATTCTATAACTGGGCCTAACTCTAACGTCTAACCATGTAAAGAAGGGAACATGGCCCCAAATTTGAAATGGAGTTTCCAGGACTGGCTGGGGACCTGGATTCTCAAAGGTCATGGGTGGTTTTCTTCCTTACGCACTTTTGGTGGGTCATTTCGGCAGAAGTTCAAGGGATGGGTCAGTCAGAAGGTCCAGGAAGCGTGGTTCCGGAACGACTTCAAGCAACCCATGCCACAGCTCACCCCACCCACCCCCACCCACCCCCACCCACCCCCACCCACCCCCGCCCACCCCCACCCACCCCCACCCACCCCCACCCACCCCCACTGACCCCCACCCGCACCCACCCCACCCAGCCACCCCTCCAGGTGATTTGTGCCAACACGGTGAGTATCGTGATGGAGGCCGACTCCGAGGAGACAACTCGGGAGCCGAGAGCCTTTCTGGGCGCTGACCTGGGAAGAAAGACTCACCGAGAAGTTCGGGGATTCGGAGAAAAAAACGGATGCCCCGTGTTTTGCTCACTCCCTCGTGCCGTTTCGGACTGGGGGTTTGGTGGCCATTTTAGTGGTAGACAACCAGTTTGGACAGAAATTGTCTTGGCCACTCCACGCGGGAAGTGAGTACAAGCACGGCCCAAGGAAACCAATGTACGTAGCTGACGACAATCCTGAACGGTAAACAATGATTACGCGACCCCCCAAAGCGATTTCTACAGAGAGTGTGCCAGAATCTATTTCTATGTTTTTTTTTTTGTTCCCCAGATAGCTGAAAGCTATAGGGGTTCTAACTTCTAATAAAGAGTGGAAAGTGATTTGCGAGATTGAGGGCCGGGTGCTAGGGGGCATGCAGTTTGGGGTGCTGGTGGATGCTGCTTTCCAAGCTTGACGGCCGGGTGTTAGGGGGCATGCAATTTGGGGGTGCTGGTGGATGCTGCTTTGCGAGCTTGACGGCCGAGTGCTAAGGGGCATGCAGTTTGGGGTGCTGGTGGATGCTGCTTTGCGAGCTTGACGGCCGGGTGCTAAGGGGCATGCAGTTTGGGGTGCTGGTGGATGCTGCTTTGCGAGCTTGACGGCCGGGTGCTAGGGGGCATGCAGTTTGGGGTGCTGGTGGAGGGGCACGCAGTTTGGGGTGCTGGTGGATGCTGTTCGCGCGCGAACGGTTCGTGGCTGGTGTATCGTCATGATGTTCCCAACCTTGTCATGATACAACTGGGGTCACTGCGATGCTGCGTTATTGTTTGTGGTTGTAGTGGCGCCGTGATGCTGTCAACATCAGGATGATGCTGATACGCTGTCGCAAGATGGTTCGTGGCTGTATCATCATGATGCTGCCTTTACCATCAGCATGATGCTGTTTGCATCACCATGATGCTGTCCGCATCATGATGATGGTGTCCGCGTCATCATGATGCTGTCGAACTCATCAGAACTGTATCAGCATGATGCTCTCAACATCATCAGTATGCTGCTGAACTCATTAGGACGTTGTATGCGCGTTTGTAGCGCACCATGCTCAGTGGCTGTGGTATCATCATGGTGCTGTCTACATCATCATGATAATGCTGCGTCATGGTTCGTAGCCGTGGTGTGCTATCTGGGGTCTATGCTGGTGTACTTTTTTTTTTTTTTTTACGTATACTGAGCCAGAATCAAAACTGATCGGTATTAAACTCGTCTCCCCAGAACCATGCTTCAGTTGTTCTTCCTTTGGCCAGTCAGAATGTGAAGAGCAGAGCAGTCCCGGCTTTCGAGGGAACTCCTTTCCACGAACGGGGGCCTTTCTAGTAGGTTCTGACAAACACAGCGGAGTTGAGTGAGTGTCCCACGTTCAATTCGGGGGAACAGGATTGGTTGATTTGGGAGGGACATGATATCACTCACTCAAAAGCCCACAAAATTCAGGGACAAGCCAATGTCTACGTCGGATCAATCCGGAGGACAGTACCAATCAGGGGGGGTTCCCTTTCTGGTAAGGACATGATCCATTTTAGGAGATCCCCTGACTTGGGTCCGCGATTATTCCAAAGTTAAGTGTCCCATGATCTTCCTAGAGTCTCCCTAAGGACCCTTAAAAAATGGTTGGTCACTACCTAAAATAATGGTTGGTCATGGACCTATTTTTAAAGGGTCATGGAGACTCCAGGTTGGGGAAGTATTGATTATTGTTTGTCATTGGCTTTCAGGATAGCCGCAATGGATTCCCTGCAAGCGAAGCTTCCACCGCCTTTGAATAGGAGCTGGTGAAGAAACTGCTCCTCGGATGATGGTTGGGCTTCATTTTAAGTTCTGCCATGAACCAGACGATTGTGTGTAGTGGGAAGTGGGTTTTTTAGGATGGTTTCAGAATTCCCTGCAAAATGATAATCAAGTCACGGGAATGACTGATGTTGGTATTACGAAGGTTGGTGCTTCGCGCAATGCAAGGCTCCCAGTCCTGGGCCCCTTGCTACGTGAGGATGTACCTTTGAAAGGCCAATCAAGTACCAAGTGCGTCATAGAGCGAGACACGTCTACGCGGCTTTGCTTGTTAGCAGCCTCTGGGTTTTCCTTGTTACACTCCGTCCCTTGGCACTTTGTGTGGCGTAGCACTAAATAATGCAATAGTTGTTCTTTTCTTTTTTTTTCTGGACCGTACTAAACGGAAGCGGTTTCCTTTTTTTATTTTAGGAACTGTTATCTACTTTTTGGGGCGGGGTTTCCCTGAATACTGAAAGGGGCGATCGGGTACGCAGTAAGTAGTTAGTAAGACTGTAACCCACAAAAGCCATGTATCCAGGTTTACCAACCACTTACATGACGTACCCGATCGCCCCTTTAAGTAGGGTCCTCCAGATGTTCATCCGAAATATCCTCAGAAGGTCAACCCCGGCCGGCCTTTCGAAGGTCGTTCAAATGTGGGTTTCCCCAGTTGCATCAGATGGTCCAGATGGCAAATGGGTTCCCGCCTATGGCCGTAAAAAGGATCCCCAGGTGTTTTTGCCGTTCAGGGCAGTGGTTGCAACTAGGATAAAATTGAAATGTGTGATTTGTAGATTTTACTTGTGAAGCACACCGGCTGAGGGAACAAGGGTTGCCTTTTGGTTGCACTTGGGCATACTCAATGATGTTTTGTGCTGCCCCTGAAACCAGGGTAAATGACTTCAATACTCCTGTGTTTCCAGCTGCCACTACATCAGTGTTTCTTACATCACGGTTTCACTTAGTTTCCTTCGCTGTCAACGTCAGGTAGGTTGGTTATAAGCACCACTACGTGGAGGTTCAATCAACTTTATAACAAGATTATAAGGGCACCACCCCCAGCCGTAGTTTATCACCACGGTACCTGACGCCAACGTCAAGGAACATGCCATATGCCGGTTCCAGGCGTCCCTCCAGTGCCCAGTTGTCCTTCTTGGAGGTGGGCCCCTTCAAAAATGTCAACCATAAGCGCCCAGGTTGTGTCCGACCTCAGCTGTGCAACACCCCGGAACTTTTTGGATGCCTCCCAAGCTGCCCTAATCGACTCCAACTTTCAGCGGTTGGGGAAAAACGTTTGTTATCTTGCTCTTGGCGGTTCCCAGCCGTCCCCCTAGGCCTTTTTTTGTTGGTTTAGCGGGGGTTTCCAACAACCCCGCAAGTTAAGCTTTTAGCAGGGGCTCTGAATGCAGACAACCCAGTTTTGAGAAACCACCACAGAATGCCTATCGTAAGGCATGACCTTCTACTTAGGTATTAGGAAGCTCCAACATAGGTGGCTCGTTTTTTTTTTTTTTTTTTCCGTTTTTTTTCAGGGGTCCCTGGAGGTCTGAAGGTGGCGAAAAACCTTTGGCTACTGGGTGGTTTCCTTACATGTGTTAGTAGGGACTGAAGGGAGACTGAGAACCATGGCTTTTGTGGGTTATCTCACCATGGCTATGACAACCACTTACCTGACGTACCGATTCGATCGCCCGCTTAAGTAGCTCCAACAGCAGCCAACAGGAAGCTCCAACATAGGTGGCTCGGTTTTTTTTTCGTTTTTTTTCAGGGGTCCCTGGAGGTCTGAAGGTGGCGAAAAACCTTTGGCTACTGCTGAGGTACTGGCTGGACCAAGGTGCCCTGATCTTCTACTGCCTGGAGCTCTTTTGCCGCGCTTGCTTCTGGAAGCACACGACTCAGACGCGTCCGGAGAAGTGGCGAAGGGCGGTCTAATTTTTTTTGAGGCCTTGGAGCCCCCTCCAGGTGTGGAAGCTCCAGATTTCCGGGTGCTTGGCTTCTTTCTTTCTCTTTTTTTGCGGGGGTTTGGACACCCAATTCGGTCTGCCTTTCGGGATCCAACAAAGGTTCCCATGGTACCCTCAAGAAAAGAGGAAGCCGAAGTGGGTTTCGGTTTTCTGTGTTCTCGAACTTCAGCCGCTAAAAGACAGGTACCCTCCAGGTACCCTCCAGGTACCGAACCTCCAAAGAAATCAAGACGCGAGACGTCCCGGCCCCAAACGCGGCCTTTTGCCCTATTCAAGTCAATGACCCAAAGGGCGCCTTGCAAAAAAGCGAAAATGTCCGGATCCCTTGATCTGCTTCGGCGTCGGACAATTCGGGGGTCGCCTTGTGGTTTCAAGCCTTGCCGCGTTGCCCCTCTGTTGCGAGTGCCCTTATTTAGAGACATATGCATCCATTGGGTTGTCTTGTCTTGAGGGTACACTTTTTGGGGTTGGTTTGAAGGAAAACCAACATGACTTCCTTATTTTTTACCCCCCGATTTTTACACCTGCCCACATACCCAAGACTTACCGAAACTACAGGGTCACGTGTCTTCCATGCTTTAGGATAGTGTCGGCTCCAAGCTTCGGAATCTATGCCAATCAGCCTCCCTCGAATTGGTGGTTTGGATTTGCCCTTTATAAGGGGCAGGGCTTTGACCCATAATGGTACTAACGTAGATACAAGTTGTCCTTTGCTTGGGGCAGTGTACTGAGACAGTGGTTGGTAAGCCTGGCTCTAACCCACAAAAGCCATCAGGCTTGCTAACCACTGCCCCTTTAAGTGGGGCTCCAAGTGATTCAAGGTAGAGTTAAACCCAGGATAGACTCAAACCAAGGCAAAACTGCCGGTTCCCCTCCATCAACCCCGGCCTGAGATCTTCAGTCTTTGGGGTGGCCTCTCTGATCGAGGAACCGCCTGTTTTGCGGCACACGGTCCCTGGCGATGTGGAGCATGCTGGACTTTCTGGTGGTGGGCGCTGGGGCAAAGCCCTTAGCCTCCGGAAAGTAGCTTCCCCATGTGAGCCACGTGCTCAAAACCGATTCGGGTAGATGAAGGTTAAGGGACAATCCCCTTGCCATAAATAGCTGCGGATCTCCGCCTTCGGAAGATTCCTTACATGATTCTGGGATTTAGACCATTTGAGTACCGGGTTTTGAGCAAGTGACTCATGTCCGACTTGGTTGGTTCAAAGGGGATAGACAGACAGATAGACAGGCAGACGGACAGATAGCCGGATAGATACCCAGAGAATCCATGTAGGCAAATATGGCATACATTGAAATGTAGCCATTTTTTGGGTACATTGGTACGTAGCCAAAAAATGACGACATTGTCGGAATTTGTCGGAGCTCCCGTCGGACAGTCAAAATATATCCCAAGATTGGCATCGTTTGGAAACGCCCCCGTCGGGACAGTCAAAATCCCGTCCAGAAGTGACCACGTTTGTCAGTCCCAATCACCATCGCACGAGGTCAAATAATCTTTCTTACCAGCCTGCACACTTAGCCGCAAACATACCGCACAGAGCCCCCTTTGCTACACAAGTCTATTTCGTTTGAGCAGTATTCGTTGCAGTGTTGACATAACCACTTCAAAGTATGGATGTTTGGGGAACAATGGGTAGAACATCAAACATGGGTTTGGTTGCGTGTTACCTGCAGTAGCAACCGGTGACTTGCACGGAGCCCATTATTTTTGAACGAGCATGGATACTGCCAGCATACTCTGCGCTTGCAATTCGCGCTGGTGAAATGCAGACTTCGTGTATGTGCACAGACGAGGAGACCATGCAAAATACGAACGAGTTATACGCTTGTATTACGATACGCACCACTTTCTGCACACTTATTGACATCCACTCCGAAATACTCCAATTGTCAACATCGCAATGCAAATCATTGGCACGACGGCGTTTGCCGCTAAAAGTCGGGACTTGTTACCAGAAGCCCTCACTCCCAACCAGAAAGGAAGAAAACCTATCATAAGCGCAAACAGTTATTATCTCCGTCATCTTGCTACGATCCTGATACTTGTGCGGAAGGATGTAAAATACTTGATGTAGTAATTTTACCTATACCCCCGTTTTGCTTGTCCTCTATCAGGAAGCAAGGTAAAATCCCTTATTTTACCCAACAGCTACCAGCGGGGCGCAATTTTCAAAACTACTTCAAACTTGGGATTGCGACAGCTGAGTTTGGGCATGATTTTGGTTGCGCGTAGGCATTCTGTTTGGGACTTAGAAATGCTGGCTCCTTACTGACTGCGAGATGAGGAGTCCAAAGCAAAATATTGGCCACTCAGGCTCCTGCATCTATCCAGCACTCAAACCTGCATTTCTCCAGGAAGAAGGCTTCTTATGCGAAAAGGGTGTTAAAAAGTAATTTGCAAAAACACGGCTCAAATTGGTCAGGCAGATGAAGCAACAACATATTTGTGCACAATGCATACAAATTGAGATTTTTTTTTGTCACGATGTACTGTGTAATGACACAACGTGTTTGTGTGCCTCGTTTCAGGTCATTGTCATTTTCCCAAGATTCAAAATGTTCGAACCATTATGTCTAAACCCGCCCACGTTGGAGGATATACATGCCACGACGAACAGTCACTGTAGCCAATATGTGCCACGCAAGATTCGTTCTCCGACCGGGCTTGGCATGCGATTGCTTGTCGCTACTGATTTTTAAGTGCACCCGGATTTGCCAGGTAGATTTCCTAACTCCTAATTAAGCAAGGGTTCAAGTTTTACCATACAATACCATCATCAGTCTTTTTCAGAGCTCCAAACTGGCCACTCAAGTTTTCTACTCCCTTTCATAAGCAGGCTGCCCAAACTTCCGCTTCGACAAAGTCCCATCACGTGCATTAGGGAATTCCGACTGCAGCTCAGCAAAGTATTCCTCAAATTCTCTCACACCTGAAAACGGCGGGTCCTGGCTAAACTGTGCCCGCGCCACATTTTCCACAAGCCCCAAACAGCTTGCGCATCACTGGCTGCAGCAAATGGCCCAGCAACTCTGGGAGTGATTCCGCGTGATTTGGCGTGATTTGTTGTCGGAACGTAGTCATATTTTTGCTTACGTTGACGGAAAAACGTGATTTCGCGTGATTTGGCGTGATTTATTGCCGGATAGTGCGTGTACTGCTGCCAACGTTCACCAGAAAACTGTGATGTTGATTTCTCTTCGGTTTTGCGTTTTTAGCTTATGCTGGAAGGACATATGTGATTTTCAGGGATTTGGCGTGTGACTTGGCAGGCTGGCCCAAAAAGAGAAGCGTTTGTCGGACCAATAGAGTACCACCCTAGCGCTAATGCTAACCTATAGACCATGAGGGCAAACCAAAGAGGTTAAAGTGTTCGGAGATAAACTGGCAGGGACATACTTAGCAAGGAGACCACAAGAAAAAGAGTTGGCACCACATGTTGGCCGGGCAACGCACATAGACAACTACAAAAAAACACATTCTGGGGGCATTCCGACTATCACACTCTGTTGGGCTTCATCGATCAATCGAGCTCTTGCAAAGCAACATATGGAGCGTCATATCCGTCCAGTCCAGCCTCAATCATTTTCCTCAAGGCCACTTGAGCCCTTCCCAGCACATTTTGACATTCCTGTTTGATATACGTACACAGCAAGCTGACCCTTCTTTGAAGCTGCGAGTTGTTGAATTGCGACTCATCGATGGGAGAAAGGTCTGCGACAGTTGGTAGAGGCTTCGCTAGAGCCTAAACCAGTGCAATTTCGAGCACCCCAATTACGCCGGGAACCGCCAACGCGGCCCCAAAGGGAGTTTCGTCGAAACAGATGATGAAACACTTCAACACAACAAGGGCGCTTTAAGTTGGGCTTGCGCTCTGGACGGGGTTGTGGCAGCGTGGCATTGCTCTAAAACAAAGTTCGTGGTTGGAGGTGTGTTATGGAAAATCAACCCTATACGTCGGCGATGTTTGGTTCGCGAGCAACTTGTCATGACGATCCATCGCCTCTCTGTAAGCGTACTTAATTAAATGTAAGCGTACTTAATTAAATGGTTCCGGCAGGTGCCTCGGGACAGCAAAGGTCGCAACTAACAAATAGCGCATTTAAGATATACGCAGGTACGGTGTCGAATTCGTGCCCGTGTAGACAGCAACGATGCAGCGTCATTTGCTGAAGTCTTCTGTTCGGGGTAGCAACCCCCATCAGTGCAGTGTGTGTGTCGACTTTGTTGGATTGACGGATCTCCTGTTGCGAAGTATTTTGCAAGGAGTTGTTTCCTCCAAGCGTGGCTCTTATGCGTAATATTTTGGCTTTTTGATAGGTTTTGGCCAACCCGCGGTGCCTTGGTGTCACCCTGCGCTGGAAATTTAATGTTGTGACTAAAGAGCTTGAACTATCGAACACGTGCTGCAAGCCAGCCCTTCAACCAGGTAAGCGTTCCAGTCGAAAGTCCTCAGCGAGATCTGCACACTATGCAAGTCAATCGCGCGCTGACAGGTAAGCAACATTTGCCGGCAATGATCGCCGGGGTTGGCTAGAGTCATTTCTGTGCCCTATAGGTTCGTGGCCAGGAATTTGCATGTTTGTTAGTTTGCAATGCGTCACTCCGAGGCTGCCTTTGTCTTTTTCTGCCCTGTGAGTTTGAAGTTGTTGCCCCAACGGACGTAAAAGAGTGGTTGGAAGGCGTCGTCGAACGGAGTTGTCGAAATGGTTGTCGGAAAGTTTGTCGAAACCCTTGTCGGATCTTGTCGGTTTGAATGTCCCGAAAAATTGGCTACATTCAGGTTTATCGGGGCAATATAGAAAGGCATACATACCATGTATGTATATTTATATGTCTAGATATTGATATAGATATGTGTGCTATGTATACGTACGTGTATGTATATATATATATATACACGTGTTGCATGTATTATACATGGCTTCTACTTGTCATCATCATTTTTTGTTGGCTCTGATTGCTTTGGATGACGAGCATGTGTGGGTAACCTGAAACACATACTAGTACACAGGTGTCTATACATATGGTTCAACAAACCTGGGTCCTGTTAAGCTGTTAACCCTCTTTGGACTTTCAGACGCGCACTAGGGGGGGACCCCTAGTAGGATGGCTTCTACTCAAATCCGATTCTACTAAATCGTGGGTCCCATACACTGGAAGCACTGCTCAAGCGTTGAACGGCAATCCAGGAGGTTTTGCGGGATGTCCTGCTTTGACCCTAGGGTTCAACCGATTTCCATAAAATTTGGCCAAAGGGGACCCAATTCAGATGATGGCAATCCTGAACGGAAACAATGGTGGTTATACGTTGAATGGTGGCAACTGAAATCCAAGGTGGATGGAGCTTTCCTGAAGCTTCTGCCACAGCACTTGTTTTTCCTTTGGCAAAAGTCCGTCTTCAACCCACGATGCGAGTCAGGTTCCGTCATGGCTAGCAACATCTGTGACTCACGACTTCTAGCTCTCCTACTAGTTGGGCAACACGTGGCCATAAAGTTGATAAGTGGTTAGCCACCTGGGTTGCAACCCACTAATCACGCAGATCACAAGGTCAACTCCACTAAGGGGACTTCTAAAGCGGGTGATATCCTAGGTTTCCAAACACTTGCTTACTTGGCCGAACACCCAGGCAGAGTTTTGACGAAATGCACAGAGCGTTCACGTTTTGTGAATTCGCAACAACTTGACATCCACATCTTTTCTGCGAGGACCTGACGAAGACACACGGCCGGCAGGACTAAGTTTTGTTTAGAGCCGGCCAGAAATCCATGTGTTTGTCAAGGTCTACCCTCCCTCCCACTAACATGGTACCGGACAGAGGGTCCTTAAAGAGGAAATGGATCTTCCCAGTCCCCTCCCACAGATGTCTTTCTGTTAGTGGGAGGAAGGGTATATCGTACTTGGACGACTTGTGGTTTCTTTGGGTTGCGAGTTCTGGAGATGCGAGATGCCACATTTAGGTGTTGGACGCGTGGCTCTACCAGTACGTGGCCCCATATTTGCCTGCAGCTTCGTTGCATTGGCGGCCAAGCTTCTCTGTCTGAAGCGGTGGACATCCACCGTCGAAAATGAAACACCTCGAAGTCCCTTTCTTAGATGGTACCACAAAAGTGGACAGAGCTCAACACGTGGCGATTCAGGCTTTCGTCCATCCACAGTATCATGGCTTTGACCGGTGTCCCTCCGAGTTTGAGAAAGCACCCACGCGGATGTTCAACCAACGTCAGGCAAGTAGGTTTGAACCGAAAGGATAACTAGGGCAATTGGGGTTGGTCCAATTTTCACCTTACAACTTTGTTGTGAGGTTGGTGGAACATCCAAGTAAAGACCATCTCAGGCGCCATGTTTAGAAGTCTGGCCATTGACATAGCGACCTGACTTGGGCGACTTGGGACGGCGGCCGCCAAAAAATCATCAGTGCCACCCTCCAAATCCCTTTTCGTTTGGATTCGGGTTAAGTAGATAGGTGTCCTTTTTAGGTTGGTTGGGTTAGACATAGTTCGCACTGGTTTCTGGGTTTTGTTCCATGTACCAAGGCCATCTATTTTGCCCAAAGGCAACCATGGCCTACGGCCAAGTAGTTTTGTTTTTCTCTTCCAACGGCCTCCTTGGTACCTCAGGCGGATCGGAATCTGCATACGATGTTTTGAAAGGTTCAATCCTAAAATCTATTGTCAGGGGCCCCCCAAAGAGGGGACCCCCCAAAATCCTATTAGCCCCTAATAGGCCATATTAGTCGCTAAAATCGCCCCTATTGGGATTAGGGGGTTCAGGGGCCCTTGACACAACCATAGGATAAGACCTTGTTTTTTGAGGGTACCGCTTGAGACCCTCACAGAAACCCTTTGTGACATTGACTGGTTGCCAGTGCGCCGAAAAACATCCTGAGGATGCCGTGCCTCTATCCTTGACATGGCTGGGGTAAATTCAAGTCATGCTCAATTAGTTGGTGGTTTGGACAGGTTGGGATTTGGAATTGCACCCCTGCTTTTTCGGCTGTTTCCCCTGGGTGGTTGAGGGTTTCCTGAAAAGATTCGGATCCCTGGAAAGAATGGGGAAGGTACCCCTAGACTTTTGTGGGGGGCAAATGGGAAGCCACCCGGAAGACCACCAAAATCAGAGGGAAGCGAAAACCAATGGGTGTCTCTCTTTGAGGGTACCCTCTTTTTTGGGGTTGCAAGGGGACATCAACAAGAGAAATGCACATTTGTTGAAAGGTAAGGCCATTTGACTCACATCCTGAACCGGTCTTTTTGTGTCCTTGGGATATTATGCGTCTATGACGACCAAACGTGATTTTAAAATGAGAAAAATGAATTGAGACCAATTATGGCCCTTGTACTACCCGTGTTTCAGTAAAATCAGGCTGTTTGTTGGCACATCGAGTCCTCGAAGAGTTGATTCGACGGGGGGCCACCCCCCAAAACTGCCAACCGACGGATGCAAAGCGATGCCAAAAGGTCAGCAGCGACAGCCTCTCCAACGTCCTGGGGGTGGTCCGACTTCTTCGACTCACGCGCGTGTTCAAAGTCATCGCCTTCATGTGGCTTCACTGCAATTGTGCGTGCCATTTGTTGTTTGATATTCTCGGTTTCCCATTGTTGATGAACGTATTGCAGAAGATACTGGGCTCAACATGTAGGAATGAGCATGAGTAACTTGTCCTCTTCTCACTCCGTGAGTTACTGGCCTTTTGGGTTTGGACCATTTTGGTGGGAAACCCCACAAAGACACCAGCAACCCTGGATTCAACATGACCACTCTTCAAACAATGGTTGGGTTCGTACAACCACCATTGTTATTCTGTTCAGGACTGTCATCATCTAAATTTGGGCCTTGCCATTCTTTTAATGGCCCTTAGAGAGCAAGGCGTTCCGGTGGAGGGCAGGGAGGCTGATAAATTGAGGGATATGTCCCGATCGCAGCTACTGCCCTGGGATTGGCCACATTGGTATATCGCCCAAATAATCGCTTCAGGCTCAGGTTCATATTTGGATGTCCTGTTTGAGGGCACCCTCTTCTTGTGGCTCAGGAAAACCAGCAGGACAGCCACCATGTTGGGGGCCCCCGAAAAAGGACGAGCTACCCATTTGGTCTACCACATTCCCCACTTCACACTCACTTCCGATCGAGTGGACTGGCCGCTAAAAGTCTTAGGTCGCAAATCAGCTACCTGGACCCTCAAGCTGCCCACACATCGAAACACATATCCCATGAACCGAGCTCACATTTTCCATGGCGCCAAAAAGAGGGGTGCGGATCCGCGCCGTTTGTCCCATGAGGCCAGAAACCAAAGTCCGCGCGAAAGCAGTTTGCGCCCACCCCACCCCACCACGACCCGCCCCGCCCCGCCCCACCCCTTCCGCTTTTGCTTGAGGCTGGAGAACGATCTGTCTTGGACGGAGGGCGCCGGCTTTCAATCATTCATCGGCCCGAAGCTCAGCTTTTCGCCCTGGCCTTCGATTCGAATTTCAAAAAACCCACCCCGCCTCAGAGACTTGGTGGTTTGGTTCTTTCCGGAATTCGTACACATGTTCAACTCGATCCCGCAAAATAGGAGATGCCTTTGAGTACCTGGAGTCTCCACGACCCTAGAAAAATGGGGTCATTACCCAAAATGGTGGGGTCATTGACCCATTTTCAATTGGTCATGGATACTCCAGGTACAGCCTAAGTGTCTTACAAATCAAAGCCCCCAAAGCTCAATGCAGCCCTCGGACACCTTAAGTCCTCACAGGCCCTTGTTGGCAGCTCGTCGCTTATGCGAAGAGTAGATACACCATTGCCTCACGTCCTGATTCCGGAGTTGCTCGACTAGAAACTTTCTGGGAAGACCATTTTGGTGGCAAACAAGAAGTTTGTGTACCTTTCTTTTGGCCGATCCACTCGATCGGACGTGACTTCCCCCTGGTAGTTTGGGGGCAATGGATATCGGTTTGTATTTTTTGAGGGTACATCTTTTTTGGCGGCTTTGCAGGGCCGCCCAAAGGAAAACCGTCCTTTTGGGACGGTCCGCCCAACAAAAACGACCGACCGACCCATCTATCCTTTTCCGACGCGCGGGGCATCCGCGCGTCCTTCGGGCTCGGGGAAGTCGTCAGGCGGAGTCATCGCGGTGAATGCGCTGCTTATGGGCTGCGAGACGGATTACAAGTGGGGCGGTTGGCTGGTGATTGAGAACTTCCTTCTTTGCGCCTGGGCCAAAGCCCTGCCCTGGAGGGTCTAAGTACCTGGAATCTCCATGACCCTTGAAAATGGGGTCATTACCTAACACACTGTGATCATTGACCCATTCTTTAAGGGACATGGAGACTCTAGGTACTGGTAATGTTGACCCCATATTAGACAACCTCTATTTACTAATAAGGGGGTGTCCCTGGTTTTAGCGGGGATTCATCACTTTTGGAGGGGAACACCCTCCACATTAGTAAACAGGGGTTTGTTAGTATTGGGTCAACATTACTAGTACGGCTTTTGGTTTGGTCGGTACTTGAAAGAAAATCCTCAAATCGCCCATTATTTTTTCGGTACCAAGTGACCCTTTTGTGGACAAACACCAAGCCCCAAGAACACATTGTGTGGAGATGCCCTTTGGCACAGATTTGGCTGTGATGTTCAAACCAAAAGACCCTGGAAAGAGCTGAAGCCTTACAAATCACTCCCTAAGTCTTGTTTTGCCTTTTACTCGCGTTTGGTTGATCTTTGTGGGGTTTGGACCATTTTAGTGGTGCCCAGTGCTTCCAGTTACCACTATAGCAGCTAATCCAAGAAACCAGAATGTATAACCTAGAGGTAAGCCAATCTGGGTACCTATTATAGTGGCGAAACGCCTGGAAGCACTGGCGTAGACAAGAAAGTTTCGACCATTTTATTTGACCAATCCACACCGGACGTGAGCTAAGCAATTGCTGCGAGCATATCATGCTCTCCTAACACCTGAGCCAGAAACAAAACCCGGCTAGATGAAGATTCAGGGATAGTCCCAACCATAAATTAAATGGGTGCAGCCGCCTTGCTTGCTCTTTACATGGTTCTGAGTAGACCATTTTAATACTGTACCAGGCTTTGATTGTGACTCACCTCAGCTTGGTTATTCCACCCAATGAATGCCCGAAGATGACCACGCCCAATTGCGCTTAGGTTTCCGTTGGTTACCTTTCTTTAGATACCTAAAGGGTTCGAACTAGAAATAGGTACGACATCCCTTCCTTTGGATTGTATTTAGTGGGCTCCTTACAGATGTGGAATTCGACTCACGGCTCGATCACGTCAGATTCTTCAGACTAAAGATTGAACAACTCCTTTCATATCTGCTGATCATCTCTGGGCAGTTCATTTTTGCATATGTTGTGCCGTCAGCCCCTTCCCCCCCAACAAAAGAAAGCTGGAAACTGGCAACGCGTCCAGCTTAATTCAAGCGTTTAACCCAGTCTATCCAGAGTTCCTTTGTCGCACCTTCGGATGTACCTAGGGGCTTTTCAAGGGGTCGTTTGGTAAATCCCCGCGAGCCAAAGGATCCTTATGGCGAAGTTAAGGACCCAATTCAGCCCGAGGGCCCGTGGCGTTTGCCATTTCTTTTTACCAACCCAGATATCCGTACCGCGGTCCGCACCCATTGGAGGGCGGGGAGCTTCCTCTAAAGGGACAGACTGTACGTGGGGTAAGTGGGTAAGTAATAACCATGGTGAGATCACCCACAAAAGCCATGGTTATAAGTCTCCGTTCGGTGGGTTATAACCAGGCTTACTAACCCTAACCACTTACTATCCATGGTCAGTTGGTTATGACCAGGCTTACTTACCACTTACCAAGTGCAATGCCCCTGAAAGTAGGGACCTTCAGGCTGCATCCTCTTGCCCACGGCAAGTTCAGTTTTTACTTACTTCCCAGCATGTTTTTCATGGAACCACGGAGGGATTCGGGTGTTTGGGGTCCCATGGTCTTGCTTAGAAAGTTGGACTGCCTGGGAAACCACAACAAGTGGTTTCTTGTCTTCCATTTGCTTAATAATATATATATATATATATATTTATGTTCCCTTGTTGGTTGTAATAGGAATTGATCACTACTGGACATATTGTTTTTCCAGGGGTCTTAACCAAATGGAAGTTATAAGGGTCATTCCCCGATTCCCCCAGAGCCTGCAACGTAATCCGCAGAGCAAGCTACAGTCCTCCTGTGAACGAACAGAAAACATCATGACCTTCCCCCTTTTGTGAAGGATCGCATCGGTAAAGGGTACATATTTTGCAGGGGTCTTCTTTTTGTTCCCTTGGGTATGGTTTTTTCCGGCTTGGCTGTCAACATCTCTTTTTTGTTGGCAATGTCTCCTGCGATTCCTTGTGAAGGTGATGTTAGATTGGACGTACAGGTTTGGGTTTGTCTCACAATTGAGCCCCCAAATGGCAACGGCTTCCTTCTGGTTTTCCTTTGAATCCAACCTAAGGGGCTTCCAAACAAAGAATGCCCAGCCTCCCATCTGGTCCCATCTGGTTGGGGCTTCCCGTTTTGCACTTGGAGCCATCTTACCAACCTTTGCTTCAACGTGCCCCGTGTGGAGTTGACCTGGTTGTGTCAGCAACCACTTAACAAGTTGGCCGAACAGTACTGAACAAGGGTCCCAAAACGGGTATAAACCCGTTAGGTTGGGTGAGCAAAACGGGACTGCGCAAACTAAACCAAGATACCGCTACTGAAGGGGTCCCAAAAGGGGTACCCATCCCGGTGATTCCCTTTCCCCGGTTTTCTGACCAAAGAAACCAGCCCAGCACCAACAGGACAATTGCTTACCGAGCGGCGAAACGCCGAGGGAATAGGCGAATGGAATAGGGAAGGTTTTCCCCTATCAGACTTCCCTGCAACGCACAAAGGGTCCATCAAACAGGGTTTGCATTTTGCTTGGATGTTAGGACTTTAACTTTTTGCCAACTAATGGGTTTTCCGTATCAAACCACTATCTGAGCCATTTCCCTTTCTCAAGTGGGTCAGTTTTCCTTGTCGCCCACCAGAAAGTTGATCAACCTTTGAAGGTGACAAATCCAGTAACCCCTGGAGAAAAACGACGAGCCACCCAGAACTTCCTTTTGCTGCTGTTGGAGCTACTTGAGGGGGTAGGGCACTTAGTAAGTGGGTAATAACCATGGTTATAATCCACTCATGATAATAAGTCTCCCTTCCGTGGGTTATAACCAGGCTGACTAACCACTTACCAAGTACCCTGCCCCTTTAAGTGCCCTACCCTACCTACCCTACCCTACCTACCCTACCCTACCTACCCTACCCAGTTTGGCCGTTCCCCTTCGGAGTTCAAGAAGAGAAACGACGCATTATTTGCGGACCACTGACTAGAAACCTCTTGCCATGGTCATGAACTTTTATGGAACTTTACGTGGGCCTCTATTTTTGTTCGGAACCGCAGAGAAACGACCGGGCCAGAGCTTCCTTCCCTTTTAAAAGTGCTTTACTTTTCCTACCCTACCCTACCCTACCCTACCCTACCCTACCCTACCCTACCCCCCATTTTGGCCATTCCCCTTGAGAGTCCAAGAAGAGAAACGCGAGGTATCTACGTCTTCGAGCTGGTGGTCCGCCTGAAACGCCTGGGCCGGGAGTTCTTCTCCTGCGAGAGCCCGGACATCGCCCCTCGGATTGAGACCGGGGCGACTGGTGACTCCTTGGCTTGGGCAGTGGCCCAAAATGGTTTGTGACTGCTCGTATGAATGCCTTACATGACTTCTTGGCGAATCGAACACCCAAGTAGAAACAGGTCAAATTCCCGTCAGGTTTTAGTAGAAACCGTGAAGTTCCCCATAGAATCCGGTTAAAATGACCCTGTAGAAAGCCGTCAAAAAGCTCCTCCCGTTTCTTTCTTCAGCCCTCGGAGCGCCTCAATGGCGCCTGGGCGAGCCTCAAGCTAACTTCAGGTATGGAATCTGCTGGATATGGCCATCGTGCTCTCCTCCGCCGTTCCTCGGACGGATGGGTTGGAGTCGGCGCCAGAAAGTTTGGTTACCTAGGTCCCCCAGCTAGGTGCCCTTTCTCACCCAACTTTGTTGGTTGGGGGGGTTCCCCTACTAAAGTAGACGTCCTGAAAAAATCGGGTACCAACTTATTCTAACCTTTCTACTGGAGGACCTAGTGGTGGGAAGACAACTCAGGTTGACTTCAATGTTTCAGCTTGAAAGGTCCACGTACCTAAGGAGCCGAAGAACTCATTTCAGTCAGCGAATCGACCTGAAATGACCTTTTGGTTTTCCCTTGTTGGCAACCCGTTTTTTTTACTTGGCTCCCAGCCATCCGGTTCCTTAGCCGTTTAGCTTTCTAGTGTTTAGAGGTAGTTTCCGAGTTTCACCCACTAAAAGTTAGCTCCACTCTTCGCGGAAAATCTGAACACGGGCAGCGTTGGGTCGAAGGTCACCTTCTATTTCTTTGGTCCCCGAAGCCCCCAGCGTAGCATCCTACGACACGAGTCGCAGGTCAAATCAGGTAGTGAGGGTTATTTGTTTCAGGGGTCTTTGATTCCCAAATCTATTTGAGAAACTGTTTGGGCGAGCGGTACCTGGAGTCTCCTTCTGACCCGTTAAAAATAGGTCCGCGACCAACCATTATTTTAGGTAATGACCAACCATTTTTCAAGGGTCAGAAGGAGACTCTAGGTATATGACAATCATTTGAAGGTAGTTGGCTTTCTGTGCAGTTACCTCAGTGGGCCATGGTTTTGGGGGGATTTGGGAGGGGTCAAAGATGCGAAGGTAGCAAGGGGCTTGGATTCGCTGAAGCCAGCGTGTCTCAGGGAGATTCCTGGCTGGTTCCGATCATCAACGTCGCAAGGCCGAGCTCAGGGCAGAATGGGGCCACCACTGGCTCCACGATTTTTTCCAGCAGACAGAGACTAGCTCCCCAGTAGTGCCCTTTTACCCATTTTTGGAAGGGTTCCCCTACTATACCCTTATTGTAGCCTCTCTACTGGAGGACCGAGGAGAGAGAGAGAGAGAGAGAGAGAGAGAGAGAGAGAGAGAGAGAGAGGCAAGACCCTCCGCCTACAGAGAAACAAAGAAAGAGACAAACACATGCGGAGACCGGTTCCAAGGTTCCGGAGCAAAACTCCATAGGCCAATTTGGTAGGTGGTTCTATCAAGGTCTATATGGGTATGGCTCAACATTCAACAGGAGGGGTTACGCAGGTTTTGGTCCATTTGTCCACTTACCAGGGGTTACGCAGGTTTTGGCACCGGTTTTTTGAGCCATACCCATATGGGTCAAAATTACATTCACCTGGAAAAAAACAAAACAAACACACGCAGGATTGCGTCCTTGTTTCCATTGACCTGGTAAACCTCAACCACGGAACCAACCGGTTTTTATCGGGAGCCAGCTGCCGATGTGAGACAATCCCACCAATCCCTTGAGTTAAGCACCAACCAGGTGCCTGGGCAACGGATTCAACATATTTTGGTCCTTTGTTTGAGGGTACCTGGAGTCTCCTTCTGACCCTTTAGACATGGGTCAATGACCTTAACATGGGTAATGACCAACCATTTTTCAAGGGTCAGAAGGAGACTTCAGGTATCGGTTCGTTGGGTTCCTTTCAAGGGAACTCGAAAGGGAAACTATTTTTAAGACAACAAACTTTAGAGCCTCCGGCTCAGTCCGCCGACATTGTCCTCTCCCTTTTCTCCTTCTTCCCTCTCCCTTGTCTCCCTCGTGCGTTCTGTCGTCCTCTCTCCCTCCCTCTGCTCCCCATTCTCCCCATCCCCCCAAGCCTCTCTCTCCTCAATCTCCCACTCTCTCTCTCTCTCGCTGTCTCTGTTTCTCTGTCTCTTTCTGTCTCCCTGTCTCCTTCCTGTCCACGCCCCTCTACAGAAAAAGGGCACCCTAATTCGAACCTCTCTACTCTCTCACTTTCTCGCTCTTTCTCTTTCTCTTTCTCTCTCTCTCTCTCTCTCTGTCTTTCTGTGTCTCTCTTTCTCAGTCTCCGTCTTTCTCTCTCTCGCTGTCTCTCTCTCTGTCTGTCTCTTTCTCTGTTTCTCTGATTCTGGCTCTGTCTCTCTCTCTCTCTTTCTGTCTCTCTCTCTGTCTCTCTCTCGCTCTCTCCCTCTCTCTCTCTCTCTCTCTCTCTCTCTCTCTCTCTCTCTGTCTCTCTCTCTCTGCATTGCAGCGTCACGTCCCCCCCCGAGTTGCCTCGATGTCCGGGCACTGCCCCTGCATGACCCTGAACTGTCATCTCACTACTGGCTTTCCCCCTTCATGTCCTTGTCACGTTTCCCATGATGTCCTGGTCCTGTCCCTTCCATGCCATTCAGCCCCCCCTTCATGTCCCTGACATTTTCTCGGTATGTCCGCTTCGTTTGCCATGTATGTCCCGTTCTTTCGTTGCGAGTCATTTCCCTACATCTCCCGTCGTGCTTGGTTTCCTTGTGCTTTGTTTCCTCTCCTTCCCCCTGCACTCCCCTTGTTTTCATTTCTGTCCCTTGCATGTCCCTTTCAGTTCCCCTTTGTTTCCCTTTCATGTCCCGCTGCTTTCCTGTCATGTCGACTTCCTATTTCCTCCCCTCATTTCACTTGCACTTCCTTGCATTTCCCCTCTGCTCCCCAATATTTCCAGCAAAAAACACGGGTTTTCCAGCGTTTTCACAATTAGGACGTCCAAAAACACAGAGTTTTTTCCAGATTTCCTGCAAAAGGAGGCAGGAACCCCAAACCAGCAAAGAGCCGGCAGGGGGAATCGAGCCTGGGACCCCTGTTTTGCGACACCGGCTCCCCGAAGACTACGTTTAGTGGAACGTCATCAAATTGCCGCGCGGTCCTTGGGCGGGGGGGGGGCCCCCCCCCCACGTATCAGACGTCGGGCGGGGGGGGGTTAGGGGGGGGGTTATCCTCTATCCTCTCTTAGGTGTCCGACACGCCGAGCAATGTCGGCGGATATGGTTCTAAGAGCCCCGACAATGGCCGTGCTTTTCCCGAAGGTTTTCTGGCACCATGAGACCATGAGCAGGGGCTTTTGTTTTTCCAAGCCTCCGGACAAAAACTATCTGGGAATGAGCTGATGCTTGAACACTCCGAGAGAAGTATCGTTTGGCTTCTTGGGAGCGGGGGAGGGCGAGAAGTGGGGGGGGGGGCTGGGTTGGGGGGCTGGAGACCAAGCAACCTTTGCAGGGCTCCTTAAAAGATGGCCATTTTGCCACCATTTGAAACATGTTGCTTTTTCAACATTCAGGTGTATAATGTAAGGATCCCTTTTTTACAGACTATGAAGTTCATCCATGCAGCCTTGCGGCCTGATGCTTTATGTTCCTTTTGTTGGCGGGGTCCATTGGCTGGTCTTTGGTGGATTTGTAGGGGAGTCCAGGAACACCCCGGCGCCCTCAAAAAGCTCAAAAAAGGCCCTGGCAGTCATCAGCCTTTAAAATAGACCTTTATGACACCAGGCAGCACAGCGAAGCGCCCGCAACGGCCAAGGGTGAACCGTTCTGGGCAAAAAAGCGCCGAAACATGTAACCCATCGAGCGAGTCGGTGGGTCAGGAAGTCCTTTACCAGCCCGGAACAAAGTGCCTTGGCAAACATTCCGTTGCGCGTGATGCTTTCTGCCTTGTTTATCGGGGGCTGCTTGGGTGCCCGGCCAAGCTAGTAAATTGTTTGTAAGCTAAGTTACAACCATGTGATATGCCCCCTAAGTGGAGTGAACCTTGTTGTTAGTGGGTGCGGATAACCGCGGAATCTATCTTGGCCAAACATCCAAGTGCCTATTTGTTTTGTCACTGGCAAGGGGTTTCCCTTTTTTTGCCTGGCGCCCACCGCAGATGTTATCTGCCAAGTTGTTTCAACGAGCTCACCGATTCGGGGGTAAAACGAGCAATCACACATCCCCTTTGCTTGGGATCAAATTCTTACTTCACATCCAACTCTTATTTGGGCGTATCTTGTTTGAGGGTACTCATGTTTTTCTTTTTTAAAGGAAACCACAGGGAAAGCCACCATTTGCCAGATTGTGATATCATATTTGTTTGTTTGGCGGGGGGGCGGGTCTTGAAAGAAGACAGGATTAGTTGTATGTTTCCGTTTGATGTTGGGATTTGCTATTTTGATCAGAGCGCCGACAACTGGTTCACACTGAAGGCTATAATTGGGAGCCCCTGCTGCTTTGACTTGTTTCCCCCCGAAAAATGCATCAACTGAAGTTGCTTGCACCCTTTGGGCAGAACATGCGTGTCTTCTTGTGTCATAGGGTTTGGGTCGACATTAAACCAGTAGGGGGCCGCAGGCTTTAGTCCTTACTTCCATGTACCAGGTGTCCATTCTGGGCATTTGTTGTTGACCCACACCCATATTTGTGTGAATCTGGTTCTTACAATTTGCCCAGGGAGCATTGACGTGAGCCAGGGTTCATGTGTGTTTGTGTGTCCAAAATGTCCGCCAAAAGGCACCCCGACTAAAATCACGCTTGCCCAAAGCCGACTTTTTGACCTTTTGGTTTCCCCATGTTGGTGGGTTTTTGTTGTCAAGGTCCTCCAAAAGGTTCACATTTTGTTTGGGTCCTTTGATCAACTGAGATTGCCTTCCCCGTATGGGAAGGTAGCCATCATTGGACCTGGCGAACAATACAACACCTATTGGCTCTCTCTTTGAAAACAACCCGACCAAGGTGCCGTCCGACAAAAAAAAAGAAGCGCGCATTCATGTGGTAGCTATCGGAATTCAGAGCGGTACAAGTACCTATCGCGACCTTATGAGACTTCAATCCTCAACGTTGCCGTGATGGACAAATTTAATATGCAGTTTGTAGACTAAGCTGAAAAAGCTGCAACACATTGCATTTGTTGCGGCGAATGTCTACCGCGACTTGCTTGATGTTGCTCATTTTTTTGTTTGCCGTGGTGTTTCACTGGCAAGCCATAGATGATTACGGAACGTTGGGCAACATAATATATGACCGTCTAAGTCTAAGACAGCAAGCATGCATGAAGCCATGGCAATGTAAAGAACAGCTGAGTTTTCACATGGATCCCAGGCCCTTCCCGGGATCCAAGCAAGCCATTGACCAGTTGGATCGTTTCCACTTGTCCGTGTCTTCTGCTAAAAAGGTCCACAATACAAAGAGCCTTGAAGGGAAGCCACAAGAAAACCACATATGTCTTTGTTGGGTGGCGGGGGGGGGGGGCTATTTAGAGAGAAGCCCAATTGTGATGTTGTGTCTCCATGTTGAACCGCTCAGATTTTTAATTTTGACTTTGTTCTGGTCCTTTTGGCAGAGTTCACTCCGCACAGTTGGGCTTCCTAAGGATCTATTCGGGTCAAGCTGGGTCAGTTTGTACCTTCCTCAAACTACAGTACTCATAAAAATGGGATATCGCTGTCCTGACTTTTGTTGGCCAGTCCACTCGGGAAGTAAGCCCAATGGTTCAAGGCTTTCAGGGTCCAGGTACACCCTTCGCGGCAGAAGCCTTCGCGGGTCAAGCCCCCGCCCTCGCTTCGTGTTTGACGTATCCGAGTTTCGGAGAAGCACCATGCGGCCCACGGGGTGAACGTGGGGCAACTGATGATGCTGCGACCTGGCAAGGTGATGAAAGTTCAGAAAATATGCCGCTTCCATTTTCTGAAACGACTCTATGTTGTGTATGTACCCTTGGTTGGTTATCATTTGCCCTTTGGTTGGTTTTGGATGAATTTGTTGCACATGATTGTGTTTCTTGGTTGGCTGTAAAAGGAACATGTTGTTTAATGATTTTCCCTTGGTTGGTTTTAAAGGGAACCCAACACTTGCGGAAGTATATTATCTTTCTTTACCATGGGCTTACGCAAATGGAAGAACCCCTTCACTGCTGTTGGATGTTTTTTTGGGTTAGCTGTTGTGGTTCGCTTCTTTTTCTTGCCTGCAACAAACAGCTGTTTGTTACCATACCAAGGGTTGGAAAGAAACCCATTCAGCCAGGTAGCGGTTAGTTGGTGGTTTGGATTGGTGACTGGTCCTTGTGGAGGCATGATGAACACCCCCTCAAGGAGAAACACATTTGCTAAAATTAATCTGGTTGATGTTCCCCCCTGGTTTTACAGGGAATTGATCACTGCTGGACATCACCAAATAGTGTGTCATTTTTCTATCGGACTTAAGCAACTGGATGACATGGCTTACTAGGAGTCATAGTAAGGCCGGTATGGGCGTGTTTCGAGATAGGCAAACACCCTAAAAAAACAGTTGGTGGTCCTTTTGGTGTCACTTCTTCTGAGGGTTTCTACAAGCTGGTCCAGCCAATCTGGCCGACTTTTGAGCCAGGAACCTTTGATTCAACTTTCACCCACGTTTGCCCCTTCGGGAACTGCCCTGTCCGTTGATTCGAAGTGGGGGGTGTCCCACTTCAGAGATGCTTCACTGGGGGAAAGGGGGGGGGTGCGGCGAACACCTCGGAATCCAACTGGTTGATTCATCCGGCGACAAATCATCACGTGGCTTGGTATTTACGTTGGGGAGTCGCATCATTCCAGGGTTTCTTAGGTCCACAGTCCATAGGTCATCTACACTGCGGGAGAGAGAGGGCGAAAAAGGCCGCATTCCCGGCACCGTAAAACAAATAAAATAAAAAACTCCTCGCGCGCCGGAATTCCCCGGGCCGGGAAAGCCTGCGGGCCTGTCGGTGTAAGATATCAGTTGGCTCATAGAAATGAGAGATACAAACGGAAATATGAAGTTGAGGCGCTGGAGGGTTTGTCTTAGGAAATGAAGAAGACTTAGCCCAAGCCTTCCCAGAGCTCACCCGAGTCTGGCAACTCTGGCTCGGATTGACCCAGTGGATCCAAGGTGCCACAGGCAACCTGCGGTTTTCTGTTGGGTTCTTTTTATACGTAGGGCCTCCCGTTCGTTGTTTCCCTTTGCGCGCGCAAGGAAAGTGATGGCAGCCACGTTGTTTTTTGGGGGGGATACCCCTGAAAAGGGTGGTTTTGTAAAGGATGCCAGGAGTCCCCTTCTGACCCTTGAAAATGGCATGTAGCAGGCAACCTGGCATGGTGACCTTTATGTGTATATATATATATATATATATTAACACCTGGAGGGAAGCACATACCCAAAACAGTGGTATCTCTCGCTGGGAGGCACCATGAGCTTCCCTCCCTCGCTCGGGAGGTTCTCATGTCTTCCGACTGGAAATCAAATGTGGTCCATGACTGGAAGCGCCGGGTTTGGTTAACCATTGAACCAACGGGCAGCCCCTATATGCGTCTGTCATGTTTGGAGGGTACTTTTCTTTGGTTGGAAGGGAAACCCACAGGAAACCAACATTGGAGGGGGCAGTTTGGAAAAGTTTGTTTTACACTCAAAATCATTGTCCTGGTGGGGTGTTGGGAGAACCATGATTTCCAAAAACAAACCCTAAAAAAAATCAGGTATGTGGCGCAGGGGGTGGATGTGGAACCCAAGCACGGAGCTGAATCTGTCCGGATTCCGCGCCTCAGGATGCGCTTGCTGCGGCTGCTTCGAATTCTTCGCCTCGCAAAGCCGCTTGGCGGTTTTTCGGGGCAGCAGTACCTTTTTTTGCCCAGTGTTTGTTTGGTTTTGGCCCAGTGATTGCCACTTTTTCTTTTTGGCCCAGTGATTGCCAAGGTTTGAAAACCTAGATAACATTTGCTGGTGACCTAATTACTGTATAGTGGCAACTTGGATCCACTGTGTGGGTGTGGTGATTCCATTAAACCGGTAAAGGCAGGCGACCAAGAGCTTGCCACCCTTCAAACACCTAGAGGACATTTGCTAGTTTCCCCTTACACAGTGGTAGCTTGGATCCACTGTATGGGTGTGTGTGTGTGCTGTTTTGAGGGTACCCTTTATGTGCGGGTGTTACGCCTTTTCCTGACACGCATGTTTGTTTCTGGGTTGCTGGAAGCCACACCCAACAGCAAGCGGAAAGCCTACAATATTTTTACTTCACTGGACTTAGCGTCACTCACCGAAATCCAATTTCAAGGGGATGGGACAATGACTAGGTCCCCCAGTAGTGCTCTTTTACCGGGGGAGGGTTCCCCCACAACAATAGACTACAGAAGAAAAACAGTTGGTACCCTTATTCTATCCAACCTCTACTGGAGGACCTATAAGAATCATGATTGAAGCGTGCGCTTTAGACAGTGGGCAGGTGGCCAGCTCAACATTGACCCAAAGGGGTCGCCTTGTTGGGGCGAGTGGCTGCTACGAGTTGGGCTTCCATTGGTTCTCACTGCCAAGGACGAGAAGGACACTTATAAGCGTGGCTTTTGTGGGTTATCTCACCATGGTTTTTACCTGGAGTCTCCATGACCCTTTCAAAATGGGTCAATGACCCTGAAATGTTGGGTACTGACCCCTTTTTTCAAGGGCCAGAAGGAGACTCCAGGTAGCCACTTTCTAAGTACCCGGTTGCCGCTTGAAGAGGGCACGGAAGTGGCAAACGACTTTTGAACTTTGCTCAAGCTCGATCGGAAGTGGAACAAGGCACTAAGCGAGCGCCTGTCATTTTGGCTCCTAGCCATCCGGTTCCTTAGTTTCTTTTGGATGTTGTGTTGTTAGTTGGTTTAACCACACGCGGCGCAACACCTTCAAACAGAAACTTAAACTCAGATGACTATTTTGACTGCCTTACGACCAGGCCAGTTTAGTGGCAATTTCTACTAAACCATTAAAAATTTGTTCCCTTTAGCACAGGATCTGACACCCTCTTAAAGGGGCAGGGACTGTGTAAGTAGATACTAACCATAGTTACACGCCACTTGCTAAGTACCCGATCGCCCCTTCAAGTACGACACCGTTCATAAGTCCATTGTCTGGTTTTACGGTTCAGGAAGGATAAGCTGCAGCGGTCTTTGCAGGTTCGCACTCCCTTAGTTCATGGAGATTTCGCGTTTTTGCTCTGTCTTTAAGCAGGACACATTTGAGTGGCCAGTCTTTGTTGGAGTGCCTGGAGTCTGCTTCTGACCCTTGAAAAATGGTTGGTCATTACACGAAATGTTGGGGTCATTGACCCATTTTTGATTCGGGTCAGACTCGGAGACTCCAGGTACACAAATGTTTGGAAGGGGTTTTCGAGCTGAAGCCAAAAGGAAGCCCCACCCATTTTGAGGTTTTCTGGGCTTTTCGGAGATCCTTTGGATCCGCTTGCGGTTTTTCCATCCCCTCTCCGGATCCATCCTGCTTGCCGCCTGGAATATTTGCCAACACATGGGACTGTTTCGGACTTTACTCACTTTTTGGAAAGACCTTGGTGTTTGGTTTCGCATTTTCCTGCCATTGGGGAAGTATCCGTATCTCACTCCCTGAGTTCATAGACTTGAAGCTTTCTGGCAAGACCTCTGTTGTGGTACTGAACAACTTTGGACTTCTTTTGGCCGGTCCACTCAGGAAGGGAGGGGGGGTTTACTTGTTTCGTTTTGCACAGAGCCGAAAAAGCGTGAGAACCCCGACAAAACATGGTGCACAAACACACGTGGGTGTGTATCAAAATTAGAAGTCCGACCCTTAAAGCCCAACAACGCATAGGTGACACATGTATATAGTGTATCATATATATATATATATATGTACAATTCCATATTTGAGCCTACACGTTATATATGCATGTATAAATTGGGAACCGGTCGTATCCCCCTTGGCTCGCCGAGGCTTGTGAAGTCAGTGAGGCCTCTATACATCCTAGTGGTCAGCGCTTGGGCCTTGGCTTGTCGCCACGTCCTGTAGCCCCGATCGAGTATCGCCGATCTTCGGACCCCTTTGGCACGAAAAGCCGACATGCGTCTTGGCGGTTCCCTGCCTTGTTAAGATTCTAGGCTTTTATGGTTTAGTGGGGGGTTCGATTTAACCCACTAAAAGTTAAACCTGTAGCGCATCATGGGGGATTTGGGGACAGCCCAGGTAGCTTCCCTGGGGTTTGGAACACGTCTGGCCAAGCTAGTATTTGTCCCGTACCTCATTGCGGATTTGAGGAATCTGCATGTGAGCAAGATGATAAACTCTCTCATCTAGAGATATGTCTTCGGTGACTTCGTGAATCCCCAAAGACAAGTGTCAGAAATCTTCAGGAATTCATTTAGTGAGACCCCGAAAACGATAACTTCCCATTCGAAATCGCCCAAAGTAGTCTTAGGTTTTGCCACTCGCTTATTTGATTCCCTACCCAACTCAAATCGCCACCCTTGTTTTAATAGGGTACCGTTTGGGAACTTCTGGGATTTTGAGCAACAGCCCATTTAGTTGGCTTTGCACAGGAAACCAGCCATTGTCTATTTTCAGCGACATCCAACTTGGATGTTCAACCAACGTCAGTGCAAGTAGGTTACAACCATGGCTTTCTCAGGGGACCAAGCCCTTGAAGGAGATAAGATCTTTCCAGTAGTGATTGATTCCTTTCAAAACCCAACGTTGGCTTCGATGCTGCAGTTGCCCTTATAGTAGCTCCCCTTTGATTTGTTTTTGCTTTTTGGGGTCGGCTGGGGTCCTAGTTCCAGCCAAGTTTGCAGGTGCCCGGTGTCTCTTTCTGACCCTTGGGTCAACGACCAGCCATTTTGGGTAGTGACCCATGTTTCATTCGGGTCCTTAGGGAGACTCCAGGTATGCAAACCACACAGTTCGGACCCCTGAAACTGAAACTGAAGGTCACGAAACGGTCACTGGGCTCCGACGAAACACGCGAAAACGCGACGCAAAAACGACGTTGGCGGTCGCCGGAGCCAGGTCACTGCTGCGGTGCAGGGCGTGGTTTGGGTGCTGGTGCTCACCGTCGCGCCGGCCTCGGGGAAGTTGAGAAACGGCCACCGGGGGTTGGGGGGGCACGGGGGAAATGGGGGAGTGGAGGGAATGGGGGGAAGAATGGGGGAGTGGAGGGAAAGGGGGGATGGGGGGGTGTTTTTGAAGTGTTCCAGATTCTGGATTCGTTTGGCTACGATTTCGGTGCCAAGGACCTTGGGATGAACTGTCTTGAATGGCAAACCGAAGATGTCAACTCCCCCACGAGACCCTCTGCATGTTCCATGTTTGCTCCTGAAACATGCCCCTTCAAGGAAGATAGCTTTCTCTATGAACCGACCAGTGGTTCCTTCCAGGGTTCCTGTTACTTGGGCCTTCGAGCAGCTCCCCAAGAGGTGACCTTGTACGCCATGGGCATTCTGACGACTCGGCTCATCGGCCACAAGATGATCTTCGAGATGGGCCAGGCGCGTGCGCGCATTCGGCGGCAGTCGGACTGGCGACAGCAGTTGGACGCGTGGATTCTACCTACACAGTCTCCTTGTGACCCTTGAAAAATGGTTAGTCATTACCCAAAATAATGGGGTCATTGACCCATTGTTTAAGGTCATGGAAACTTGAGGTACTTGCGCTCGTCACCCTTATAGCAGCTGCACCCTGGTTTGGGAATCTACCTGGACTGCCAATGGACCCTTTAAGTGCTGCCTTTGTTGGGGATCCAGGAGAGATACTTCTCTGCATAGCAAACATCGACTTTACTTAAAGGGGCATTGAATTCGTGAGTGCGTAAATAACCATGGTTATAGCCCAATTACCATGGTTATAAGTCTCCTAAATGGGTTGTAACCAGGCTTCCTAATCACTCACTAAGTACCCTGCCCCGTGAAGTACCGTGTCACTAATCATGTCAACAGCCTTAAGGAAGCGCCCATCTTGACCCCGTCGCTGGTGTTTATCTTCAAACCGCCAACAGCCAAAAGGGTCCGCAAAAACAAAACATGTACACACACAGCCAGAGGGTCAAAATACCTCATATTTATGGTTTGTGCTTGGTTGGTTCGAGAACCCTGCATTTTTCGGTACCAAGGTACCCTGAAAACAACTGTAAAGGACCCAGCCGGCGGAAAAAAGCGAATGCGTCGGAATCCTAGGTGTCCTTTGGATCGGTGAGTTTGGTGAAAGATCGATGGGTTCCACTGGTTTAGATGGGTGTTGTGCCACTTTATCCTTCCATCTGCTTAAGAATAGTGTTCATTTTTCCCCTGTTGGTGTTGAAGGGAACGAAATATGTTCATTTTTCCCTAGGGGTCTTAATACATGGAAGCTACGGGGGACAGCCGTCGATTTGTTCACCCCACCCGCGCACGAAGGTGTTGGCATTCGCTTGCAGGATGTCGATGAATCCTTGATACTGCCGTTCAAGACAGCCGCAGCCTCAAAGACGTATGGCCCGCGTTTGGACGCTAGACTCTCCCGCGTGCTGATCAGACTTTAAACTTTAGTCTGGACCATTTACGAAAACAACATGGGTACTTTGGCATCACTCGATCGGATGAGGTATTTTGTGGCCCAGTGGTTCCGTTTGGGAGGTTGCCTATGGCTGTTTTTGTCTCGCACTCAGCAAAGAGCTCATGGACTTTAAACTTTTTGGGTCTGGACCATTTTAGCGGAAAACACAAAGTTTGGGTGCTTCTTTTGGGCAATCCACTCGATCGGAGGGGAGGTCAAAAAATGTGTAGCCCCAAAATGGGTTGGACAGGTAAACGGATATGGAACCAAACCTGCAGGTCCTGTGACCCATACCCTGGGAAATTAAAATTGACCCATATATTGCTTAAAACCATGTTCAACTAGGAGGCTGAGTGACACAATTGTTTGGCTAGGGAATCCTTGAAGACGTGGGGAGGTCCATTTTTTGGGCTCTCCTCAAACAGGAAAACCCAAAGCAAACCGACATCCATGTTGGGGATCTCCTCAAACACGAGAACCAAAGGAGAAACTGACATTCATGTTGGGGGTCTCCTCAAGCAGGAAAACCAAAAGGCAAACCGAAATCCATTTTGGGGGTCTCCTCAAACAAGAGAACCAAGAGCACAACTGAAATCCTTTTTGGGGGGTCTCATTCAAAAATACGAACGAGCCACCCGCATGACGCTCCACCTTGGTTAAAACCTGTGCTAAAAAGGTTAACTCGACCGAACGGGGGACTTACTCGGGTTAACAACTTTTCGGCCATTCGACCCAAGTACTTCAGGGAATCCTGGATTCCTGAGGGAGGTGCAGGTGCTGGATCCACTTCCTATAATGGCCTCTTTGGTGGGATGGGCAGCCCAAGCATTAGAAAGGGGGTGCAGTGCTTTCTCGGCATGTCGAACACGTATTGGAAGGAATTCCCGGTCTACCGTTTGGGGAGTCCTCGGGGGGGGGGGGGGGGATTTTTCATCTTGGAAAGCGGGTGCGGAGTCAGATTCTGTCCAAGGAGCCGCAGTTAGCACGATGAATGTTTTTCCTGGAAGGTGTTTTTTTTCACGTGCCCCGATTATTTTTGGGGGACCCACAAAAACACCCGTGCACAAATTGCGACACAAATCCTCCCCGGGCTCCTTTGCCTAGGTCCCCCAGCTAGGTGCCCTTCTCTCCCCTTTCTTGGTTGGGAGGGTTCCCCTACTAAAATAGACGTCCTGAAAAAAGTTGGTACCAAGTTATTCTAACCAACCACCTCTACTGGAGGTAGAAGTACTGGTGGCCCCATATCAATCAAGCCTTGTTTATGAATATGGGGGTGTTCCTGGTTTTAGTGGGGATTCATCACTGTTAGAGGGGAACACCTTGTTAGGACTCCCAAAAACTCCCGGGCACAGCGAGCTCCTTTGCTGCAAGGGCCCCAACGCCCCCCCCCAAACCCCCCAAACCGTCAAACCCCCCCAACTAACCCCCAACCCCCCCCTTCAGAAAACCACACACAGTGGAGTACCCTCAGAAAGAAAGACATACCCAAATGTCTCACGAATTTGTCTTACAATACAGCCCGCCCAACAATAATTGGTTGCACCTCTCTACTGGAGGACCTAGTTGCTGCAAGGTGCCAGACAGCTTCCCGGGAAACCCCCCAAAACCGCCCAAACCCCCCCAACTAACCCCCACCCCCCCCCCAACCCAAGGTGCCAGACAGCATGTTCACCCTCTTCCGCGTGATGAGCGGTGCCCAGTCCGACTCCGAGTCTGCGGCCTTGGATAGCCCCGCGGCTCTCTGAAGCGAACGGAAGCGGCAATGCCCGCCTCATTTTTTTTTGGTTTTCCGGGGTTGATTTGGCTAGGTTCAGAACAAAGGGTACCCTTATGCTAGCTGCTAACCTCTCTACTGGAGGACCTATAGATGGGAAACGTGGGAGAATTACTTACTTCCTGATTTTCTGGACTTTAGTCACTGCTTAGGTCCGGACCATTGTTTAGTGGCAAACAAACGGTTTGGGTACTTGTGTTGGAGAATCCACTCAGGAAGTGAGTTGTGGGGTGGATTTTTACAGGGAAAATAATAGAACACCACACAAACTTTGAGGGTTGCCCTATTTTGAGGAGCCCATATGTTATATTTTAGGGTAGACTCAATGTGAACCAGATTTTCTATTTTAGGGTAGGCTAAATATGAGACAGAGTCAGAGTCAGAACCCCTCATTTTTGTGCATCTTTTCCAGGCCGCGGGCCAAGTTTGGGGAACTCGGGACCTGGGGGCAAGAGTTGGTTTGAGGACTGCAGACCCTCAGGCGCTGCCTTTTTGAGTGGAGACTCGAGACATATGAGTTGTATCTCATCAAACAGCTTAATCGAGTTCAGATATATCAAGTGTAGTTTGCAAATATCCAATACTGAACATGATTGGTTAAGACAATTCCTGGATAATGATAAAGTTCTATGATATGTTTAACTTGTGCCAATGAGAGATTGAGGACCACTCTGAAGATCGGTCATGTGTTATTTCTTAACAAGTATCACCGTATATACCCCGTTTTTCTCTGGGTGTGTTTGGGGGGTAGAGCAATCCTCCTTTGACATAAACACCGGCTCATCACGGAACAAACAGAACAAACACAAACAACAACATGTCAATGTGCAGTTTATTTCAAAGGGACACCAAAAGGACACCAGGCATTTTGGGCCTCATTCTGAGACAACGCCGCATGTGCCGTGGTCAGTACAACTTTTGCTTGCTGTAGTTAAAACCTGAAAGGCCATGACTGAGATTCGCATTCTGGACCACAATGCATCATTGCCATTGACTAAAATGATGAATCAAGTAAAATGTTCAAAAACTAGGTTTAGGATTGATCGTTGATTAAAGATAGGTTTTGGAATGGATAATTTCAACCTCTGGTGCTTGTGGAGGGTTAGTGGATTTCACCCCGGAACGCCTTCAAACTACCTAACTGAGGGGAAGCTGATTTGAAGGGGTCGGCGCTACCACCCGTCCGGGCATCAAATGATTTAGGGACAAAAGGGATAGGGGATATGTTGGGTCATGTGACAGAAATCCAGTGAAGGCGAAGGGGGGGGTCCCAATCCACTCTTTTGCAGGAAATGAATGCACGTCTGGCGGATCCCAATGGTCACCTACCGTTGCTCTACGTCAAGGGGGCGATCGGGTACCTAGTAAGTGGTTAGTAAGCCTGGTTATAACCCGCTCATCATGCTTATAAGTCTCATGTTGGTTATAGCCAGGCCTACTCACCACTTACGAAGTACCGAATCGATCGCCCCTTAGAGTTAGGCACTCAAACAGGGCTGAAAGCAACAGCCACTTCGGCCAACGTACCCTCTACATGTACGCAGCCACGTGGCCGCTAGGGACCAGCGATCTTGTTCAGTTTTTTGAACTTCCGCAACAGGCCATCTGAAATGCGAGCAACGAGACTAAATGGGTCGTGGTCCCTATTTTTTCAAGTAGCCCAGGTGATATGCCCAACAGCCCCGCAAGATCCTGGAACCCTCCTTTTGATCTCTCACAGAAAGCCGTGAATCTCTGATTGCCGATTTCTGGGCCTATCAACCCAAAAGGTGATGACTAAGCCTGGGTGGCATCCTCAACAGCCCCGCAAACCCGAAGCTGCCCCAAGCCGCCCCTTCTCGCCCCTGTCGACCCAAAAGGCTATTCAGCTGTTGGGGAAAAACTCAAAAAACAACTAACATTCAACTGGTGGTTTTCTTTAAGCAACTTCTCAAGACTCTTGACCAGCAAGCTCTGGACATGGTCCCCTTTTTGAATTGCCAGAAGCCTTCCTTTGCTGATGCACACAGTCAACACCAGCTAAAACCACCCCCCAAAAGAGGCTAACCTCAAAACCAGGTGGTAACACCAGCCAAAACCACCCCCCGCCCCCCCCCCCGCCCAAAAAAAGCTGGCAACCTCAAACCGGTTCCCTTTTAAGCAACCCGTTTCTTTCAGATCACTCCGGAGCGACTCGGGATTCGTGGTTCGCCTTCACCCCACAGACCTCCAGTGGCTTTTTTGGCTTAAAGACGCATCCGGCACTCATCTTTTGTTGATTGCCTTGTCAATTGGACGCAAATGCATGTGGATCAAAACCGTTTTGGGATCCCATTTTGGGGTAGGTGAATTCACCACCCATTTTAGAACTTATTCAAGTGGGGATTGGGATGTTCACTGGGGGGTAACCGGGATTTTGACTCATGGCCAAATATGTTTGGAAAACGTTAGAGGGGCTATCTTTGTTTAATTGTTGGTTGTTGACTCAAGACTCCATAGGAAACAGCCAGCATTGCTGAGGTCCCCGGTATTTGTTTGTTTTTTCTGCAACATACAAAGCAACTGGCTTCGTGTCAGTATGCTGGCGTCTCTTTCTTGCAAGCATTTCTTAGGCATCATGGACAACATCCCGACCTTCAAGTTCGCCTTCGTCTTCTTTATGGTCACCAGCAGTTGGACTCTTCTCTCCATCCTGACCGCAGTGGCAGCTCGGAGGAATCGAGTTGCTCCAGAGGCAAAGTTTCTGATTCTTACTTCCAGCACCCCCCAATGGCTGGCCAATTGCCGGCACATCGATTTTGGGCAAAACGATGTCACTTTATGTCTAAGTGACTGCAAAAGCAATTTGCTATCAATTATCACTCATCTGTACTTAGTGCAATTTGTGCAATGATACAAGTGACCTTTCAAGGTCCTTTGGAATGGGGTTGCAGGGGAAAGGGGAGAGCAGCTAATTTGAGGTTTGGAGGGCAAGTTTGAGGTTGGGAGGGGTTCTTGAGGAGCGTGTCACGGCGTGTCACTGCGTGTCGGGGGGTGGCCAATTGCCGGCACATGTACGTTGAACGGTCACTTTTTTGGGATATGAGCGTGTCATCAGCGTGTCGCCCCCCCTCCCCCCCCACCGTTGCATGTGCAATGATCATACATGCCAGCCCAACCCCTCAATTGGATCCCCTCTAGTATCCGGAAGTGACGTTTCAACAAAAGTGACTTTTCACTGCACTTTGATGATGGCAAAAAAAACCATGTGACTACAAAACTATTTTTAAGCAAGTGCTGGTCAATTGCCGGCACTTCACCCGGGACGCCAATTACCGGCCATCGGGGGGGCCTGGTTGTTGTTGTATTTGTGTAGGGACACCATTCGACTTGGTAGATATGGGCCTAAACAAGTCAGGGCTGGTGCGCTGCTTGGGAAGCGAGCAGCAAGTTTTTGCCATCATTGATGGCAGACTGTTTCGGAGGACTTTCAACGGCCGCACAAAGATGGCCCCGGTTGCTAAGCAGCGGCACTATGTGTCCCTTTAAAAAAATAAAAATAATACCTTTGAACACCACGCAAGCAAAAGTGGCCGTCCCTATGGGACAAATCTACGAAGGGTCCAAAACTGTCCCCGTTCAAAAAACTGAAGCTTGTTTCCCTTTGAAATCAATCCAGCACAAGCGTTTCCTTGTCTCCGTCAAACTCATCAAACAACCCACAAAAGGGGGCGGGTGTTTGTTGGGCTGCTTATTCCCAAGCATCCCTTGGTGCCAAACAACCACATGTTTGACCCTTACATGCTCGAAAGTTACTTGGCCCCCGAATAACAATAGGAAGTTGTCCCCCCCCTCCATTGGAAAGTTTCTGTATTTGGAGTGGGGTCCTTATTTTAGGGCAGGGCCGGCATCCTCAGAAGAAACCAAAAAGCCTCGCACGCCTTCCCTCTAGCGTAGTTTCAGGGTCCACGTAAATCCTAGACAGTGCTTCCAGGCAAGCCGCTATAGCAGGTAATCGCCCTCTAGCCCAGCGGTTCCATCTACCTGTCTAGCAGGTATCCAAGCAAACCACTCTTGCAAAACCAAGAGGAAAATTGCTTGTTGCCTAGTATAGAGGTAACTTGAATCCATACACGTGGCTTCCCCTAGTTACCGACTAAGTGGCTTGCCTGGAAGTGCGAATCTATTTGTTGCCCCTTCTCCCTCCGGCCTCCCTCTTGCTCCCCCCCCCCCTTTCCCCCTCCGGCCTCTCCCCCCCCCCCCCGTCCCCCCTCCGGCCTCACGCGCTCAGGTGAGCGAGAACATGATCTCCACCACAGCAGTCCAAGAGAAGGCTCGGCCCTCCTGTGAGAAAAGCCGCCGTTTTTTTTCCATTTTTGGGTTCCCTTTACTAGGTCCCCCAGTTGTGCCCTTTTACCCTTTTTTGGGGGAGGGCTCCCCTACTAAACTAGACTACAAAATGGGTATGGGTCAAAATGAAACCATCAGGGGACCGCAGGCTTTAGTTTTTGTTTCCATTTACCAGAGCTCCCTTCTCAGGGCTCCTTAAAAGATACATTTTGCCCATTTGAAACATGGCTTTTTCCACCAAAATAAAGGGACACCACCATCTACAAGGCAATGTTCAGGTGTATAATGTAAGGACCCCTGCTTCTAGATACCTATTTTTGACGCACACCCAATTTTTTCAGGGGGTTCCCTTTAGCAATCAACTGCCAAACGAGGTGCCCTTTTTTGCGGCTGGACAGGTTGAGGTCAGGTGGCTTCTGTCTCTTAAGAGGGGAGGGGCCTTTGGTGCCCCTCCTGTCCTTGTACCCAGCTTTGGGTAGCTGATTTTAGAGGGGGCTCCCTCCATCCTATTGAGGGTGCCCTTTTTTTCATTTTTTTGAGAAACCAGCGAAAACACGCATCTTGGGCTTGTTTTCAACCGGAAACAAACAAATAGGAAATCAGCTATGAGTCAATGAGCGTTCGGGGGGTGGGGTTTGGTGTCAGACCAGAGGATTCCATTTCCGTTTTGTGACTTACCCTCCTTCTGTTACTCTGGATGGTTGCAAACTCCTTTTCGCACCTAAGAAACCGTGGTTTCCGATGATTCCCAGATAAATACCAACCAACGTTCTGGTTTCAACCATGGTTTCAGTGTGGTGCAGAATTGCGTGCTTCCGCAGTATCACGGGACCTACCAAAGAAGATCTTGATTCAAGAGGAGCAATGACTTTCCGGCTCCACAGGGGAGGGTAAAGCGATGTGCCCAGCTGGAGTCACACGGGTGTGTCTTCTTTTAGGGACCTCTCGAATAAATACAGAAAAGGTTCTCCTTTTGTGTTCCCTAGCCACTAAAAGGGGGCGCCGGCCACCGGGGGTTAGGCTCTGACCCTTGAAAAATGGTTGGTCAACGACCCCGAAATCATGGGTTCATGGACCAACCATTTTTGATTCGGGTCAGAAGGCGAATTTAGGTGAACATAAAAAAAAACCTGGCACATGCAAACTACTACCTGGTGGTCCACTGGTTTAGCTTTGACCACAGGTGGCACGACACAGCGCTATGTTTGCTTCCAGATCCGTGCCAGGAGATCCAGCTCATGTCCGAAGAAGAAGACAGGACCCGGACCGGTCGACCGATCGACTGGGAAAATATCGCCCAGCTGCAGAAGAAGTGGGCGGCATGCTCTACCCCAAAATGGAACCATTGGTGTTGACCCACAGCCAAATGTGTTCCTCACTTCCCGAGTTGGAGTTCATCTTATTTTTTTTGCGAAGACCATTTTCGTGGTAAACAACCAGATTGGACGTGTTTGGCCAATCCACTTTGGAAATGAGGTTCAAACAAATTGCCGAGCGCTTTTTGCATTGCAGCAAGAAAACATACCGAGCCTCAAAGACTCACGCAGAGTACTTGGGTAAATCACCGCAAGCGGCTTGCTCCCCTCTTCGCGAAGGGGTATATCCCTCTAAGAACACTGGGTTGGGAATAAAGAAGCGGGTAGACTCCAGGCACATGTCAAGTCCCGCGTTCAGTGGAGTTCACCTTGCTTCTGGCGATACCCCTTGGCCTCATTCTTCATCTCCTTCTGCCCCTTTGAAAGTATATTCATGACCCCATTGTTTGTTGGTAATCACCCCATTTTGCAAGTAATGGAGGCTCTAGGTGGGTTGTTCTTAGGTGAACTTCCTAGCTTGGTGAATCGCATACCCCAATATGAGCTTCGGAGTTCGTTCCACTCGATCCGATGGCGACTTTCGCTCGAGGAGAAAACACATCGCGGACCTCAAGGAGCTGTTTCAAGAGATCAACATCACCGGCGTGGCTCGGCCCCCTTTTTCTTTCGGTTTCTGCCCACAGAAAGAGCTTGTCTCTACCTGGAGTCTCCATGACCCCTAAAAATAGTGTGTGACCCGAGTGGCGTGGAGACTCCGGGCAAACGGGACCGAACAAGGTGTGGTTCTCGTTTGCGTTCCTTGAAACCAACCCAAAAGCACAACTAAATGGCCCTGCAAAGAAACAATGTTGGGCTGCACTACCTGGAGTCTCCATGACCCTTTAAAAAGTGGTCCATGACCCTTTTAATTTGGGAAACGGCCCCATTGTTCAAGGGTCATGGAGACTCCAGGTAGGCCTTAGTCGCAACCAAGCTTCTATTGGGGTTCGGGGGGGCCCTATTGGGCCCAAAACAATCATGGCGCCTGGAGAAACCCTGCTTGGAAGGGGGAAAGTGCCCCTGCGAACAACACACCACAAGGCCCCTGGCTGCTTTTTGATTTCTTGATTTGACGTTTGGGGATTATTTGGCCTTAAGGCTTAGCCGCCCCCAGCTCTTGTCCCCAGATGTGGAACGGTTGCGGATTAGTGGTTCCCTTCGTAGGTTATAACGAAAGAAGGGGACCAAGCTTCCCAGATCCAAGTGCCAGTTGAGTAAAGTACTGATGCCGCAAACATTGCGAGTAAACCAAACACTCAACCACAAACTTTGGCAAATTTGGCAAATTGCAGGGCTGCCTTCCCCTTGCGTGAAAGGGGTATCTACCGTACCTTGATTACACGCAATGGACTTAGGTTCATTCCATTTTTCGACCCCAAAGACTGAACAGGATTGATGTCCCAGGAGAACCTGTGAGAAGTCTACCTTGGATTTCTGGGCAGTCTACCCTGCGTTTAACTCCACCTTGGGTCTAGATGTCTTGGAGTGATATGGCTATGGGTCAAAACCCCGTACCCCCAGTGAACATCCCCATCCCCACTAAAATCGGTTCTAACATGGTGGTGAATTCACCTACCCCAAACTGGGATTTCATGGGTGTTGGCCATATGTGGTGCTCCGAGGATGGCATTGTGCGAGAGAGAGACCTCACCCGATTTCTCCGGGACACCTCGAACGCCCAGCAGCGGCTCGGATGGTTTGTCAAAGCCGTAAAAGGCGCATGTGACGCGTTCTAGGTCCCCCAGCTAGGTGCCCTTTGGTACCTTTTTGTTTTTTTGTTGGGAGGGTTCCCCTACTAAAATAGACTACAGAAAAAGGTTGGCACCAACTTATTCAAACCTCTTTACTGGAGGACCTAGCGTGTTGCGAAATGCGATTCGCCCTGCTTGGTTGGTGTTTCAAGCGACAATGACAAAGAAGCAGAATTGTCCATATGTTTTTTTGGAAACATAATGGAAGTATTCTGGGATTCAATGTTCCTATGGTTAATCGAGATTCCGAAGAAAGTTGATGTGTTTCAAGAGGAAAAGGGTGGACAAGCTCCTTTGGGTTGGTACCAAAGGGGAAACCAAAACGAAGCCAACCAGTCCAGAGAGCTACTGTTTAAGGATGGAGTTTTGGAGTCATGCCAAGTTAGTAAGTGGAAAGGCCTGGGTTCAACACCACTATTAGGTTTCTAACAACTTGATAACTCGGCCGAACACTGAAACGTTCGGTCTCTTCAGCTGTCCATTCCTGGGTTTGGCTCATGTTCGGAGAAGGATCCCAGAGAATGGGGAAGCTGCACCGTACCATTAAACGAATTGCGCAAAGGGACCCAATTTAGACCCAGTTGCCCAGTGGTGCGCTTTGTTTTTTTTGCTCTTTTTGTGGGGGGGATGGTTTTCCCTTTAAAGTCAACCAAACAAAAAAGGATGCCTTTTTTTTCCCCATGGCCACAGGGCATCTGAGGTGGTTGTATGAACTCAATCATTGTGTGAATGGTGGCCTGCGTGAATCCCAGGCTACAGCTGAGGGTGTGTTTTTTGTTGACGGTACCCCTTTTTGGTAGTGTTTTAAATGGAAAGCAAAGGCCAAAACCACTCATTTTTCCTTCCCCATTCTTTCCAGGGATCCTTCTTTCTAGAAAACCTCCGGAAACCCCGGGAAAACGGATCTGGTTTTTGGAAAGAACGATCGTTGAAAAGAATGGACAAGGAATCAAACCCTGGGAATTTGACTTTTTGCCAACTAATGGGTTTTCCATTCAACCACTAAAAGTTTCACTTTTAGCAGGGGAGCAGAAAGCAACGAGGTTTGGGGGGTGCGCCAAAAAAAGCAATGTATCCCAGCTCGATCACCGAGGACTGCCAAGATGTGCAGAGTCCCTGTACGTCACGTGCAGGAGGTGGGCCTTGGGCATCAAAGTCCAGTTTGAAGGAGGAATGGGGAGGGATGGCGTCAAGCAAATTTCAGGCCGTGTCCTTTTTCCTTTTTGGAGGCGCCGTCTGCCGGCTTGCAAGGGGATACCAAAAACTCACTTCCTGAGGTGGACCTCATACCTTGTGGAGAACCATTTTAGTGGTCAACAACAAGCTTAGTTGCTTTTTGCCAATCCACTCAGGAAATGAGTTACAGGGAGATGCCACAAAAGAATTCCACAAATGCGACAAATCTCCATGCGGGGGGTCGAGTTGGGATTTTCTGCACACAAATTGAGCTGCAACCCGGCTCAGCACCAAACCTCTTTTCCGGTTCCTTCTCAACAGTTTTCCCATCGTGCTGGCGGTTGCAAACACGGACCTGTTCCAGGACCCCCACAATGGCTGTCAAATGGTCTGTTCTGTGCCCTTCTTTGGGGCCATTGGACAGCCTTGGGGGGTGCTGGATCTGGGTTGTATGATTTTAAGCCGGGCAACATTCCATGCTTGGATCAAAGTAGACACCAAAAAGGCCAATTGGTTCCCTTGAACTCCATCCTGCCTCGAGGTCATCAAACAAATTCATGGAACCCGCACTGACCTGTTTGCTTCTGTTACTTGTCTGACTGACCGCTTGTTTCAATTTGTGTGTGTGTGTCTGTGAGTTTGTTGATTGTAACCTTTTTCACCATGGTTCACGGATAGCCCAGAGAGAAGTGCCTTGCTTATCATGTGGCGCACAGGTTCCTTCGATATGATTTGCTTACCTGCCAAGTTGTTGCGTGTTCTAGTTTTCGGGAAGAACGTCATTGTGGTAATCATTTGTTGTGTAGACTTCCTGGACCCCCAAAGGACCCCTTTTTTTCTGCCTTTGACTCATACAAAAAGGGGTACAAAGGCAAAAATAAGGGGTCCAGGTTGTTGCTGGCCAGTCCAAGATGTGAAGTTATGTGATTCGAGATGCGCAAGCAGGAGCGGCTAAGGGCCTTCAAGGGAGTTTATAGAGGTGACACGTCAGGTTTTAGGGTTTATAGGGAGACTTCCTTTATAGAGTTTATAGGGAGTTTATAGGGCCTTCATCTTGTCCCGGTTTTTGTGATCAGATTGTTTGTTGAGTGCTGGTGATGAGGCGGCTGGGTTTGAGCATAGATGCAAGGTCAAAGACCAGCCATGATTAAGCCAGCTGACACGTGTCCCACTGAGATTTCGCGCTATGCGGGAATTGTGGTACTGAAAAAGCGACGATCAACACACAGCCTAAGAATAATTACAACCAGGAGTGTTCAAGCACCTTCTGAGTCAGTAGACCCACGTACGCCCCCTACATTTCCGATGTTGGTGGTTACACATTTGAAACTTTTGGGTCAACTCAAAGTGAGTTTCCACTTAGAGCGGGGTGAGGTTTGAAGGGATCTGTCCAAGGAAGTACAAGCTACGTACCTATTTGACTCCCTACTTTGACTGTATTTCATTTGATACTTTGGCTTATTTTGAACCCCCTGCATCCTTCGAAGCTGCAATGGATGCCCTGAATGTTGCCAGTATGGAGACAAGGAAACTCTCCACTTCAGCTCAATTGTCCATGGTGTTCATTCCTGGTGTTTTGTGCGACCGAATCGCCTTTGAGTCCTTTTTGACAAACTACAACAGGCAAAGTGAATATTAAACATGACAATATTAGAGATATCAGGGATTACAAGAGGATACGAAAATCGTCACTTTCCTTACTTTCCTGCACTTAGGCTCGACTCACCACCAAACAATAATACATTAATAAACTGGCATTCGCGATGGGGAAGCTCTAGACGCCCGTGACTCGTCACACGAGCCTCGCTCCCGCTAGCTGCCAGTGCCAGGTGATGAAGACCTTGGCCATCAATTCGGACATGATCCGCATGGCGCCGCGGCGGCATCTGCATAGAGTCTCCACGACCCTTTAAGAATGCTTGGTCATTACCTACAATAATGGGGTCATGGACCTATTTTTAAAGGGTCATGGAGACTCCAGGTGGTTGTTTCGTGCTTGAAGGGGCGATCGGGTACTTCGTATGTGGCTAGTACGCTGGTTGTAACCCACGCACGAGACTTGTATCCATGGCTTTTGTGGGTTTTGACCATGGTTATTACTCGCTTGCTAAGTACAATGTGGATTTAGCCTGGCAACCCACTTACGAGACTTATAACCATGGCTTTCGTGGGTTATAACCATGGTATAACCATGGTTATTACCCACTTACTTCACGTACAGTTCGCCCCTTTTAAATGTCCAAAGCTCGGGGTATGTTTGGCCCCAAACAAGGTAATCGACCGTTTGAGCTTTTGGCCTTTTGCCTTACGGCCCCAAAAGGTTATCTCCTTTTGCTTCCAGGTCCAAACTGGGCAATTTATTGTTTGCGTTTTGGGGGGGGGGGGGTTGGCCCACGTGCTTCCGGGCCAGGGCAAATCAGGTCGTAGAGAAAGTCTTGGGAAACCTACTTGAATGTTCTTTGCCAAGTGAGTAAGTGGAAAAGGCCACCTGGGTTTTCACCCACTGATAACAAGGTCAACTCCACTTAGGGAACCTTATAACCGACCCAATAACCATAGGACAACTCAGGAAATTGCAATGTCTCATCTGGTGAATTCCTGGTTGCCTGCTGCAACTGGAAGCCGGCTATAAAGCTGTTTAATATGTAGGGTAGACTCGGCTAATTGGGTCTGTTTGTTTTTCGTGGTTTTGTTTGTTGGGGGTGGGAGGGCGGGGTTAAACGGAAACCAACAGGAACCCCAACATGTTGGAGGGGTCGCCTAAAAAAGACACCCAAATATGGAGCAGAGTCAGAAGATACTATGTTTGGTGTACCCCTTTGGACAAGAAGCAATAACGTGAACATGCATGCTTGAGTTAAGTAGAATTGGATTCTTAGGTCTTCCAAAGCAATGTTCCTCTGGTGTCGTATTTAAGACAACATCGGATGCCGCAATGTTTAGGAGATGCTGACAATTGTAAGCAGGGTTGTGGGATCAAGGGGTTTCTTCCCACTTCTGTGATACCTTCGGGAATCTCCCCCTGAGGGGGGTGCAGTCTTTGGAAAGCTCTTGTTTGTTGTATGCGCAGACTTACCTCTTAAAAACACAAAACGTTTCTCAACTTTTCCAGGGCGCGGGAGTTTTTTTACGGGGTATGCGCAGAAGTGGTGGCGTTTCCCGCCACCCGGATAAGCGGCATCTCTCCACAACACCTCGACCTTTTGTTCCCGTGGGGCGGCTGAATCGCTAGACTGAGACTCGCGTCCGCTTGCACTTGAGCCACAATCAAAACCCGGGTAGATGAAGGATAGCAAGGGACGATCCCAACCAGAAATAGCTGCGGATATCCGCCTTCTTAATCCTGTACATGGTTCTGGGTAGACCATTTTAGTACCGACTCACTTGCGTCTTCTTGTATTCGGTTCGGAAAGTGGAGGTCACGAACTCAACGTTGCAAGCAACATTACCCTGAAGCACATACTTCCACATGGTTATTCCAACTTTAGTCGGCAACTGGGGGGTGTCTTTTGAACGGTACCCTTTTTATAGGGTGGTGTATTTGAGACACACCCAACTAGTGTTGTCCCTGGTGCTTTTCCGTGGCCATGCTGGAATCAGAACGCACGTGAGAAAAAAAAAAGCAATTTGTTCCAGGATTTGTGATTGAATCATATCTTAGTACTTCCGACTCCCAGTGGGTAACCATGGGAACGCATTTCAACAAAAACACAAAATGACAACTGCGTGGGTACCCACCGTTGTGGCAACTGGACCCACTGGGTATACTTCACTTGTGTTTCCAAGCCTTTTCTTCTTTTAGTTTGTTGGTTTTGTTCATTTTCTGTAAGGGCGCTGCAAACAACAAATCAACGACGTGTTTTGCCAGCCCACACCAAGGGTTGCACTGCCCATTCCTGCCCTTGACACCCGGCGCTGGCCGCGCGTGAGCGAAGGAAGAGTTCGTGGAGTGTTTGCTGGACGCCGGCGGCCCCAGAAAACTGAAAACAGGGACACCCCTTCTACTCAAAGGGGCATTGCATTTAGCAAGTAGTTAATAATCCTGGTTATATATATATAGCCCACACAAGCCATGGTTATAAGTCTCCTGAGTGGGTCAGGCTGACTAACCACCTTCTAAGTATCCTGCCCCAGTAAATGGGTGATAACTTGCTGGTAGGGAATGAGGGATTCCGCAAAGGCAACCAGAGGGGAGGATTTAGAGGGGTCCTTTCATTTCTCAGGGATCCTGCTGAGCAGCAAGATAACCATGGTTATAACCCACAAAATCCATGGTTATGAGTCTCCGTTCAGTGGGTCATAACCAGGCTTAATAACCGCTCAGCAAGTATCCTGCCCCGTTAAGTAGGGTTCAACCGATTCCAATTGAACGAATGGCAACCAAGACGATCCAATTTGGATGATGACAACCCTGAGGGCAACAAAGGTGAAGTGGTGAAGTGGTAAAGTGGTGAAGTGGCGAAGTGGCGAAGTGGTGAAAGGTAAACAATGGTGGTTATGTGAACCCAACCTAGGTCCCCCAGTAGTGCCCTTTTACCCTGCTTTGGGGGAGGGTTCCCCAACTAAATAAACTACAGAAAAAAGGGTACCCTTATTCTAACCTCTCTAGTGGAGGACCTAGCAACCATTGTTTCAATGGATGGAATTCCAGGGCTCGCCTGGTGGTAAACCCTCCTCCTGGTCACGGAGCCGATTTGGTGAGGAACCACGTGCCATCCGTGATTCTTAGTCCTTGGGTGAAAAGGGTTACCAGAAATCAAAGTACAGTGTATGCAGTGTATGCCAACTCACTGCAAGTGAGGGAACCGGCAAACCCTCTTCACCAAACTTACCGTGGCTGTGTTCTGGTTCGTTTTTTCTGCCAAGGGAGTTGGGGAATCCAGGGACCCATTAGACCATGTAGGACTCGAGGCGTGGGCGCCAGACTTACTCTGCAGAGTGAAAAAGGAGCACGAAATGCTACTAGACAAGATTGCTGTTGGGGGACCCGCCCTTTGGGTTCCATGTGAACTGGTGAACTCGCATGTTTGCCCTTTCTGCCTTCAATGACCCAAAAGTCAAAGTTTCGCAGGGGCCTAAGTCTGGTGAAGAGATCACCTAGCTTGCAGCGTGATCGGCTCGTTTCAGTAGTTCTGCAACATCATGTGAAGCAAACCATGCACAACCACGGTGCTTTATACTACTGCTTCATGTCGCTTCCGTTTGAGCAAGCAAACAAATTAGATGGCAGTCTAAATATGACACGGAATCTCAACACCTGGAGTCTCCTTCTGACGCTTGAAACATGGTTGGTCATTACCCAAAATGTTGGGGTCATCCCATGTTTAAAGGGTCAGAAGGAGACTCCCCCAGATGTTCAGGTGACCCTATGTCACCCTTATTGGGTGGTTTGGATTGGTGGCTTGCGGATTTGAAGCCCTGGTTCTTTTAGAGGGTAAATGGGACACACCCTGGGCCACCTGCAAACCACCAATTTTCTAGGGGGTACCTTCCATTTCCATTCTTTCCAGGGTCCTTCTTTCTAGCAAACCTCCGGAAACCGAGGGAAAACGTCCGGTTTTTGGAAAGAACGATGGTTGAAAAGAATGGGGAATCAACCCCTAGGAATTTGTGGGCTGGTATATTTTGGGGGTGTCCACAAAAGGTCGGACCAACTGGTTGGATGTATGTTCTTCAATATTCGATCCTACTAGGATCTGTTTTGTACTCAACAGCCTTTCTAGCAATGGGGTCGCTCTCGGCCCAGAAATCGACTTCGGAGTGGGAAAGGGAGCGGCTCCAAGGCCTGTTGGCCATGCCAACGAGCGCAAGCTTTGTGGAGCAGCAGCACTTTCAGTGGACACTCAACCTTGCCTTTAGAGTGCGCAGTTGGGTGAGCCTCTGCTGGCCAGATTGGCATGGGGGTGTTTTTGTGGACGTACGACGACGAGGTGACGCAGGTTCCACAAGAAGGAACCGTGAAGAATGCAGGCGCTTTTTCCATAGCCGAGGCTCGTCACTGGCTGGATGGCGGCATTGCCATTCAACACCTGGCAGACCAGCGAAGCTTCATCCTGGAAGCGCAGGCGAACCCCACATTAGGCGTGCCCATTGCGCTTCAAAACGGCAAACACCATCCGCTTCCTTAGGCTGTCTGGTTTTTAGTTGGTTTAGTGGTACTTAAAGGGGCGATCAAGTACTTCGTAAGTGGTTAGTAAGCCCACTTACGACACTTAGAACCATTCCAAGTGGGTAATAACTATGGTTATTGCCCACGTGCCAAGTACAATGCCCCTTGAAGTACTGAGCATCAGCTTACCCAATCCTCAGCTGAGGCTGGTTATCACCCACTTGCCTCACGTACAATGACCCTTCAAGTAGGTGTTAAACAAAAAGGGAAGGTGAGACTGACTTTTACCCTTTTTTGGGGGAGGGCTCCCCTATTAAAATAGACGAAAGAAAAAAGGGTACCCTTATTCTAACCTCTTTACTGGAGGACCTATCTGAAAGTCCGACTTTTGGCAGGGGGTCTGAAACTGCCAGAAAAAGGGAGCCCCTCCCAAAATGGTGGTTTTCCCCTTGTCTTATGCTTTTCAGATTACACCCTGGGATTGCGCCCTCTGGGAAGTCACCCGATTCTTGCGTATGTCAAACTAAAACCTGGTTATGTTGGTTTATTTGGGACTACTTGGGGTAATTTCCACAGGGCGTCAGAAAATCCTTCGCCTTTGGTCTTCCTTCAACACACCAACCCCCAAGAAAGGCACACCCATTCTGAACCAGTGAGCGGGTCAGGGGCCATAGGGCTTGCCGCGGAAGGGACAAGCCGCTGGTCAGGTCGGCAACCCGGTCACGGAGAAATCAACGATGAGGCGGCCTTCTGGATGGGAAGGGGGGTGGTAAAAGAATTGCTATTTTCATGGACTTCGTGTGGTTTTGGGTAGGCTAATCCAATACCACGTTTTTCATTCTGGACCATTTTAGTGGCAAACAACAAACAATGACTTACTTTGGCCAACCCACTCAGGAAGAGAGTTTGTGTCTACTGGCCTACTGGCAGTGGGTTTTTGATGGGGAACCTCCATTCCATTGGTTGTGGTATTTGTCTGTGTTTTTAATTGCTAGTCTTCATTTCTTGTTGTTGTGTGATTTGTTTCCCCCGTTGCTGTTGGTTGTTGGTGGCTATTTTATTGTGTTTTTGTTGGTGTTGTGTGATTTCGCCAGTTGCTTGTTGCTTGTTGGTTGCTGTCTTCTTGTTTTTGAATGCAGCGGACCCAAAGGAATGTTCGCCAGCTGAGGTGGACGCCTCCTTGGAGAAGCACCCATCTTAAACTTGGATCCCAGCTCAAAACCAAGGGGATCCCATTTCGGGGTAGGTGAATTCACCACCCATGTTCGTCGATTTTAATGGGGATTGGGATGTTCACTAAGAATACGACCATATGAATCCAAACTACATGTGAAATATGAATCAAAATTAAACCGCCAGGAATTGGACCGCAGGTTTTAGTCCTTGGTTTCATTTACCAAGGTTCCATTATGGGTACCTATTTCTGACCCACACCCATGTGGGCGTGTTTTTGATGGTACCCATTGTTAGTTGGTTTGACAGAGAAACCAATTGGAAAAACTGACATCCAGGGCCGATAAGACGTAGTGAGTGCTGCCAGGTGTCACTATACTAGGCAACCCTTCGGTACGATTGCCTCAGTTTGAAATGTCAAACCCTCTTATGCCTGGAAGCACTGGGATGCACATGTACCTGGAGTCTCCTTAAAAATGGGTCAATAACCCAATTATTTTAGGTATTGATCAACCATTTTCCAAAAGACAGAAAAAGACTCCAGGTAGACTCCCCCTGAGCGTTTTTGTTTTGTTTGCCGTGGCTTCAGACCGCAGGTTGGAGGCACTTCATTTGGAGACCAGGACGCAGAATTGCAGGCCGGGCCGCAGCCTTTCAGACTTTCAGCGGTGAGGGGTCCCCGTCGTTGCCGTGATCTTCCATGTATCTAGGGGTACCTTCCAGTTCCATTCTTTCCAGGGATACTTCTTTCCAGAAAACCTCCGGAAACCCGGAGGAAACGGCAGGGTTTTGAAAGATTGAAAAAATGGGGAATCAACCCCGCCTATTTCATATCGAGCTCACCGATTCGGGGGGTATGGCGAGCTCACCCTGATATTGGTCCTTTACTCGGGGATCCAATTCTTAATTTACCTTTTGGAATTATAGTAGAATTGCCGATGTACTTGAAAATGAGTGTTGTATTTTCCCTGGTTCATTTGGGAGGAACATGGATCTACGATCTCCAAGACTCCTAGCTTGGTATTAAAGGGAATCAAGCTGCACCTATGTGATGTTTCCCCGACGGACCAAAAAAGCGCAAATGGAAGTAGATTTGGAGGGGTCCCCACCCGGGCCTCGATGGGTGGAGATGGGTCTCCGAACGTTTCAGATGGGCTGACCGCCATGAAGCTTCATGTGGAAGGAGTGTTGGGGTTTTCGATTACCACTACACTAGCTTCACCGCTGCTGGCGTGTGTTTAGGTGGTTTGCTTTTGTTCGGTTCTGCTCAGTTGTAGGCTTGGGGGCTGCAAGAAACAGTCAGTTTGTATTTTTGATTGCGACCATACCAAGGGTTGTAAAGGTAGGTAACCAGGAGGAAGCATCATTTGAATAACAACGAGGAAAACCCCTTAGTTTCCTACCTGCAGTGGCGACTGGAAGCGTGGAAGCACTGGGGGAGAAGTTCCAATCAAGTGACCCTTTCAATCATCCTTGTTACGCCAGGGGATGATTGCAAATCAACTATGAAGCGGGGCACGGCAGCCGTTTCCATTTACGGAGGGGATGTAGGGTTGAATTTGACCTTATGGGAAGCCGTGCCAGGATTCTGCACCTCGAATGGCTGATTGATTACGGGGTGTTGTAGGGCCACCAAAACAAGACGCGCCCATATTCTGACATTTGACAGCTGAATGCCATTTTGCCGACCACGTGTGAGGCATTTGCAGGTCCTGGAAGAGAACATGCAGCTGACGAAGCAAACCGTGGAGGACGATCGGACTGCTTCACTTCGCTCATGTTACATTGTTACATCAGCAGTGCCTAACTTCACATCCATAGTACCTGGATGGTCCATTGGTACCTCATATTTGTAGATGCGGATTTGCCTGAACTTGACGAATTCCCGCGAACTAAGCTCCACACCGATATGAGGGACCATCTGGGGGTGGGTGGGTACTTGGGTGTCCGGCCAAGTTTGTAAAGTTGTTGGTAATCTAAGCTATAACCTTCTCATAAGACCCTCCACGTAGAGAGAACCTTAGGTGGTTCGATTCCTACCTGCTTCTTTGGGGTTATATAGATCAAGGCTGAAAACCAAACATGGGCTTTGACTTTTGGGAAATCAGGACACACTGTGGTTGGACGAAATCCAATGCGCACCGCGAAATGGACCTATGGGATACCATGACTATTGCTTGGTATTTACGATGGGGAATAGAATCATTCCGGGTTTTTAACCATGGGACACCATAACTATTGCTTGGTATTCACGTTGGGGAATAGAATCATCATTCCATTAGATTTCTTGGTGTGGTGCGATGTTTTTCCATCCACAGTACTGTGGATGGACGAATTCCATTTCGCACCACCTAAGAAAGCTGCAATGATTCGATTCCCCAACGTAAATACCACCCAACCATTGTTTTCATGGTTTCAAAGTGGTGTAGGAGGTCGCAACCATCCGTGGAGTGAAGGTGCTGGTGAGACAACCCATTTAGGAGACGAAAAATAACCTGGCATTTGTGGGTTATAACCATGGTGATTTACGCACTTACTAATTGCAATGCCCCTTTAAGCATAGAAACCGGCGACAGGAAATTCTACAGGAAGTTAGACAAATACCCAACAAAATCAGGGGGTTCGTATAGAATGTTACATGAGCAGGGCCTAAAATCACATCGGGGAGTTTTCGCTTAGGAGTGTCACCTGGAAGGCGCCTCGGCGTTTTTCCAGACGAGCGCGGCGCGATTTATTTTGGTTTTCCAGCGGAAGGGTGCCCTTTCTCACCCGGTCCTTTGTTTGGGGGGAACTTATTCTATCCAACCTCTACTGGAGGACCTAGGCGTTGTTTTTTATTGTTTTGTTGAAGGAGGCACCTTTTGCTTGGGTCAATTTCAATCAGAATTCGAAGGACCGTCTTTTTGTTCGAAGGGATGTGTTTGCAGGATCCCTCCGAGAGTGAAGATCCATGTTACCGTCGGGGTTAAGAACTGCCCTGTCCCAAACTTTGGTTTGGTTTTAATTTGGTTTTCTCTGCTGCTATTGCAGGGCTCCTTAAACGATACATTTTTGCCAATTTAAAACATGTGTTTTTCCACCAAAAAAAGGAAACCACAATTTCCACTGCAATGTTCAGGTGTATAATGTAAGGATCCCTGTATTGGGTTGGATCTTTAGACTTTAAGGATTCCCCTCATATTTTAAGTTTTACCTGCGAAAAGCTAAAACAAACAAATGCTGGGGGATCTACATCACCCAAGTTTTGATTTGGACGAAGAAATCAGCAGAGGGGGAACATATCGTCGACCCGAATCCATGCAAGACCTGTGCGCGCCGTTGAGTCTGAATCAAACCCTGGGATTCAAATGCGGGCCCCGTTTTGGGGTTGGAATTGAATGGGAAGCCAAAAGGACAACCACCTTTTCGGGGGCAACCCTATTTTGGCACGACATGGTCGATTCAAGACCATGAAAAGAAAAAATACAAAAAGGCGGATATAGGCACCTATTTCTAGTAACCCTCCGTCCGTGAATTACTTACCCTCCTGTCCACGTTGCCACGGAACCCGCAGAGGGTCCCTTGCAAAGGAAAATCGTATGGGAAGGATCCCGGGGCTTGCGGCTGAATGCCACAGTCACATCCTCAAAACTCAGGAAATTGGAGGGTAGTAAGGGACCATCCCAGCGACAAATTTGGTTGAGGATATCCGCCCTTTTAATTCTTGAAGCATGGTTCTGGTTGAGATCCACCATGTTTAGACCGGGGTTTTGATTCTGACCCGCATGAGCCACGGGATCCTTTACTAGGTCCCCCCAGTAGTGCCCTTTTACCTTTTTTTGGGGAGGGTTCCCTTTCTAAAATAGACTACCGAAAAAAGACATGGTACCAACTTATTCTAACCAACCTCTACAGGAAAAAAACAAAGTACCTTTATTCTCACCAAGCTCTACAGGACCTTGAAGCCCGGCGAGGCTCGGGTCGCTTCGCTGGCTCGAGCCGTTCCGAGGCTTCGACCAAGTCCATCAGCTCGCGGAGACCAGCGCTGTACACGGCGAGGCCTTGGCCCGCCGCCGTTTGGTCGTCCGGTCCTCTGGTCGTCTGGCGTGATCGTCTGCTAGGTCCCCCAACGAAAGGCTGCCTGTCTCTCACCCGTTCCCTTTTCGGTTGGGAGGGTTTCCCTACTAAAGACTACCGAAAAAATGGTTGGTGTCCTTATTCTAAGCTCTCTACTGGAAAAACCTAGGAAAGCCCGAAAGAGAGCGTTTATGGCACTGGTTTGGAGGCACGGCAACCTAACTGGGGTCATTCTTTTGGACAGTTTGCGGGGGTTGTCAAAGTCAGTTAAAATGGTTTCGGTGGCTTCCCTTCAACAGAAACCACTGAACGGGGGTGACTTTGATCATGGTAAAGAATAAGGCCAGCCCAAAGCCTGAAAAGGCGGTGTTTGTGGCAAGAGGTAGTTTATGGGGTGATATTGACTATATATATATATACACAACCTATAGCGCCAGCTTGCAATACCCACGCTCTTGAGGGAAACAGAACTGTCCAAGCACCTTCTTACAATGTACTTGCAAAGGCGAAAGATGTTCAGTAGAAGGGCTGTCTATCAAAGCCCAAGCAAGCCGCTCGGCATGGATTGGGCTCCGTTGTGACAGGGACGAGGCATGTCTGACAAAGAAAGGTTCCAGCTATTTAAGAGCCGGACCACTTTAGGAGTCAGGACGACACCCTTCTGAGAGCGGGGCCTGCTTTAACTGCTGGCCTTCTCGTTCAAGTTGTCGTTCCCGTTTTCGTTGGCCCATGGTAGAAGAAGGGACTTGCATTTCATTTCAGTGGGTGTCCAAGCTTTGAAGTTTCCCTTTGCCCAAACAAATCTTAAACGGCAAAGCCTGAATAACATGGGCCACGCCATGAATTTAGGAGCCGGACCCCCTCATTTCTTTCTGGTTCGATGCCGCCATAGGGTTTAGTGCAGCAAGATTCCATGTTGATGCGTCCTTAGTCTTTCTGGTGATGTTATGGATTGACATTTGCATAGATTCACAAATCCAACAGAAGCTTGCACCCTCGCATCTTTCATGATCAGCTGAGGGGCGTGACAGCTTCCGTTTCACCCACAAGCTAAGCTTTTAGCAGGGACAGCCCAGCTTTTAGGGTGACGAAAATCGATCCTTACATCTCTCGTTGCTTTGATCGGGTCCCTGGTTTGCCAGCCCCAGACCGCCTTGGGACATCTAGGTGTTCGTTTTTCGGGCAAGCCTTAAGCATGGGGAAGCTATCGGGAATATGTTCAACGCTCATCCTGCTAAATCCCCCAGTGCCCATGTACCTTTTTTTTCTTGAGGGAGGGTTCCCCTACTAAAATAGACTACCTAAAAAAAGGGTACCCTTTTTCTAACCTCTTTACTGGAGGACCTAGCATGTCTAGTCGGCGAGTGTGGTCACTTTACCCCCGGAGTTTGTGGTTTGGATTGTTGGGAATTTGGATTTGAAGCCCTGGTTCTTGTAGATGGAAGGGAAGCGACCTTTAACCAACCAACAATCCACCAACTGGAGGGAAGCTGAATATCTCTTTAGATATCATAGTCCACCAAAAAACCGGTGCCCTCTTTGGTCCTTGGACATCCGCTGGGGTGAAGACTGCGCGGCCAGCAGTCCCGCAGGCCATTGCGCGGCTCCAAACTTCCGTCGAGGCCATTCCGGCACGCTCAAAGAAATCGCGCGGCCCAGAAGCGGCTGTGGCTCAAAATCGGATAACCCCAAAATGGAACCCTGGTAAATGGAAACCATGATGAAAACCGTGTCACCCTGGCTCTTTAATTTTGAGCCACACCCAAGTCACAAGAACTGCAAAGCAGGTTGTTGAGTCCACCTGCGCCACGTCCTCAAAACCAATTCGGGTACCTGGAGTCTCCTTCTGACCCTTTCAAAATGGTTGGTCGTTACCCAAGATTTTGGGGTCATGGACCCATGTTTAAAGGATCAGAAGGAGACTCCAGGTAGATGAAGGACAGTAAACGACAATCCCCTTGCCACAAACATCGCTGCGGATCTCGGCCTTGTGAATTATTTGTATGCATGGCTCTTGGATTACGACCATGTTCCCGGGTATTGACTACGAGTCCTATGGAAGTACCTGGATCCAGGTTTCCACTTGAACAATCAAAACCCGGGGGCAATTGGAGGGTAATTAAGGGACCAGCTGGGTGCTGTGCCTTCAGGCCGCCTTCTTAGGTCTTGAAGTATGGGTCTGGGAAGATTCTAGTACCAAGTTTGGATCATCACTTGTTGACTACCCCATAGCTTTAGGGGGTTCTCCTGCCTGGAATGAACCATGGGTTTAAGTCTACTTTGGGGTAGTTAAATGGTGGAACCCTGCGTGGATCCGTTGTGCCCCTAAGTCTCACTTCTCCAGTCAGACTGAACACTTTGGAAGATACTTTTTCTGGCCACTCGGGAAGTGAGAAGTACTTCCTCGGAAGGTGCTTGACCTTGGGATTTGTTTGTGACCCCTAATTACCAGCCCCAGTGCTTCCAGGCAAGCCAGTAAGTAACCAGGAAAAGCGGGGAAGCCATGTGTGGTAAAACCTTGTGGCACAGATCCCGAAGGCTTTTTCCTTTGGAACGAAACGCGCTTCCACGGGAACCTTTGTTCCTCCCACAGAGGGACTTCCATTTGCTCACAATATGTGTTATTGTTTCTTTTCTTTTAAAGGGAATGGTGATATTTTATTTGATTAAAATATGTCTTGTTGTTCATTTTCGGTTTGAAAGCAAATCGATTTCACTACTGGTAACGTTTTTTCTAGGGGGCTTAAGCGAATGGAAGAGGAGGATGCCGTCCCGACAGGCGCTGCATACCAAGATGGACTACCTCTGCGAGATACTTGCCGTCCTCTCGCCTGCACCGCCGGGTTTTTATTTTGGACGGGTCGAATCCAAGGTTAGGATAATGGTATCTGAAGTCATGACTCGAACTCAGGGAACCCTTGATTGGTGGTTTGGATTTGGATATGCAACCCTGGTTGTGGAGGGCAAGTGGGAATCCAGTTTCTAGCCTCCAAACCAGTAATCCAAGCCACCAATCAGAGGGAAGCTGAACTATCTTTGTCAAGTCATTCCTCGAAAATGGGTACCTTACCCCACGTGTACAGGGTGGCTCAGGTGTGGTTGTTGTCCAGAGCCGAGACCCGCGCTGGAAATAAATGCCAGCGTCGGATGTTCACGACAATTTTGCCCTTCAATCAATGAATTTGCACTAGGTATAGCGATCACGCCGTAGGACAAGCACACCCTTGGAGGTTCAAAGCAAAACCAACAGGCAAACCAACCTGTTTTGGGGTCACCGCTTTTCTTTGGAGGTTCCAACAAAAACCAACAGGAAAATCAACCTGCTCTGGGGTCTAAGAAAAACGACACCCCCATTCGGCGCCCATGGCATCCACGCTTTCTTGGAGCCAAGGCGAAGGCGGCGCCAGTTTCTCCAGTGCCGTTTGGACGCATCAAAAAAGGGGCCGGACCGGGGAGTGCCTGGAATCCCTTTCTCACCTGAACTAGGTCCCCCATCCCAGCTAGGTTTGGGAGGGTTCCCCTACTAAAGTAGACTACAGAAAAAAGTTGGTACCCTTATTCTAACCTCTCTATTGGAGGACCTAGTGGATGTTTCTCAGACCGATTCTCCTTGGTTTGGATTGGTGCTTGGTTTCAGGGGCACCGGGCTCCAAACCTTTTCAAGGGAAGCGGACTTTCGGTTTCCCTTTACCAAAAAGGAGTCGCCATCCGGAGGTCCTTTCCCATGCGCGTCTATGGCTTGACCAGGCAAATCTCCACTTCACTAGTATAACTCAAATGGGTGGTGCAGGTGTTGACCCACAGCCTTTTAGTTGTAACCAACAAAACTTGCCCAACTCGATCGGAAGTAAAACAAATCCAGCCCTCTGGACGGCGAAGTGAGCTGTTCGGCCTACTTAACGGGGCCGGGTACTTAGTTATAACCATGGTTATTGGTCCCTGACTTTCATTTTGGTGGGTCGGTTTTTTTAGGAGAACCCTTTTTGTGGTTTTAAAGGGAAACCAAAGGGAACCACCATTTCTTTTGGGGGGTGTCCGTTAAAAAAGACAGAGCCATTTGCATTTCAATTATTTGTTATTTTCCCATGTTGGTTTACTTGAACGTTCGGCCATGTTGGTAAGCTGTTAGTAACCTAAGCTATAACCTGCGTAAGATAAGACTCGCCCCAAAGTAGAGCTTGTCATTAGTGGGTTACACCCAGGTGGCCAACCACTTGCCAACTTGGCCGAGCATCCAAGAAATATAATTATTGGAATTTTGAAAAATATCGTTTTGCTAGGGGACCTAAGCAAACGGAAGCCGAGAGTCTCTTTGGTACCCTGTGATCTCCGTTGATCTCCCTTTTTTGGGCAGCAGAGTGCATCTGACTTGGACCCTACCCCTCTTGCCCTTTTGCCAGCACTTAGTGGTCCAAGGCAAATCGACCTGCCATGACCTTTTCGGTCCTCTTTTGCCAACCATTTTTTCGTCATGGCAACCCAAAGGGTGATCAATCACGTTGCATTTGGTGCAAAAACTGGAACCGCGAGGGTCCAACCTTCCACCCCCAAAGGACCGATTCCTTTTTTCTGCCGAAATGACCCATAAAAAAGGGGTACAAAGGCAAAAATAACTGGGATAGACTTAGGATACAATTTACATTTTACCAGTGACTCAAAGTGAATCAAACAATAAAATATACATTCTATAGGTGGGCCTAACTCTAACCAAAGGAATCGGTCCTTTGGGTCCAGGTTCTCGAGGCTCGAATTCGGTCGATACACCGACTCGTGGGTTCCGAGTCTCCGAGGCACGTGGGGGCACATGTTGCTTTCTAGACCGCTCTTGACCAATACGGCAGGAGATGCGCCTTGGCCCAGTTGAAAACAAACAGCACTTGAGATATGAGTCAGCTTCAAAATTACCCTCATTTGCTTTATGTGGGAGTGTTTCATGACACATGTCGTTGATTGGTTTTGCTCGAAAAAAAACCAATACGGGACGTCCAACAAACAACGATACCTCAAAGCCTAGGGAAGAAGCTGAACAACAATACGGGATGTCCTAATGTCGGAATGAATACACCCCAGACAAGTAATTTTGACACCTCATAAATTTGTTTTGAGGCTCGCTACCCATGTTGCCTGGTGGTTTTTGCAACGGAAAGCACGACCCGAAATCCATTTCGGGGGGTCCCCAAACATGAACCGCACCCATATCTTCCCCAGAATTAGCTCCCCTTTTTGCTGTTTTGATCTTTTTGGGGGTCGCTTTGTTTTCCACTAACCAGGCAAAAATGATATTTTTAGCTGGGATTCTAATTCCAGCCTAGATATTGTGATGGCACCGAGCCCTGCCAAGAAGCAGACTCTTTCCACACCCTTTGCTCGAGGGAAGTTTTGTCCAAGTACTCGCATCTTGCGTGGATGCGGCCATAAAAAGCCAGGACTGGTTGTCGCCTCCAAATTGGTCCCCAAAAGTATAAAATGCAACCCGTCGAGGGCATCCGCCGTTTTTTGTGTGTCTTCAAAACATCGAAATCCTCGAAGCTCTGACTGAGAACCAGGCACCAAAGTAGCTTCTGTCTTGTGTTGGTGCCTGTTTTGTGGCAAAGGAAAGTAAAGTGAATTCACCCGTTGTGTTCCCTCAAGCCCGTGAACAAGTGTTCAGTTGTTGGCAGTTGCACCCTCTGGGTCAGCGGCGGTACTTGAAAGCCTCACTTGGTCTCTTTCTAAGCTCTGTGGCTATTCGCACCAGTGCAACAAGTTCAACTGTGGGTCAGTCAGCAACTACGGGTGTGTCTCTCTTTTTTTAGGGGACCCCAAAATGAGTAGCCTCAGAAACGAGACACACGAAGAAATACCACAGATGTGCCCCAAGGAGCCAAGTCAGCCAGTACCTGCTGACCCTGTCCGTATAAGGCACCCAGTGTCTCAGGCCCATTCAAATCCCGGAAATAGATTTCGGGTTTCCTCTTATCCTTAAAACCCACCGGCCCACCATACAACATGGGTACCGAGCCTCAAAACAAATGCAAGCCCAATGGGTGTGGCTTTCTTGAGGGCACCTTAATGAAACCAAAGGGAAGCCACCCATTTTGAGGGTTCCCTATTTAGAGAGACAGCCAAATGGTTCAAAACAAAAGGGGGCATTCAACCATCCAGAGATTCAACGAATCAACCAGGGGGTGACTTGGATGTTCAACCAACTTAGTAAGTAGGTTATAACCGTGGTTATACGGGGACCAGGTTATCCTAATCATAACCATGCCGGTAAACGCCTACCTGACGTTGGCAACGGACCTCCAAGTACCAATAAGATCCCTTGCAGAGGTAAGTTTGCTGGTTCTCAGCAAGCTAAGAGCAACCTTCAGGACCGTTTGAGGCGCTGAGTTTGATTGAAATTATTTCAACCCTTTTTCTAGGGGCCTCAGGCCTCCTCCAGTTTTTTTGGTATATGTCAGGGTAGACTAAACTCTCTTCCCGAGTTTCTGGACTTGAGTCACTTTTTGCGAAGGCGATTTTAGTGGTAAACAACAAGTTTGGATGGGTTTTGGGCCAATCCATTCAGGAGTGTGTAAATATGACCATGGGGCATAGTCTATGGCTCCATTTTGGGGTGGATGAACATCCATTTGCCACCTATTTTGATGTTCACCAGGGGCACAGAGATTTGACCCACAGCCATATGGCTGTGGGTCAAAATTTAATTACCAGGGGACCGCAGGTTTTAATCCATGGTTCCTTCTACCTGGGTTCCATTTTGGGTACCAGTTTTTGACCCACAGCCATATGAAGCAGACTCAAAACATAGTCCTAAAGAAGTTCCCTTGGCTCCGGGTCGGGGGGGGGGGGGTACCGTTTGGGACTCTTTGAAAAATATCCTGCACCCCTAAACAACCCCTTTTTTCTGCCTTTGACCCATAAAAAAGGGTACACAGGCAGAAATAAGGGGTCCTTTGGGGGTCCAGGATGTTCTGTGAATCCCTGGCGAAGAATCCTTCAACTCAGTCTTGGGCATGTCGATCTCGCAGCTTCCGTGTCCAACCCCGCCTTGCTTTGACATGGACTGAGGTACGAATGATGAAGTCATTCTGGAATCTATTTTTCGGTGCCGGCTTGTGAAACAAGCTGGCAGCGTACTATGAGCCAGGTGATTTGACCCCTGGATGTTGGATGGGAAAAGAGGGCCGGAGATGTCACCTCAGATGTACAGGATGAGAAAGGAGCAAATGTACTTTGCTTGCCAAAGTACATCCGGAAGTGAGTCAGAGTGCATCGCAAGGTATCACGGCACCAGCTATTCCTGGGACTCGCAACCAGTTTCCCGGACTGCAACATCTTGGCCTCTCCTGGACCGATGATTTCGGCGAGTCGAAAACGGGAGCCACGTGAATTGAGACCCCAAGGGTGGAGTTTGCGTCGGCGGATGCGCCATTGCACAAGTAAACCAACCAGACGAAAAGCCACAAAACCATGGGGTGAGTTAAAACCAAAACTAACCAAAACCATAACCAACCACCACCATGGCTCACCAAAACCACGGTAAGTTACGGGGAACATAAGTTAGGAATCCCAGTGTTTCGCTGATTCGCCGACATTATGCCGGGGAGGGGGGGCATGGGGCCCGGTGACCATTCCTGGCCAAGCTTGTGAGTAGTTAACCTAAGCTATAACCTGCCCCAAGAAAAATACGTTCAGTAGAGTTAACCTTGTTAGCGTTTTGTAACCCAGGTGGCTAACACTAAAATCTCACTTGGCAACGAGGGTCCAAGTACCGTTTTTGTTTCTCTAGCTTTGGGTTGGAGGTTAGGCCCGGTTTCCCACTACAAGTTTTACCCTCTACAAGGGGTTGATATCAATGTTAACTCTACTGAACGGGGGACTTGTTGTTACACAAGTTTTAGGTCAGGTTAAAAACTTACTAGCTTGGCTGAATAACTAGGTTACTTACCCCTTCCTCTTAACTAGCACTAGCATGGAACCTGACTGCAAAGCAAAAGTTTGGTTGCTCACCCTCCCATCGACCAACCTAAAACCTGACTGAGGACTGTTTTGCTTTAAAGGGGACCTGGTGGGTTCTATGGCAATGTGGATTGGGTAACACTTCTGAAGAACGAAGGCTTCGACTGGTTCCAGGGAACCTTCTGGGATCAACTCGAAGAGATGCTCGCAGCGTTCCTAGTCTCAAGCCTAGCATTGAGCGACGGTGAAGATTGGGATTCAGGCAGTTGCCAGCCACCCTCAGCACAATGCTTGGGTTCATATAGTCCAGGAGAATTGGGATTCAGTTGCCAGCCCCCAACAGATTTGATATAACCTATAACCTAGGAGCTAATAGAGCTAAGAGGGCGTAAGGAGTTGATATGACCTAGGAGACAATCAAACTCAAAGGGCGTAATAAAACACTGGGGGGATATGTTCAATAGGACCATGGCTGGGGCATATGTCACCACCATTTACCTTTCAGGATTGTTATCGAAATGGTGTCCTCTTCGGCCATACTTTCATTGAGAATTGGTTGAACCCTAGGGTTTAATAGAAGACACAAGCACACTTTGAGGTTTGTTTATACAATCGCGACCAAACACGAGCTTTTTTGGGCCCCTCGGCCCCCTTGCTAATTATTTGTATAGGCCCTTTAAGTACCTCTCCAGGCTGAAACAAAGCTTGCAACAGTTTTAGTTACCCATCATGAAGGTCCTTTTCTTAAAGCTCACTAGACCCATCATGTCAAGCATGAACATGAAAGCATGATGCGAGTTGGGCCTGCCATATCCCAAGAGGGTACCATTGTGTCAAGCGGTACCCGTCATTTCAAACACACCTTCGTTTGGTAGGAATGCGTTGTTTCAAGACCGGATATTGTATGTATCTGTATGTTTTGTTTGAAAATATGTTTGTGTTCCCATTTCTGTGCGACTTTTTGCGGGGTCCCCATTTTTTGCACGACTTTTTTGGGGGTTCCCCGTTTTTGCGGGTTTCCATCCACTGGCTTCCCTTTGGCCATGGCTCGCCGCCGGGCCAAAGTCCTCGCCGCCCTGGCGGCGCTCTTCGCGGCGTGGGCGTCGGGGCGAAGCTTTGCGGCGCCGGCGCCGGACTTCCAGGACGCCGTCAACACTATAGTTGTTCTCAGTTGTTCAGTGGCACCCTTTTCCCCTCTTTTTTTTGGGCGGCTGCCCCACTAAAATGGCCTTCCCCAAAAAGAATTGGCCCTCTTTTTTTCCAGGGTCACTGAACAACTGAGTGTTTTTTCTATCGTTGTATTTTAGTAGGGGAACCCTCCCCCCACAAAAAAGGGGGCCAAAGAAGGGCACCCGGCTGGGGGACCAGCAGCGCCCCAAGGTTGGAGGGGTACCTTCCATTTCCATTCTGAACCCAGGCATCCGAATCTGTCTAGAACACCTCCTTTGAAACCCAGGTTGAAAACGGATCCGGTTTTTGGCCAAGAACGATGCTTGAAAAGAATGGAAAAGGAATCAGACGTCCAACCGGGGTCTGGGGGGAGTATTGTTTCCGGATGTGCTGGACTTTAGTGATTTTGTTGGGTTTAGTTTTCGGACTTTGGTGACTTTTTTGGGTTTAGTGTGACAAATAGGTCATACTTGTACGCAGGTGGTCGTCTTTGTTTCCACTTACCGTTTGCTGTGTTTTTTTTGAGGGTTGTCCATTTTTTGAGCCAGAAGTACCTGGAGTCTCCTTCCGACCCTTTACAAATAGGTCCATGACCAACCATTATTTTAGGTAGTGACCAACCAATTTCAAAGGGTCATGGAGACTCTAGGTAGAGAATATTGCTCCCTGAGTTTCTGGACTTCTAGTCACTTGTTGGGTTTGGGTGCCACTTACAGGTAAACAAACAGGTTTAGACTTTGTTTGGCCAATCTACTTTGGAAGCGAGCAACGGGATGTGGGCAAATATTCCCTGCATGGAGTGTTTCAGATTCCTTTCTTAAGCTCCGAGTTTGTGAGCTTCCATAGTGCCAATCCACTCGAGGGGTGAGACTCTGAAAGTGATCAATTCGGAGAGCCATGAGGCCCAAGGAAGCGCCCAGACAGATATCAGATCATTGACTCATCGCCCGATGAGAATCGACCTGTTGGTGTCATTTTGCTGTCCGCTTCCTTAGGTTTTTGGGTTTTTAGTTGGTTTCGTGGTAGTCCCATGTAGCCCACAAGGTAAGCTTTTAGCAGATCCGAAGACGGACAGCTCAGTTTTGTCATGTCCGGCCTTCGGCTTACCATCCCTCCATAAACCCGCAAAGGGTAATCGTTGGACTTTTCAAAATGATGAAGAAACCAATCAGCTGTTACAGGTTCAAAGTTTGCCAACTCAACTGGTAAGCCCAAAAATCAATACATCTTAAATTTATGTCTATGGTATGTGTTTTCTTTGGATATGTCTTTCGCGGGAAATGATTTGGCGGCCGGCTCCTTGTTTGGAAATCAAAGGTCGTTCGCAGTGGTCCCAGGTTGCACCCCCCTGGCTTGACAGCTGGCAGCCGATTTCAATTCCCCCATGTCCGAAGCAGACATCGGGACGCAGTATGGCTATGAAAGAGCTAAGGTTAGAGACAGGTGTTCGTCTTAGTTTCCACATTTTACCGTTTGGTGTGATTTTGGGTTTGTCATTTTTTGAGCCAGTACCTGAAGTCTCCTTCTGACCCTTCAAAAATAGGTCCATGACCCCATTGGGTAATGACTCAACGATCATTCAAGGGTCGGAAGCCCATGATTTTGGGTGACCAACGATTTTTCGGGCAGCTACTAACCAGTCTTTCAGGAAATGCCCGGGCCGGGCATCCTCTACGAGGCGCGGGCGGCCATGGCCTTCCGGAGCTCGGGAAGATTGGCGTGAGGGCTCTGCAGGGTTTCTCGATGTCCGAGTTTTGCCCGTGGCAAGCTCGGCCATCCGGTCCCTTAGCTTCTTAGCCTTTTTAATTGTGACCCAGGATTAATAAACCCGTCCCATTTTTGGGGGGTGTTTCCTCCAAGAGTGATGAATCCCCACTAAAAGGGGACACCCGCCTATTCATCAACCAGGGGTTTATTACTCCGGGGTTCACATTCGTGGTATAGAAGTAACCCACTAAAGGTTTGTCACTTTTAGCGGGGGATCTGAAATCGGACAGCCCAGTTTGTTTGTCACTGTGAAACAACCCTTACCCAGTGACAAGAGCACAACCCCCGCAAAAGGGTGAGGTAATTCTCCTTTGAATGAGAGGGCTATTTGTACAGCCCTTCTTTTAAGGACACTTCAAAAGGGAGCCTGAAAGGGGGTTCGTGCTCATGGACTCGTTGGGATACAACCCCCCCTTTTCGGCAACTGAAACGAAGGTTGGTTCCCTTTGATTGGTTGGCTCCCCCCCCTGCTTGTGTTAGGATGAAGTTGCACCATTAGATGCAATGGGATTTCATCTAATTCACCACCGACTGTTCTCCAAAGGAAGCTTTCCTTAGTTGCCTTTTTTTTAATGGGAATCGGGGATGAACCTAGTTGGTATGGTTGTGACATTCTTCGGTTTTGGGGCGATTCAATTCTGTGATACCAAGCTCCTTGTCAAGAATGGTAGTCCTGGACATGGGAATCCGAGTCTTTTGGTATCACACATTTGGGATTGTCCACCACCATTCGGGCCCCGCTTCCCAGGGTTCGATGGATTTCCATTATACGAAAGGACCAAGGTCCCCCAGCTAGGTGCCCTTTTACCGTTTCTTTTTTGGTTGGGAGGGCTCCCCTACTAAAATAGACTACAGAAAAAAGGGTACCCTTATTCTAACCTCTCTACTGGAGGAACTAGGGACCAAAACTGGATGATGAATACACCTAGAACAATGGCGGTCACATTTTCCCAATTTGTCTTTCATGGTTGTTTCAATGGGGTACATGTTTTTTTGAGGGTAACCATTTAAGGTTGGTTTGAAGGGACACGCCACGGAAACCGAAAACCACGCCCCCCCGCCCCCCCCCCCCCCCGACCGTCCAAGCTCAAACCCTGGCGGTGTTGGCAAGGTCGTCGGCGAGTACAAGCTCCCGAAGCCGGTGGTGTTGTCCCCCCACAAGGCACGGAACAAGTTAATTTCTCCATGACCCTGAAAACAGGGGGGACATGATTCTGAATGTTGGGTATACCAAAGAAAATGGAGGGTCGGAAGGAGACTCCAGGTCCCCCAAAATCAATCAATACTTAGTGCTTATCCCTGCGGGTCTCTTGGCACACCATATTTTTGCAGTTGTCCGCCTTGGTTCTTTCGAGAACTTGTCAATTACAGCTCCCTCAAATTCGCACATGTAGGTCCTTTCGAGTGGTGGATTCTTGTTCCATTCTCTGCTATCGTTCTTTTCTCCAAAACCGATCGCTGCTTCCCCTTTTTTTTGCGATGTTTACTTAAGAAGAATCCCTTGGAATTGTTTCCCCTAGATTCTTGAATCCTCTGGGCTCCCAAACCGGAGAATCCTCTGGGCTCTCGGAAGGTCTTCCAGCATTTGGATCTTGCTGGGAAGACCAGTTTGGTTGACCAAAAGTTCAGACTTGTCTTGGCCCATCTCAGGAAGTGAGATAATAGTGGTGTCAACTCCACTTCGGGGTGCTCTTTGTGGGGGCTTTTCCCAGGGTTACGATCGCAACTTACTAACTCGGAAACGCACATCCAAGAACAAAAGCAAGGTTCTCCGCTGCGAAGGGAACACCTTTTTTTTGTCAATTGCCAATCCTTCCAAATTGGCTTCCGGAAGATTTGAGGAGAGCTTGCCTTGGGACGAGGAAACCAGGCCCAATCTGCTTTTGTGGCACCCCCTGGTTCCCATACGTTTTGCTGCAACTCCAATCCGCCGTGTGCAGTCGCAGGGGCTCTGGTTGTGGCAGGTGCCACTGAAGAGTCACTTACATGGCCATGTGTTTCACGTGTGTATTTTTTCTTGAGCCTTATCAACGCATGCTCCAGTGGGGTCACCCCGAACACATGAACAATGACGGGGATGGTAGCCACAAGGATTCCTCTTGAGGGACCCATTGACCATAGGCCAAGGAATTTTGAGCCCTGACTCATATTGTACCCTTTCCCCAACTAAAATGGAAAACCTGACGTTCCGGGGGTCCCTTTAAAGGGAAAATAGTCCAAACCAGGGACCCTCCCCCAAAACCCCCCTCCGGTTTCATGTGAAAAGGGTGGGAAGGTACATCGCCTTGGGGTCTCTAGGTATATCCCATGGACAAAACGCGCTCAGGCTTACTCGGGACAAACGAGGAGCCAAGTTCATGGAGGTCTCCTGTCGGTTTGTAAGTTATCCCTGGGAACACTGGATCTAAGTGGAACTCATGGGGGTGGGGGGGGAGGGAGGGGAGCGGGAGGGAGCCCAAATAAATTAAGCCCTTAAGGCCGTATGGTCCCCTAAAAGACAGCCAGTTGCGCAAGCCCTGTCCGTGCCAGGTGCCACGTTTGCAGGCGGACCTGGGCGTGAACGTCACTGAGGTGGGGGAGGATGCCTACATGGTGATGCCCCAGCAGACGCTCGTTGCAGTTTCGATCAAAAGGTGTCCCCCAAAAGAAGTTTTCCTCCAAGAACTGGGTTTTTTGGCGGGTTCCTTCCATTCAGGACGGTACTTGGATGTGCGATTCGCCAAGTTAGGAAGTGGAAAAGGCCACTCGAGTTATAACTCACTAGAAACAAGGTTCACTCCACTTTTGGGTGACTTACAAGCGGGTTATAACCTGGGTTACCAACAACTTGCTAGCTCGGCCATGGACCCAGGACGTAACAAAACAATCATGGGGCTGTAACAACCAGACCCTGGCATTAAAAAGGAACCCAGGCATGTATCTTGGTGTGTCTTTCTGTTGGGGGGTCCTTTGGTCGAAACATCTTTTTTCGTCTTAAGAGCTGCAAGCTTTGGGGTCTTTCCAACAGAAAACGTTTGGAAATGGAAGTTGGTTTGACCCGATTCTGAACATGTCATGCAGTGGATGGACAAAATTCAGTTCGCACCAAACAAATCAACCGTTGATAACATATATATATATATGTTATGTGTGTATGTGGGTTTCTTGTTTTGTTCATGCTTAATGAGGGACATAAATTGAGGCATTCGGGAACCTGGCAGGGTTGGTTTCGGAGTGGAAACAGGGGTTCCTTTTCGGTTTGGGCTTTTCTAATGCAAGAATCGCATTAAGCAGTTCCTTTGGTTTTGCTATTTTGAGGAACCATATGTAGTCATGTGTGTAGCTTTCTGTTTCGCCCTCAGTTCTTTGCCTGCTTCGGTTATTCTATTCAACCTGTGCGAAAACCTGTTCTGATGTTGACGATGCTTGCTTTCTCTTCAGGTCCTTTGGGCAAAGCTTCATTCGAATGTTTGGCCAGCTCAGGGGTAGTTTGAGTTGCACCAGCTCTGAGATGGGCTTGCTTTCTTTTTGTTGGTGAGGGCGCATAAACCATATTGGTATATATATATATATATATATGTATACCAGGAGTCTCCATAACCCTTTCAACATGGTTCAATGACCCCATTATGTTGGGTAATGACCATTTTTTAAAGGTCATCCATATATGTGGGTGTGCCTTTTTCTATGTGTACCCCGCAAAAATTGCAGTATTCCTTTGGTTTCCACTCAAAGGCCACAAAAAGGGGGCTGCCCTCATGACCCTTGAAAAATGGGGTCATTACCCAAAAATTGGGTCATTGACCCATGTTTACAGGGTCATGGAGAATGCAGGTACAGGGTTTCCGTTTTCGCATGTTATGTGGCACTCCGTTGTAACCCTATCCACTCCTCCTTTTGGAGTTCCCACAAAAACTGCGGCCCCCCCCCCCCTGAACAAAAGGAAAACACAAATCTTGCTGGGGCTTACGGCGTTTTCGGTTTAAGGCTTGGGTGTGTATCCAACTAGGGGAGACTCCCCCCAAAATGGTCGGTTGTCTTTTGGTTTCCCTTCAAACCAAGCAAAAAGGGGGTGTACCCGAACAAAGATACACTTTTGCGGGCTAGTCAAGGGCCGGCTTGTGGTTGATTGCCTTTTCACATGCTTCATGACCAAACTACATATCATGTAAACTTCAGATAGCGAACTGGTGATACAAGGATCAAACTATTGTCGTGGGGTTGCAGAAATCAGACATAGTCGTGACTATGTCTGATCACATATATATATATATATACAGTGTCTAATGATTTAGCTCCTTAAGCTGACTGGACTTTGCACCTCGGTCGAGTCAGGGGTTCCAATTTGCGGCCCTTCGGAGAAGTGGAGGAGAGAGAGTCGGGAAATCATTGGGATGTGGTCGAAGGAGAGACGGTTATGATAGTTGGGTTTATGTCTTTTGAGAGTACCTTGTTTGAAGTGGTTTTAAAGGGACACCAAAAGGAACACCACCATGTTTTGAGCTCCAGTGCTTGTTTTCTATTGTGAGTTCCGGACCCACCAACAACGCATCGCAAAATGCGGGGCCACGGGTCAGGACTTTTGTTGAGGGTTTCAGAACATGAACCTCCTGTTCACCCCTATTAACTGTGGTCACGCGAGTCACGACCACTGAAACACGCGCGTGCCGCAGGGCGAAAGCGTTGTTAGTACGATAAACCAGCCACAGAGGAAGATCAAATCTCATGTGGAGGCTGTGTCATGTACTTGGATTTTCGTCCAAGTACCTGGAGTCTCCACAGGTTAAGGTACCCACTGCCCTGGTAGAGTAGAATCACAGGCAAGTGGCAGACCGAACCCAACTGCATGGTAGATAAGAACCGGAGCTCATCCGTGTGAGGTTGCCAAGCATGTGGCGCCCTTTGCGGGCCTCTTGTGACACATAGCGCCGCTCTGTAGCGGTCCCAAAAGGTCCTAAGGTACCCGTTCAGCCTCAAGCCATCCTCTACTGGTAGCAAGGGACCCCGCGCAAATGGTGCATGGCAAAACTCCGACAAAGCACACAGGAACAAGGCGAACCACAATCAACACATGGTTCAAGATACCCCAAAACCCGGAAAAAAACAAATGCGCAATGTGAACCGTGGTCAACGTTCAAGGTGCCTGAAAACCTGGAAAACACCAAAGGAACAAGGTGAACCGTGGTCAACATGGTCAACACATGGTTCAAGGTACCCAGCTTTTGGCATAGTCAGCTGGCCATGGGTCAAAAGCCCGTACCCCAGTGAACATCCCAATCCCCACTAAAATAGACTAAGATGGGTGGTGCACCTACCCAAAAATGTCACCATTGGTTTTGACCCACAGTCAGCTCACAAGGCCCTCTTGGCCCTTTCAGGGGCCCCGTAGGAGATGTACTTGCGAGACCTGCGGGGCAACACCATCAGCCCGGAGAAGAATCCGGGGATCCGAGTCGAGCCCAACTTCGTGTCGGAGGAGAGCGGTCAGATCTTGGCTGAATGTTTTGCAGAACATGGAGCCTAGGGATCAACACACTCCTGGTTATGAGTTTTAATAGGGAACCGGAACAATGCCAACTCTAGTTGTTGTTCTATTTGATTTACTTCTTTTTGGAAGAATACTGAACCGATGTCTAAACGGGACTCCGAAGGATATTGATCCCAATCGCTATGCATAAATCCTCCCTGACTTTGTCTGGTCCATAGGTGGGGGAGCAGCCGGTAAACCAAGCCCCACGGGGTCCAAGTACTTTCTAAAATGCCACTATCCCCAAACCACTACCCCCCCAAGTAACATGGATACAACCACTGTGCCCTGATTTCCTCTGGAGGTGGCTTGGAAACGGGTAGTTGAATCCACCTAGGCGCTTTGTTTTTGTGTTTAAGCTGTCTTTTGCGGGTCAAGAACTTGTGCGAGGGGACCAAGAAGCTGCTTAAACTGTTCTCGCTTGCTTGTTCTTCCACGTTTCACGTTTTGCCGCATGAGGCAAGTGACTGATTTTCAGGGCCTCAGGGTGCCAGGGCAGCTTGTTTCATCCACTATTTGTGTGTGTGTGTCTTGTGGTGACCCTTTCAGTTTAGAGGAAAGCCATAATTAGGGACATCCTTCTTGACGTTCGAGACCTTATTGTTTTGCACATATTTGGGTCTCCTCCATACTTCTTTCATATTAGGTTAGACTAAATGTAAAGTATACTTCGACTATGACTTTATGTGCACCCAACATGTGGCCAAAATATTGCCCCATCTCGGCAGCGCAGCGCAAGGGGTCTGGAATATACTGCTTGCCTTTTTTGGTGAGCTGATCCGTTAACACGAGCCCATGTAGGTCCAAAACCCGGCGTCCTCTCATGTGCTAAGCGGCAAAATGAGCAGTTGCCCGGTTGCTTCCTTTTTCCTCTTTTTGTAGGAGGGACTGCCCTTTAAAGTCAAGCAACCAAAAAAATATGCCCTTTTTTCCCATGCCCGCTGGCTTGTGAAACTCACTTCCTGAGTGAGTTGAGTCACTTGGCAAGAGCATAGTTGCCAAAGGAATAGGTGACCAAGAGGTGGCAAAGGAAAAGTTTGGGTTACCTTAGGGAGCCTTTACCAGCTTTGGTTACTTACCTTAGGGCAAAGATTTGGGGTTACTTGGATACTGTTTTTTTGGGCAATCCACTCGACCAGCCTTCGGGACCCAGAATGGCAAGGAGGAGGAGACTGAGATCATGGACGAGCTGCAAGAGCTCGCAGCCAGGCCCGGAGATTGAGAGATGCACTGGCCCTGTTCTACCACTCCCAGCGACTCCTAGTAACCTGTATAGCTAGTAACTGGCCGTTGGCGACTGTTTGTTTTGGGAACCCCGGTTTCGCGCCCTTTTTTGTGGTTCCTGGAACCAGCGGTCAGTTTCCAATATGGCAGGTAACCAAGCTGGTTCCGCAGTTGGGTTAACTGGAAGCACTGGGACTATCAAAGTAACCCCCAAGTGGGGTCAAGGGAAACCACAACAGTTTCTGACTTTGGTACCCCAGAAATAGTGAAAGTAATGACCCCAGTTTCATATCGGTGTGTCTTGTCTTTGGGGGACCCGCCAGATGGTGGGTGTTCTTTTACCCCAAAAAGGGTACCCTGCGCCCATGGGTACGTGTTAAGATAGGGATACGGACCCCCAGAATGGCGAGGAAACCATCTTGTTTTTTCCGGGTTAAGCCAACCTTCAAACGCACCCATGGGTGTGATTTGAGACCTGACATCAAAACTCGGTGATTCACATCCATCGGCCACTGTTGAGGTAGTTCCAACTCTTGATGCATAGACATATCTTGTTGTCAAGAGGCTCCTGGCTTCGGCTTCCAATGGAAGACCCGACCTCTCCATTCGACCCGGAGCTGGAGGTGTTTGGGACCCGGTCTCAAGACCTGGCAGTTTTTTTGGGCCCTAAATACATCACATCGGGAGCCTCTGGGTTAGAGGGAGGCCCCCAATTATTTCGGCGGTTTCCTTTCGGTTCCCTGTGACACCCATAGAAGGGAGCCCTCGGTGCCTTGGCCAGTGGGAATGATCGTCCCATACTTGACTGCTATTGGCTTGGATCTTTAGACTTTAACTTTTGGGGAAATAAAGGTGTGTTCCACCAAACTACCTAAAAGTTAAACTTTTTGCAGGGGGGTCAGCAGCAACCAAGCAGAAACTCCTAGGAATGTAGGCAATGCTAAGCTTCCATTTGCTTCATAATATGTGTGTTTTTTCTATTGTTGGTGTCAAAGGGAATCGATTTCACTACTGGAGGTGTTTTTTTCCCCAGGGGTCTTAAGCAAATGGACGTAGGGGTTCTTCTGTCAGGCAACCATGGCCCATCTCTACATAGGAAACCCCAAACATAGGTGTGTACTAGCACAGCAGCTAGGTGTGTTTTGGTTTTATGAGGGTACTCATTTTGCGGGTTGATTTAAAAGGAAGCTGAAGGACCATCGTCCATTTTGTGGAATTTCCCAATTTGGAGAAAACACACCAAACATGATGAGCTCTATTTGGGGTAACACGAGCAACAACCCGTGATGAAGTTCCTTTACGTGGGGATTCCTAATTTCTTGTCACTGATTGTAATTTGCCCGGACATATTCAGTCTGCTCCCAAAAAAGCGCGCGCTTGATTTACGGCCCCTTCACACACAGATCAGAGCAAAACCAGGCACTCGCACCCTGGAAACATGAGTCGGCACCGGGTCAGCATTTGGATGCGTCTGAGTCACACTCAAACGTAAGTTATCCACCCAAAATCGTTTTCATGTTGTTCAAATGAAAACCTTGGCGATACCACGAAAAATTGAGTGGTTCCTCTATGAGACCCCCCAACAAAACAAAAACAAGGTGGACGTTTTCCTTTGGACTTCCCTTTAAAAACCCACCAAAAAGGGGGTACCCAATATATATATATGTAAATTGAACAAAAAAACGCGGAGGGAAAAAAAACATTCCGTTTTCCAAGGGGACTTCCCTTTAACCCCAACCAAAAGGGGGGGGTACCGGGGTACCCTCAACAAGAGACAAACCCCTTCGTCTCGATCCGGAGGTATGGCTACAACTTCGCAGCAGACGAGGCCGCAAGCTCCTGGCGGCTGCTTCGGCTGAATTGAGCCGTCGACACCGGCCTCGCGAACCGAGGCGAGCCCAAAACTGCTTGGGTCTCTGGACACCTTGCGGGGGGCAAACCTTCGTTGTTTGCAAGTTGTTTTTCTTCTTTTTTGGTTGTGTTCATTTCTAGTAGCGGGCTGCAACTGCTCGGGGTTCTGTGGTCCATGTGACTGTGTGCGTGTGTGTGTGAGTGTGTGTGTGTTGTTTATTTACTTAAGGAAATACTACGTACGGTTCTGTGGCTTACGATGATGAATCAACCCCTTGGAATGCTTAGTGGCTTATGCATGTTTTTTCGTGTAAGACGGTGTTTTTTTTCAGAGCGGGCCCATTTGGTTCCAGACAGCCTCATTTTCATGCTGACTCCCAAGATATGAACAGCCCTGTTGCTTGAGAAGACTCCCCTTAGCCAACTTGGCTCTCGATGGACAGCATCATGCCTACGCGCAGGCAGCTGCTGGAGCAACGGTCAGCTACTGTAGTCCCTATACTGATTCAGAGCCATAGCAAGGTGAGCGGTTGCAACTAAATAGCAACAAAGGGCCATTAAGGACCGTTGATGACCATGAGCATCCCCCCCCGGCTCCCTAATGGCTCTATATGATTTCAGCAGCAAGGGGATGACATTGACTCACCAAAGCACCATCGAGAAACTGAATTTGTCGACTCCCATTTGAGTTTGGGACACTATGAATGTTGACCTATTTCCTGCGGTTGGTTTTGAGTTTCTTCCGGGTAGGCCGGGCACAGTGAGTTATTGCTTACGACAGTTTGCATATCGAAGTTTGTTTGGAGTCAGTTTTCTAGGTGGGTCTGCCTGGGATCATGCAGATCATAAGGCCTAAATAAGCATAGCCATGTTCACAGGGGCAGTGCACAAGGGGCACGAGGCGCAGTGTGGACAAGTCGCCTATGGAGGTTCCTTGCATAGCGATCCGTTTCTTATGAATCTAACTTTCTTAGTGGGTTTATAACCCAAGTGGCCAACCACTTTCTGACTTGGCGACGAACATCCAAGTACGTGCCATATGGGACGGACATGGGGTAACTTGCTCAGTCTTGCACAAAAGCCAGGGGACCCACTACTTCACTGTTCTTGGCATGTTTTTTGGTTTTTTAGTTTTGTGGTTCTGTTCATTTTTACTGGGGGTCTGCAAAAAACACAGTTTTTAGCTACCATACCAAGAGTAGAGATGACTAATTTTCCCAGGTCTTAGGGGAAACCTTAGTAGCTAAGTAACTCCGTCATATCATACTCGCAATTTATTCCACTCTTTCTGCAAGGAGCATGTGACGTCACACGGGCGTGGTTCCTTTTCCAGGTGACCTCAACAAATGTTTGTTGTTCAAAACGAACAGCTACCAACTCCAAGAAAAAGACCAGCCACCCAGATATTCCACCCCCACAAACTGGTAGCGCCTCCAACAAATACACCAAAACGGTTCGTGCTTAACAGCACCAAAACGGGTACCAACTCCCACACAAATAGCGCCGCCCAGATTTCTTTCGAGTTTTCGGACGTCTCCCGTGCCACTCGTCCGCTCCAAGGATGACGGGCCGCGACGAGGGCACCAACTCCGCCACTCTGGCTCCCTGGGGCTGGGGTCAAAACTTTTCGCGGTCCGAGCTGCCGGAAGGAGCGACTTCGGACAGAAAAAACCTTCCGTGTTGTTCTGTTTTTTCAGGGAATCCAACTCGCAGGGAAAGCAGGGATGCGCGAGGATTCCCCCGTTTGATGCACCTTGACTAAGTTTGATATGTGAAATGGCGCCAAATGCCAAAGGAATCCCCCCATATCCCCGCTCCCTCCGTATCCCCGCTTGTTCGTTTGTCCAATTTTTCCTTGTTGACCCCCCTTTTGGGCACCTGACCTACGGCCAGAATGAGGTCACTGTTTTTTGCATTGTGTCACTGCACTTCCATTTACTTATCAGCATTGTTCATATGTTCCCTTGGTTTTGAAGGGAATCGATTTAGCTAATGTTAACCCCGGATTAATACACCCCTGGTTGATTTTGATCGGGGGGTGTCCCCTTTTGGAGGAAACACCTTCCCCTCATAATGGGACTGGTTCTACTTAGATCCTGGGCCAACATTACTGGACCTATTTTTTTCCAGAGGACTTAAGCAGGTGGAGGAAAAGCCCCCCGACTCCTTCTTGAGCTTCGGAAAGATCATGCGAGTGGTAAACACACAGAGTCTCTGGAGGACTTTGTTTGGCCAATCCGCGAGCAGGAAGCGAGCTTCCGGATGTTGTTAGAAAAACAAAGACAAAGGGTCCAACTTGGAGCCCTATATTTTGCAGATTTGGCAAAGGGTCCAACTTGGAGCCCTATATTTTGCAGATTGGGCGGATCTGTGTTTGATGATTTCCCGAAAGAACCAAAACCAGGACCAGCAATAAGGGCCATTTTGGTGTCCCGGGAACAAATTGTGTTGCTAAAGAGAACAATGGGTGAAGAGAAGAAGGATCAACTGCTAGAGATGTAGTTTTGACACGCAGGGTCTTCTTCTTGCCCAGTGATTCTCTTTACCCTTGTGGTAGCCAAGCGAACAGCCCCCCTTTGGATGAGGTTTGAAAGAGAAGCCACAGGGAATGCACAACATTTGCGTGGCATCCAGATCCAAACTCAAATGACATGATGTTTCAGTTGAAATTTAGCTAAGTAGGATAGCAAAAGCTGAGGTTTGCATAGGAAAGTTCATCTATCAGAAGACCTTTGGTTGAGAGAGCATCGAATGGTGTACTTCCGTTGACACTGGATGGGTGTTTTGAAGGCTTGATTTGCTGGGCTTAAGGGGCGGGCCCTTCGCAAGTAAAACTTGGGGCAAAGCGACAGATTGTGAAGCACGAGGCCGAAACGCAGACAGGGATGGCGAGAGCGAATTGTGTTTGCTTGACGGCGCATCTGCCCATTTGATAGCGAGCTCACCGATCTGGGGTAAATATACACCATAATATATAAAGGTCCTTTGCTTGGGGATCCCTCAACTCAGGTTTTGGAAGTATAGTAAATTTTGCAGACCTGACGTTAGTGTGACATAGTCAAGATGCTTGTTTTCCAAGGACCCTCCAACGGATTTCTATGAAATCCCAATCCTAAACAGCCCAAGGAATGTCAGCTAAATGCTCAGTTGATGGGGAGGGGGGTTGTGGCATGGTTTATAACACTCGAGAAAATTACGCCCCAGTCATTTCAGACCTTCCTGTTTGCGGACACTATGCTAATCTAGAGGTGTTCCCTACAGCAAAATAACTTACCCTTATATCCACAAAACCATTGGTAATTTGTGATGGAGGTTTTCCTACTTATCTTACTTGCAATATGGGATCGGGGCACTCACTGGACGAGCAGCCCCTGATTTCTTTCGGGAACTCGTCAAGTACAGATATCGTCAAATCTGCGCAGATCTTTCGGTACCAAGGGTCCCTTTGAGGGTGACTGACCCACTTTCAGCCGTCACACACCTCAAGTATTAAGTTGGACCTCTGGGATGTTTGGGATCGGTGACATCTTTCAATGCTCGGATCCACTTGGATGTTCAACCAACGTCAGGTAAGTAGGGATAACCATGGTAAGAACAAGAGTAACTGGGTACCCACGGTTTTCCCCTATACTTAGTAAGTTCTTTGAGCCTCGCATCGCATCGCAGGACTGCTGCGCGTGGTGGCGAAGTTGGAGGCCTCGAGCTATCCCCTGGGCCCGCTGCGCGATGTCACCGTGAACATCCGCAGCTCTGAGGATTATCAGATGGCAGCCCGGCCGCGGGAGCGATCGATGCCGCGGACGGGTGGACGGGTGAAGCGCCGGCCATGGAGGAGCCGGCCTATTTGAGGTTTTTTGGTACCTACCTTTGGGTTTTTGTACCTCATGTATTTGGTATGCTGGCAAATTTCCCTGTGACGTTCAGATGGTTGTTGGATGTATCCTCGGTGCTTTCCCCAACCCCCCAGAAGGAGATTTGTCAGGGATAGCTTTTTCCTTGTGGGGTAATGTTTGAGGGGAGAAAAGTCCTCGGGTTGACCTTTGCGGTTTTGCCACGGTCCATGTGTCCAGGTTCCAAAAGGTCTTCTTGTGTTGCCAGGTCCTTTGGACAAGTGAGTTGTTCAAGTTTTAGGGGGTGATCAGAGAGGGGCAACATATGTTGAAACAGCCAGCCCCTGGTTCCCCGGACTTGGTCAATTTTAATAGAGGTCCCAAAAAGAGGTCCCAAAACTTTTAGTAGAGGTCCCCGGATTTCGTGATTTCCCCCGGTCCTTGGGGCCTATTTAGAGAAAGGAACCTTTACCTTTCGGCCACTGCTCTATGGCTGGAGTCCCTGACCCGCCCCAGATCTTGTAGAAAGTAATTGGGAACCTACCCCCAAAGAAGCTCCAAACCAATGCTTGGATTGTTTTTTTTGGTCAAGCTGATATGGGCATGTCGCTTTTTTAAGGGGACCCTTGTTTGTGGTATTAACAGAAAACCAGAAGGAACAACTCCGTGTTGGGAGCCCTGAGAACAAGCAACCCCCTCCTTATTGGTGTTGCTTGAAAGTCCCTTCAAGCAAGCTGTTTGAAGCAGGGCTCCTCAGAAGATACATTTTGCCCATTTGAAGCATGTTGCTTTCTCCACCCAAATAAAGTTGGACACCACCATTTACCAGTTGCAATGTTCAGGTGTAGAATGCATCCGGATCCCTGTGAAGGGGAGGGTTAAGTCTTGCACCCAGCTCCGCCTCCCCATGGCATCAGAGTGAGGTGCCACATATCGATCCCCTGCCGGACGGGCCGAACAGTCTCTCGACTCGGATCGGGCGTTGGAAAGGGAATCTATCACTGCTGGAAAGATGCTTTTCCCCAACAGCTGAAAGCTTTGGGGTCTTAGCCCAGATAGGCTCCGGGGTGGTCCGGGGCGACCCTGAGCTAAGGTTCCACCAGGGTTCCACCAGGTTCCACCACAGTTCCACCAGGGTTCCACCAGGGTTCCACCAGGGTTCCACCAGGGTTTTCACCAGGGTTCCACCAAGGTCCACCAAAGTTGCACCAGGGTTCTACCAGGGTTCCACCAAAGTTGCACCAGGGTTCTACCAGGGTTCCACCAGGGTTCTACCAGGGTTCCACCAGGGTTCCACCAGCGTTCCACCAGGGTTCCACCAGGGTTCCACCAGCGTTCCACCAGAGTTCCACCAGGGTTCCACCAGGGTTCCACCAGCGTTCCACCAGGGTTCCACCAGAATTCCACCAAGGTTCCAGCAGGGTTCCACCAGGGTTCCACCAGGGTTCTACCAGGGTTCCACCAGGGTTCCACCAGGTTCCAGCAGGGTTCCACCAAAGTTGCACCAGAGTTCCACCAGGGTTCCACCAGCGTTCCACCAGGGTTCCATCACAGTTCCACCCACCAGAGTTCCACCAGAGTTCCACCAGGGTTTGACCAGGGTTCCACCAGGGCTCTACCAGGGTTTTACCAGGGTTCCACCATTTTCTACCAGGGTTCCACCAGGGTTCCATCAAGGTTCACCAGGGTTCCACCAGCGTTCCACCAGGTTCTACCAGGGTTTCACCCAGGGTTCTACCAAATTTCCACCATTTTCCATCAGGGTTCCACCAGGGTTCCACCAGGGTTCCACGAGGTTCTGCGAGAGGTGGTGCGGGCAAAACAGCACCGCATGCTGTTGGGGATATCACCTTTTGCTGATAAATGTTTTCCTTATACTTCCCCTTTTGGTTGTTAAGGGAATCTATCACTGCTGGAAATATGCTTTTCCCCAACATCTGAAAGCTTTGGGGTCTTAGCCCAGATAGGCTCCGGGGTGGTCCGGGGCGGCCCTGAGGTAAGGTTCCACCAGGGTTCCACCAGGGTTCCACCAGGGTTCCACCAGGGTTCTACGAGGGAGCACCAAAAGGAGCACCGCATGCTGTTGCCGTTGGGGATATCACCTGAGCTTATTTTTGTTTGCAGGGGCTTAAGCTAATCGAAGCCCCAGTTGTTTGCTTGTTTGGCATTTCCGGGTTTGGTTTATTTAATCGTTTGCTTCTGTTGCTAAAGTTTCTGTGCCGGTCTTTGTTTAGTCAAGCTTTCCTTTTTCCAAAAAGCGGAGGCAGCCCTGCCTGCTTGCGTGCTTGCTTGCGTGCTTGCTTGCTTGCTTGGTTGGTTGGCTGGTTGGTTTGGTTGGTTAATTGGTTGGTTGGTTGCTTGCTTGGTTTCTTGCTTGGTTGCTTGGTTGCTTGGTTGCTTGGTTGCTTGGTTGCTAGGCTGTTTGTTTACCTGGTTGCCTGGTTGCCTGGTTGCCTGGTTGCTTGGTTGCTTGATTGCTTGGTTGCTTGGTTGCTAGGCTGTTTGTTTGTTTGTTTGTTTGGTGGTTCTGTTTTTTAGGATTGCAAACAACGCAGTAGTCTAAACCAAGGGAACCCTGACGAAGTAAAGCTGTGCCCATTGGGGCGCGCCTTTTTTTAGGGGTCTCCAAAAACGCAGTTCGGTGTTCCTTTTGTTTTCCCCTTAGAACCACCAAACACAGGTGCCCTAAAAAAACGACACACCCATTTCCTCACAAATAGGGGGATCAAAAGGCAAACCCTACAAAGGGTCCTCATGCACCTCATGTACGTCATACTTCCGGACTTGAGTTGAATCCGAGGAATTCCTTACTTGCCGGTTCTCACCCCTATGAACCATCCCTTGTGGTTTCCTCTAAGGGAGCCCTAGGATCATGCCCAACATTTTGGATCATTCCCTACTGAGCACCAGCCAGCTTACCACACCCCAACTTTTCCCAAGCCCCAGCTGAGCCACAATCAAACCCGGCGATTGAAGGGATAGTCCCAACCAAAAATCAGTGCAGCCTCCTTGGTGCCGGTGGGATCGTCCATTTGAATACCAGGTTTTAAGTACGACTCACCTCAGCTTGGTTGTTCCACCCAACGAGTGCCAGAAGATGAGCGCGGCTTTGTTGCGCTTGGGTCTTGGTGACCTTCCTTTATCTAGTGCTACCTTCCCAATTCCTTCCAGGGATCCTTCTTTCTAGAAAACCCACGGCAACCCAGGGAAACGGATCCGGTTTTTGAGAAGAAGGATGGTTGAAAAGAATGGAAAAGGCATCAACCGTTAGACTTGAGGTTCCGGAACCTGCCAGGAGGTCCTTTGTAAAGGACCCTGGGAGGGGTTCCCTTTGCCGCAAGGGTCATCACCAACTGAGGCTTCGTGATGTCGCTCTGGAGCAGTGCCGTGGTGACCTTCTCCCCCGTGGCGAGCTTGCGCCGGGAGGTGGCGGCCCAGCGGCCGGGGGGAAGTGAGGAGAACGAGGGGTGGTGGTGTCCCTTTAGGTCTTCCCCTACCAGGCCCCCCCCCCCCACAACCAAACAAATCCCCAAAAAGGGCGGGGGTCAAACATGGGGGAACTCCAAAGTGGGTTGACATGGAAAATGGAAGGAGAGGTGGTTTCAGGGTGTCCCAGTCCCAGTTACTCGCTTCCCGGCGTTTGGGAGTGTTAGCCATGGCTTCAGCGGCAATGCGCTGCTCACCACCCTCATCACAGGGAAAGTGAGAGGCCCGCGTTCCTGGACTTTGGTCACTCTTTGGGAAGGAAAGTGTGGACGTTTTTGGGCCAACCCACTCAAGAAGAGAGTTTACAAGTATATCAAGTAAGCCTTGGTTGCGGATTTGAACCCCCGCCTTTGGAGGTCCCAGTTACAACTCTGCCCAAAGCCACCCGTTTGACCTTTTTGGTTTCCCTGACTTGGTCCATATTTTGTCAAGGTTCCAAAGTGTTTACCTTTTATTCCTGGGTCCAACTGCGCAAATGAGACAACTATGGGAAAACCTTCTTCATTGTCGTTTGGCTTTTGCAAGGGTAGTTCCTTGGCTACCCTAACAGGGAAATGGAGTCACTCAGCTGGTGTTCGGTTCGTGTCAAACTGGCGCCCCATTCATATTTGGTTGATCCCCATCTTACTGCTTGGCTGATATTGGGCTCATAAGACAGCTCGGCGGTCAAAGTTCAAACAAAGACAGGGTCCGCTTTTATTCTGGCGAGTCGGCCAGCCACAAACAGGCGTTGCGTTGCTTTTGGAAATCCGCTGGATGTCTTGATATCTTGTATTTTGTCTTCCATATGGGTTGTCTTTTTAGGATTGAGCACATTAGAAGGTTTAAGGCAATCAGCAAACAAATATTTGCCCATAAACCAAACCTTTGCCGGCTGATTCATTGGATCCCCTTGGCTTCATCAGGTGGTTTTTCGACGTTCGGTGGATGCTCTGCCGAAAATCATAGTAAATTGGAGAATCAGGTGTCCTGTCTCACTCCTGTTCCCACCTGCAACGTGTTCTTACTCCCTGAGCTTCTGGACTTTATACTTTTGGGGAAGACCATACAACAAGTTTAGACTTTGTCTGGCCAGTCCACGCAGGAAGTGTAAATGTTTGGGACACCCATGAGACACATCATACGCGTCCTGTTCCCTTACGCCCATGATTGTCCATAAAGCCAACCTCCAGCTGATGTTTCCCGATCTCCTTTGCTTCAGGCGGTTGTTGGACGCGGTTTTTTCGCGGGATCCCCTCAGCTTCAGGTGGTCTTACCCTACCGGTTTCCATGGGCAGGTGGAGGATTTCCCGTAGCTTCAGCTGGCGCTTTCCGTGGGATTGATCGATCCCAGGAACGCGCCAACGACGACGGGTTTTATGCCCAGCACTCCTATACGGATGACGACATTGACTGCCTGGTGCCTCGCAGGGCCACTTGGCAGATTTTTTGTTGTTTTCAGGCGTGCCCTACGCCTTGGAAGACGTCCTGGTTGGATCAAGTTGTTAGTATGTTGTTTTTCTTTTTGGTTGGGTTCTGTTCGATTTTTAGTAGGTTCTATTGGTTTTGTTGGTTCTGTTCATTTTTTGGTTTGGGCAAACAAGCAGTCAGTTTGTTTTCAAGCCGATGCCAAGGGTTGTCAAGTCAAAGGGAGAGGTACCAGGGCCAAGTTACCCACTTCTTGAGTTCTGAGTCACTCTTTTAGAACACCATGTTAGCAGCACCCAGAAAGTTTGGACTTTTTGTCCCATCGACTCAACAAGTGAGGGTAAGTGCAAAAGCCCACCTGAGCTGTAACCAACAAGGTGACCGCCACTTCGGGGCTATAAGTGGGTTGTAGCTTAGGACTTACATGGCGGAACACCCAAGTAATGGAAACCCTGGATCGAAGCAGAACCCCTTGTTTGATTTCTTAGGAGGAGTCAGACCGCTTTTGGAGGGGACACCGCCCCATGAATTTAAGGGCCGGAGTTATTAATCTGGGTGATCATTGCCTAACATATAAGAGGATGTGAAAAAAATGCTGTTGACGGATGTAAAGAAATAGTTTGATTCAAACCCTTTGGAGTCCATTGATACCTAACATGCTTGACGATTTGAGGAATCTACAGTGGACGAACTTCAATGGTGCATGTCGACATGTTTGTTGTATTTCTCATATTGGGGATTGAAGGGAACCTATCACTGCAGATGTTTCTCAGCTAATATCCAGAGGGACTTAAGCAACTGGAGGCAGCGGAAGAGATACGACCATCAACGGGATGACACACATGCTGGTTGAAGGGAAGGGCCAGAGTCGCCCAACTTGAGGTTTGGAATTGGACTATCCCCAATATCGCAATACTTGGTGAGTCGGGCGGCGTTCTTGTTCCTTGTCGATTTGTTGTTTCGCGTGTTGTTGAGTTGTGGTTACCCAAAAGAGCTGAGATGAGAACATGCCGAATCGGAGGCTTGTGGACAGTTCAAAGTTTGCACGAATTGGATTCACATGGCTATCTGAATTTTAATACGGAACCACCTCCCAAATGGTGGACATAAAACCACACCGAGTTTTGATGTGCCCCATTTTGGGTCCCCAATGAAAGCTCATGCTCACTTCTTTCCCACAAGCCACTTCTTTTGCTCCCAACTCCTAATTAAGGCATTGGCTCGTTTTGTGTCTGTGGCTTTGTCCCAACCATCCAAATCGGCTCATCCAACACAGGCACCCCTGCTTAAACGGGCATTGTACTTAGTAAGTGGGGGAGAAACATGGTTATAATCCACGTACCATGGTTATTACTCTCCGTTCAGCGAGAGATTGCCGTACGAACCGCTTACCTGACGTACCGAATCGATCGCCTCTTTAAGTCCTGTAATGTTGACCCCAGATGAATCAACTCGTGCCATTGGAAGCTTGGAACTTGGAACCCCAGAAAGTGAGGCAATGAACCCAGGGAGCCCCTCGTAAATCGGGATCATCCCAATTCTTAGTTCCTGCATCTCTCGCACCGATCGCACATTTTGAGAAGCACTCATATGGACCCCAGGTATGAACCCCGAGTGTATGAACCTCTAGTTTACGGATCAATAGGGAGGTGGATGGCAAGTGAGGCCATCTATCAGTTCTCCGGGAACGCGCGGTATCTTTGGACCCACGCGGTTCGCCCGTCTCTGCCCTCTGGCGACGGAACCTTCGAGCGCTGGGGTACCTGGGATAAGGTGTTGAGGAGACAGAAGCTTGGATGATGATAGTTGTTTTTTGTGTGTGTGTGTGTGTGTTTTGTCGTTTGCCTTTTTTTAGGTGGTTTTGAAGGGAAGCCAAAGGATCATCACTATTCTTGGGGGGGGGGGGGTCCCGAAAAAGACAAGCCCATTTTGATTTGACCGTTTCTTGGGGTTTTCAACGTCAAAGCTGGTGGTTGTGTCCGTTTAAATGTCCACGGTGGTGACTTTGGCAAAATCACGCTGCTCGTTTCACCTTTTCCCTTTCAGAGCTGTTCAGACGCTTCGGGGTGTTTGTGGCTGGGTGCCCGCTTTCGGATCCACCCTATTTTGGAGAAGGAAGCGGTCCGTTGAGAGACAAACCCGCTTGTTAAACTCAAGGCACTTGTGGTTGGACCATTTTGGGCTTCGAAGCCAAACACGCTATTAAGGCCTTTAGGCTCTTTAGGCTATTTGCCCCTTTGCTTGGACCGCAGTTTCCTTGTTTTTGTTCAATTAAAAGTGTGTGTTTGCAACCGTCAAACAGCCGAGACCGGTGGGATGGACGACGTAGGTACTCTGCTTGCTGTTTGTTTTGGTTCAGCCACCGGCAACATGTGATGATATGTGATGTATATGTTGCCGAAGCAAGCGTCCGGTTGGCAGGAAAGATCGAGCAGCCATTATCTTCGCCTTTGCGGACCCGCTCGAACTCTAGCTTAGCAGCTTTTGTGGCGATTGCCAGCGTTGGCAAGGAGGCTTCAAAGGGTGAAAAAGGGTAGTGCCAAGCTCGAATCAGTCTGGAGGAGCCTACGAACCAGAGAAATCCTCCACTAGGACCCTCAATAACTGTCAAACAGTCCAAACATACCAAACATAGCCCAAACAAGGCCACTCAAGAAACCATTCGATCGCAGTTTGGGTGTCCTGATCAATCTGAAGTTGCCACTAGCACTTCTTGAAGTAGAATCTTAAAAGGACACGCAGGTGAGCACATCTGTGTCATTCTGTGTCAAAACCCGGGTCTCGTCCCTAAGCTTTGGGGTGGTTCGGAGCAGCTTTCAGGGATTTGGTTAGGGTTTCAGGGTACGGGGCTTTCGATGCCGCTCGGGCTTGTATCTTTGTTTGTGACATGCTGGGTTCCTTGGTTACAAAAAGTACCTAGGGACTATAACAAGCTCACTCCCTGAGTTCCTGAACTTCAGTAGTCCTTTTCGTTTCTTCCTTGGGAGGTGTTCCCTGCAAAATCCTCCCTCAAGAAAAGGTCTGCCGTTCCTGGCCTCAGGGGTTTTGGGAGTGCGCTTGTTGGACAATTATGTACATTTACTCGACATGGGTTTGCGAGTTTTCTTCAGGGTACTTTTTAGATGAACGGTTCAAAGGGGAACCAACCAGGACAAGGTCATTTTTATTGTTGACGCACATTGCCACATGTGTTTTACAAGTCCTGGAAAGAAAGTTGGAGTTACCCCCCCCTTTTGAGGGTTGTTTCAAGGCAAAGTGAAGCCTAGGAAAGGAACCCACATTAGCTTGCAGTGAGCAATTATGGGTGTCGACTTTCTTGAATGTAACCTGACCATTGAAGATTTCAGTTCGGAGCATAGGTGTCCTGTCTTGGTATAGGGTCCAATCTGGCTTAGATGGGTTTTATGCCCCATTTGGCAGGGAAACCCATATATTTGCCCAAAAGGTCAAATATGGTTTGTCGTGCTTAGCGAGCAACGATCTGTTGGCACCTGGAACCCTCGTAGCCAGCCGATTCATTTCCTCAGAGAACTTCCAAAGACGGCAGGCACGACCAAATATGAGGTGCCAGGATTCAAGGATTCATAAGACCCCGGTTGATTCACAATGGGGTGTGCGATTTGGAAGGGAATCTAAGTCATTTACGGGGGGGGATGCGGAGCCATACACATGTTGTATTCGTGCAAAAGGGTTTGAGGGGAACCCCCTCAAATGGCAGGTGTCCTTTGTCCCTAACTGACCCCCAGAAAGGCTCTAAAACTGGTTGCTTTCATCCCTTTAGGTTGTAGCAACTGATGACTGGTTGATGTGCCTCGCCATTTGCCATTTGCAGCCAGCCCAGAGCAGAAAACAAACACAACAAATAATAGCCAGGATCTCCTCATTCTACTACCGAACTTTCAACTTACGTTTCCCCAAGATCTCGCATGAGACCATGGCTGGTCATGCAAATGGGCAGACCAGAGTGGCCCGTGTCAGACTTCCGAACTTTGACAAAATGGTATAGCCTACAATTGTAGATTAAGCAGTTTGCTCAACCACAATCCCTGGTCAGCGAAACAACATGTGCATTCAAACAAATAATGCCGAATTCTGGTCAGCCAAAAAAGCAGGTTAAAGGTCAAACTCTGGTCCACCAAGCCGCAACCTGGGGTTGTGGTTGATTACTCGGGGTTTATCCAACCACTTCTGTGATACTTTTGGGACTCTCCCCCGTTATATAGGGGGTTGAACATCTTATTTCCCACAACCCTGGACCCGGTTGCAACGAGACAGGGTCCATCCTTGGTTAAACCGCCATGGCGGTTTCTCACTCGCTCCGACTTGGTCTACTTGCACTGGCAGGCGCGGCGTTTTTCTGGGAAGAAAGGAATGGACCAGCGTTTGTCTTCTTCTTCTCCTCATGTTCTTGCTTAACATGGGTCGATCGGGTACTTAGTAAAGGTCTGATTACAACCCACTTAGGGAGACTTGTCGCCATGGTAAGTGGGTTATAACTATAGTTATTACTTACTAAGTACAATGCCCCTTTAAGTGGAGTCTCCTTCTGATCCTTCAAAGAATTGGGTCATTGCCCAAAATTAAGAGTCGTGACCCCACTTCTTGTTTATAGTCAGAAGGAGACACCAGGTTTACAGTTTAGGGTTTGCTTCAAGTGAGGTTGTCAAACACAGATTCAACTCAAGTCCCGCCAATTTGAGGTACTTGGACCCTCTGAGTGGGAAGGCTTTTCCTTCAACCGGTATGTCGCGACGAGGCGGTGCTTTGTGGCCTCTACGAACCCAAAGAGGTGGTTTGTCCTTGGGCAACCGGTATGTCGCGACGAGGCGGCCTCTACGAACCCAAAGGAGGTGGTTTTGTTTCCGCCAGGAGGTTGCAACGCCAAAAGGCTCGTCGTAATTTTCTACAAACCTCCCATCTTGCAGAAGAAGGCAAACCCTAGCAACATGACCGACCCTACGCCCAGACTGACTGGTTTGTTCTGTCAGGTGCTAAACTGCATACAGAGTGTCCAGGTACCTTCCAAACGGTCGGGGCAAAAAGAGGGCCAAAGTGCATCCTGACCAGGTACCAAGGGACCACTTCAGCACTGATTTCTCCCCCCCCCATATTATGGGTATGCGTCAAAATGGGAGGCCCTCAAAATTGGGCGCAGGACAGCAACCTCATGGCAGCAAGAAAGTAACAGGAGATATTTGGCAATTGCGTTTGGATAGCATGGATTTCGGTGCAAGCTTCGATAGACACATTTGTCCTAGCAATTCCATGAGCAACGAAAGCGTCCTGGATGCAAAGGAGGTCACTAGAAGAGATGACAGGGCCCTTGATTACGCCATCCTGTGGGTCAGGTCCTCGAGCAGTATGTTGTCTCCTTTTGGCGTCCCTGTAAAAGCAACCCAGAACCTCAAAACACAAACAGCAACACACACCTGCTAGATTGCCACAGGCTCTGCTGGTATCTTCCTCTGCTGGAAGCGATATCTGGCCCAACGTGATCGAGCCATTGCGCGAGCCTTTCAGAAGCTCGGCCGCAACCCTTCCGACCCAGAAGTGTGGAAAGCCTCAAGTGCGACCTTTGCCTGGCTGAAGGCCAGGCAGGCGCCTTTTTTCTCCAACCATTGATCATTTCTATTGGGTCAACGTGCAACATCTTGAATATGCCTTGAAGATAAATTCACAGGAAACTACCTGGACCCCTTCAGCATGGGAAGTCACACCTGTGTCTTTTGGAAGGTACCGTTTGTTTGGCGTTAAAGCAAACTCCAGGCATTTAGGGCGTCCGATCCTTTAAAAATGGAGCCTGTCGGAAATATCCCAAAGAAACTTGGACTTGGGGATCCCCCTTTTGGTTTGAGGGGAACCCAAGGGACACCAAGCCCATCATGGGGGGGTCCGATTATATAAAAACAAAATGCGCCAAGCCCTCGGATCCCAAGACTTGAGACATAAGGTTCGTTGGCCCCAAAGGACCTCTTCTTGGCGTAGGGAAAGACACTGGTATCCTGGACCCGCAAAGGGCCGATCCCGATTTTTTTTCAGCCGAAATGACCCATAAAATAATTTGGGGTACAAAGGCAAACATCAGGAATCGGTGCTTTGGGGGTCCAGGATGAGAGCCCTCAGGTTCATGGGGTCGGTGAGGTTCTCAAGCTGGTGGTTGGGGAGCCAAGGAGCTGGGGGTATCCAAATTGGCATTTAGAGGGAGCTGAGGCAACATGGGGTTCGGCTCAAAATAGGGAAACACCCAAAAATGGCGCGTATTCTTTTGAGTTCTTTTTTTTACAGCTATCACACAAAGAGGTCCCAGTTTGGAGATACTCCAATGGTAGGGGCTGTGGGTTGGGCTTCGACCGAGTCGCAGGAAGATCAAGTCGATGAACAAGGCCATTGCACTGGTCGTGTCGGACGCGCGCAACGCGAGCTTCAGCAGGCGCAACCTTTCGAAGCGCCTTGGTGGAAGAGTGGAAGCGAGCGCGTGGTTTTGGCGCATGGCCAACAGGAGCCCCAAGGGTTGTATTCCGACCATGCAGATCCCATGGAAGCCTTCGGGTGGCTTGGGGGGTGGTTGCCCAGCTTGGGGTTCAGAACCCACAGAATGGCCCGAGGGGACCCAATTTAGATGGGTAACCCGGGGACCGCAGGTTTTCAGTCGACTTCTCCACTTACCAGGGTTCCATTGTGTATCTTGACCCACACCCAGATGACAATCCTGCACGGTGGTGAAGTACGAACCCAAGCGTTGCTTTAGTGGCCGGCAACTGAATCACAGGAAGACAACACGCCAACTTTGTCGCAGCTTTTGCACGACAAGAATCACAGTTGGCCGCCACTTTGGCCGCAGGTTTTGTGGCAAAGCCGACCTTTTGGCCGTCGTTTAGCCCCAGAAGGTTGGTATGGGGTGTGTTTTCTCGAGGGTATATACCCCTTTGCGGGTTGGTTCAACAGGAAACCAACAGGGCTACCTGGAAGCAGTCTCAGATGGTCCCAAACCTGGACCCAGGAAACTTTGGAGGGTCTCATTTTCACCTGGGTGTCTTCCCCAGAAGTGGTTCCCCTTTTTGTTTTTTGTTTTTGCTTTTTTGGGGTCCTTTTGTTTTCCACTAACCAGGCAAACAATATCATTTTTTGCTGGGGTCCTGATTCCATCCTAGGTACATGGTGCAGCGGGGGCTTTGCCCCAGCGAGGACCTGCTACGGGACGCCACTTTGTTGGTGAGTCTGCTAGAGGAGTCTCGCGGTCCACCGGCGAAGTTCGCGCGCCTCGCCAAGACGCCGCGATTTCAGCTGACGCGTCCGCGTTTTCGCTTTTGAGGGAGTTTGTGAAGGCGTGAGTGTGTTGTTTTTTAGGAGACCTCTCCCCCAAACAAGATGGCAGTTTGCCTTTTGGTTTCCCTTTAAAACCAGCCACAAAAAAGTTCCCCACAAAAGACACACACACACACCTCAATACCTCAGAGATGGGGGTTCTACCAGCACTTGAGATTAAGGTATCTTACTTCTGGGGTCTCCAACCTAACCCAGCAAGCCACATAGGAAACCAGCAATTGCCCTTTTGGTTTTATATCGCGTGGTTCCCTTGGTTACCTGCCTTTACCAGGTAAATGGAATCACGGGGCAAAACTATTCTATATTCTTGCTGGTGTTCAGCAGGGAATGCCCCAGGATGTTGGGAATGAACCTAGGGATTCCCTGAAAGGAAACCAATTCGGGGATGTTTTTGTTCTCGGGGTCATTCCATCTCTCATTGCCTGTCTATCGATCCGATCGCAAGTATGGAAGAGCAGACGCAATATAAACCAGATTCAGAAAGTCCGATTTTTCTTATGTGTGTGTGTGTGTCCAGATTTCGGAATGAATCCGATTGGTGAGGTATAGGTTTTAAGGTTGCCCAGGAATACTTAAAGCCTATTTGAATTCTCCTTTGACCTAAACACATGGCACTTCAGTTTAGATATATGACTCCATTCAAAAGTCATGGAGACTCCAAGTTTACCCAACCTGATGCACTGACCTGTGTGGGTGGTTTGGTCCGTGCTTAGTAAGACATGTCCTTTGAGCAAGTCTTGCTTCCGAGCCCAAACCAAGAAGACAACCACAATTTTGTCGGGGGGGGTCCTAAACTTAAACACCCAGATCCCAGTTTTGCCAACCTGGAGTCTCCATGACCCTGGAAAAATGGGTCAATGACCCCATTATTTTGGGTAAGGACCAACCATTTTTCAAGGGTCATGGAGACTCCAGGCACTGTCCGTCCTTTGGTTTGCAGTCAGGTTGCACTCCAAGGCGATCGCTCTGTGTTTGGTTGGCCTGACCGGTCGAAAGGCCCCTTAGACTATTCGGAAACAAATGACTTTTCCATTAAGCCCACAAAACCCCGTGATGTCATGTATACCTGTATAGAATGTCACCAACGCGTTAAAAATCAAATGAACAACGGCTGGTTTCCTACTCTAGTGGCTTGCCTAGTGAGGAGCAACCAGGCTTGTAAGGGATGTTGGGCCCGTTCGTGGCTTTGCTCACCTTTCGTGGCTCGGAAGGCATGAGCTGAAGCAAGCCGCCATCGACGCCGAGCATCTTCAGAGACTCTTTCCCGAGATCCAGGCAGGGCTCAAGCTGGGGAGGTGTTTTGAGCGGAAGCCTGGGAAACTGCACAGGGTTATCGAACGAGGCGATCAGGTACGTCAGGTAAGAGGTTAGCAAGCCTGGGGATACAACCCACTGAACAGCGACTTATGGCTTGGGTGGTTAGCTATAACGCTATAACCATGGCTATTACCCGCTTACTCAGTTCCCAGCCCCTTTCAGCAGGCTCAAGCTGGAGATGTGGGTTCGCTGAGCGAAAGGCATGGGAAGCCTGGAGTGGGTAGCCCTGATATGTACCCTTCGTATAGCCTTTATTCTATGGACCCATGTCTGCAGTCATTGCCATTTTGTGTGTTTTTGGTTGCAGGCTTGTCAGAACCAATCCAGATGTCCTGGTCATTTAAGCCATCAACGAGCGGTTCATAGTAGGGCCTGCTGTATAGGCATTCTGTGGATGGACGAAATCCTGCACCGCCTAAGAAGCCCTGCCATTATGATTCTCCTGCAAATTCCATCCAACAATGGCTGCCCATGGTTTCAAAGTGGTGCGAAACGGATTTCGTCCATCCACAGCATTGTGTTTGGCTTTTGACTCTGGATCGGCGTTGAATGTGGTGTATTCTGTGGGGTTGGTTGGGGATGGCGGTTCTATTTTGTTTACATGATTTCCCGTGTTGCCTGAACTTGGGTCCCTTGGTACCTTGCCTGGCATCTTCTCCAAAGCTGGCTCGCTAATTTACATTTTGGGGTAGACTAGTTCTGGAACAGAGGCAGAGCCCATGATTTTCTGTGCACCCTCTTTGTAAGCAAGTTGTGAGGATGTACCGAATGACCCCCTTTTGGCCCCCATGCTGTACATGTTCAGAAGGTACCCTTCAAAACCCCTGATTGTAAAGCGAACCCCTTGGATTGAGTTGCCAGCTACCATACCAACGGTTGGGTTCATATTGCACCATCAGTCTCTCCCTAAGGCTTACATCGGCTCCTTGCCATTCGTTTGATGGGCGTAGAACCGCCATTTTACTGTTCGGGATCATCCTCATCATCTAAATTGGGTCCCCTTGCGCCAATCTTTTGGGGGCTGAACCCTAGCATAAATTCCTTGCCACAATCTCAGGGCTGTCTTTTGGGCTTGCTGTCAAGTCCTTCAAATCCAACTCGTGTCCCCTCGGTTGCCAATCGGTGCATGGGCTTTGAACCCTAAGATGGTTTCCCCGACCCCCAAGCCACCTTTCATGGGGATGGCTGAGGTTTGAGCCGATGGGTTGACATCGCCCAATGCATGTGACCCGGGGGAAGGAAAAATAAAATAAACATAAAATAAAAAAAAGCACGACAAAACAAACAAAACAGAGGCTACACGCCCACTTTCACGAAATCAACATCTAGGCTCCGATGGCCCTCATGTTTCGGAAGGCCAGCTATGTCCAGCAGCCACTGGACTACGGCCGGAATAGCCGCTACGGGGATAACTGGCGCATCTCTTGCTACATGGTGGTCATGGAGAATTGGAAGCCCAAGATCATGCCGCACGAGCCGATGCTTCTTGCCCGTCTCTTAATTTTAAATCGACCTTGTGTAGGGGTCAACACTTGTTTTGTTGGGGGGGATACCATTTTGTCATAAATCTATATTTTGTTGATCTGCGAGATTTTTTTGTTGGCGGTGCATTTTGATTAGTCTGGCCTGAACCAGGTGAAACCAGAATTTACCTACTAGGTAATTACATTTCCCCCTACAATTTAAAGCCTTGGTGGCTCCCAGCCATCCCCTTAGCTTTTCAGCCTTTTAGTGTTTAGTGGTAGTTTCCATTTATCCCACTAAAAGTTGGTCACTTTTAGCGAGGGATCGGAAATCGGGCAGCCCAGATACAGAACCGCAAAAAGGACATTCCTCAAATCACTCTTTTGGGGGACCTTTGGATGTAGAAACTGACACATTTGTCACTCCAAGGGACGACGGGGGATGTGTTCGCTTCTGGGATGTTCAACCAAAATAGAGCAGGGCTCCTTAAAAGATACATTTTGCAACCATTTGAAACATGTTGCTTTTTCAACACCAAAGTAAAGGGAAACCACCATTTACAAGTTGCAATGTTCAGGTGTATGATGTAAGGATCCCGGCCTGTATAACCGTAGTTGCTGGAAAAACCGGGGTTTGTCCCCTTACCATGGTGGTAACCTGCTGACGTTGGTTGGACATCCAAGGAGCAGTCCATGAGAATGGTTGAGTTGCGGTTAAACGGGTCGTGCTACTCCAGCCATGGATTGCGGATGCTCAGCCCGAAGGTTTCCTTGACGTCTGAATTAGTCAACCAACATCCAGGTGTCTCACTTCCTGAGTTCCGTTTCAGACTTTAGTCACTTTTGTGAAGACCGGTGTAGTGGTAAATAGACAAGTGCAAACTGTTGTTTGGTGGCCATCCACTCGGGAAGCTAAGTAACCTTACCTCTTAAAAACACAACTTTTCAACTTTTTGGGTAACATGGGCTATATGTCTGTAAAAGATTAACTTCCCCAGGGCTTGGAGTTTTAAGGGGTAAGTAACTATAAGTTGGTTGAACTGGGGCAACTGGGGTTGGTCTTCTGAAACACCCGTGGTCATATCCCATGCTACCTCGACGTTGGCCACGAACATCCAAGTCCAACCACCCGACAACGCAGTTGGCAATGAACATCCAGTTGCCTCACGTCCGGAGTTCCTGGACGTTCGCTTCTTGGGTTTGCACCATTTCAGTGGTAAACAGAACAGCTCAATCTGTTTTTTGGTGGCCATTTGGCTCAGTGAGTTGAGGCTCCGGTGTCTGGGGGACACCATGCAGCACTGCGTGGCGCAGTTTGAGGCCTGGTACTGCACACTGAAAGGCTTCCGCCAGGGCAGCAAGCGCTTCTCCGTGATGAACGCCTTTGTGCCTCGGATTCAGTCATACCTGGAGCCTCCTTCTGACCACATTATTTTAGGGCTATTTGGTGTCCATTTCGCACCACTTTAAAACCATGACTGACACCATTGTTTGTGGGTACCTGGAGTCTCCATTAAAAATATGTAGGTTCTTGAAGATCCCTTGGTTCAGTGTTTGGAACTCCCATTTTCCCTGTTGGTTTTGAACGGAATCTATCACTATTGGAAATATTGTTTTTTTGTCGTTTTGCTTTTTTTCCCTGGGGACCTAAGCAAATGGAGGCTTGGGTGGTTGACTCACTCCCCGAGTTCCGTTTCGGAGTTTAGGCACTTTTTTGGTCTGGACCTTTCTTGTGGTAAACAACAGGTTTTCTAGGGCTTGATTCCCCTTTATTTCCAACCATCGTTCCTTCCAACAACCCGGGTTTTTTCAAGAAACCATCGTTCTTTCCAAGAAACTGGCCGTATTCCCTGGGTTTCAAAGGTGGTTTTCTAGAAGGATTCCCATCGTTCCTTCCAAAAACGGGTTTTTCAAAGGAGGTTTTCTAGGTTTAGAATGGAAATGGAAGCTACCCCTATTAGTAATAGATTTCTACATGGGTCCCGCCAAATCCAACCCCCCAAATCCCCATATTTATATAAGCACAAAATAGTGGGAGGAGTCAGAGGCACGCTTCAGGATTCTGATTGTCAGACATGCGCGCAATGCTGTCGCCGCTCTCTTGTGCTTGGTTTAGGGTTCAAGCCGAGTTTTTTGCCAATTTGCTATTTTGTGCTTATTAAAGCTTAATAAAGCTTATTAAAGTTTATTAAAGTTTATTTAAGCTTATTTTGTGCTTAATTTGTGCTTATTTTGCTGTTATTTTCTTATGTTGCCCTTATTTTGCCCTTATGTTGCCCTTATTTTGTGCTTATTTTCTTATGTTGCCCTTATTTTGCCCTTATGTTGCTCTTATTTTGCCCTTATTAAAGTTTAATAACTGTTGCAAAAATAACAAGGAGATAGGCTTAAATAATCTTTAATAAACTTTAATAACCTTTAATAACCTTTAATAACCTTTAATAAACTTTAATAAGGGCAAAATAGGAAGAACCTGTATAACCCCCTGAATCCCATGAAAATTGTGGATTTGGGGGGTGAATCTGGTGGGACCCCTTTAAAAATCTATATAGCCTATGGGTTTCGACTTTTCCTTCACCAATCTCGGGAAGTGAACTGATAGCTTCGCCGAGTTTTTGGTCAACCCTCGCAAAGAAGTCAACGAGCCGTTCAGTGGACTTTGTTTTTAGCGGGGTATAGCACAGGTGGCTAGGCCGAACATCCAAGAAGGGAATTCAAACTACTAAAGCAATGGCTGGGTTGACATAACCAGCATCTTTACCGTTCAGGAGTCTTCTCATCTACATAGTGTCCCCTTGGGCCATTCTGTTTATCGGGGGTACCTTCTTGGATTTTCGTTGCCAAATTAGCAATTGGTTCGGCACCTGTGTTACAACCCACCACGAGGTGAACTCCAGTTGGGGGAATTGATTCAGCAGGTCATTACTTAGGTTAACAAAATTGAAATTTGGCAACAAACACACCCAGTGCTTCCAGTTGCCTCCATGTGCGGAACCAGCTTGGTTACCTGCCATATTGGTAACTGTGAAAAAGAGGCCCGGAACCGTTAAAACCGTTAGACAGCAATCTGGTTCCCACTTTTTCGGGAACCAAGCCTGGTTCCCAAAAAAACAGTCGCCCACGGCCAGTTACTAGCTATACAGGTTACTAGGAGTCGCTGGGACACACAAGTAGGAAGTAGCTGGGTACGAGTCGGCTCCCGAGCATTTCTTGGAGCTTCCAGGTTGCAACCATTGGCCCCGAACAGATCGTTTTGCACGGGTCCCTTGACAATTTGCCAGGCAAAGGTCCTTGGAACGTAATTTGCAGGCATTGTTTTTCTTTGGCGCCGCCTTAGGTCACAAGGTACCGGCCAGTGCATGGGGAGGACGAGCTGCAAAAGCACATCGCCACTCGACGCACAAGAGCCACCTTTGTCTTCCATTTGCTGAAATGGCTGTGGCTCAAAAAAACGGTGCTAAAATGGAACCCTGGTAAGTGGAAACATGGACCAACACCTGCGTAACCCCTCCTGGTCAATTTTGAGCCACACCCAAATGAATATGTTGTTTTGTGTTCCCTTGTTGGTTTTAACAGGAACTTATCACTACTTGAAATACACCTTGTTTCCAGGGGTCTTAGCCAAATGGAAGTTGCCGTTCTGGGGTCGATGTTTCAACGCTCAGTTGGTTTCCCATGTTGGTCTATCTTTAGTCATGGCCCCAAAAGGTTAACCTCCTACTTCCAGGTGCTTTCGGAAGGAAGACGGGACATACAAGGCAAGTTGTTGTTCCCTCCAAATGTTGTGCAAGGCTAGTTTTCACCGCAATTGGCATTGCTTAAGATCTCGGCTTGTTTGTTTTGCAAACACCCTGCGAACTTCACACTCTTGGCCCCTGCAACTGGCCCAGGTTGTGAGCATGTTGTTTTGGATTCTTCAGCACAGTAGATCAACAAATGAACTTGGTTTGTCCCTAATTATTGCAAGGACAAGGTGACATACGCCTCAATCAAAACCTGGGTAGATGAAGGTTGGGGACAGTCCCACACAGAAAACACAAAACAGTCGCCGCTTTTGTATTTCCTTACATTCTGGGTCAACCTTTTTAATTCCGGGTGTTGATTGTGACTCACATGGGGAAGGAATTTCATCTTACACATGTCAGGTGGGAACCCACAACAACATGATCCTTGCTCATAACCCCTAGAACCCTCTGCACTGTGCAAAAAGGGGTTCCAGCCTCTGGTAGTAACATGTACGAGAACTGGCGGGTATTTGGGTTTGCCCCCAAATTGGGGAACCCTACAAACTTAGCGGTGTCCTTTCGGTGTTCAGTTTCCCGAAGATTTCAGCCACAATCAACAAGTGGGTGCCTTTTGTTCGCCCAAAAAAAAGAAGAAGTCCCAAAGAGGCTGGTGATGGGGAGATGGGAGCCGCTGAGCTGGGGGTGTCAACAAGTTTGCTCTATACGACCTAGCCCGGACAAAGCCAGCGATCGATCCGAGTTCTGGAACTCGGACATGGGTAAAGACTCGCCCCACCCATTTGGAGTTGTCCATCTGAAGAAGATGCTGCTATTTTTCCTTTGTTGGTTTTAACGGCAATCGATTTCACTGGACAATATGTTCTCATTTGTGCCAAGGGGACGCGAAACGGCAAATGGAAGCACAACCAGTTTGTGTTCAAGTGTATAGATATTCTCTTGTGGCTTTATGTGGCTTTGTACACAGAAGTGTATTGTGATACGGGGGGAGGTGTCTTTTGTTGGGAGTTTTGTCCAGGGACTCTAAACAAGACACCACCATGTTAGGGGGGGGTTCCTAAAAACACGACCAGAACACGTGAGCCACAATCAAAACCCGGGTAGACCCAACCATAAATAGCTGACGCCACCGGGAGACCCAAAACTGACCACTTTGCGCTCAACAGGCCTGGCTATAAGGTCGTTATGTCAACCATCATGTGAATAATGTATCTATATCTATCTATCTATATATATACGGCCACGGGTCAAAGCCCGGTTACCCCTGGTGAACATCCCAATCCAACCACCAAAAATGGGTGGTGAATTCACTGAATCCCCCTCCCATTGGTTTCGACCCACAGTCAAATGTCCCCACGCCGGTAAGCCACGTGAGTCATAATCAAACCCGGTATTAAAATGGTCGACCCAGAACCATGCTTCAAGAATTTTGAAGGAGCGCTGTTAGCCAACCTGCCTCCCGGTCTCCGCGTGGATTTCGCTCGCTATAGGACGGCGCCAACGTGGACGGCTCGGTGATCCTGGCACTGCCCACGGAGGAGCCCTTCGAGGGCGGGGCATTGCACGTTTGGGACGGCAAGCCCAAGCAGGACAGACGGCAAACCCGCAAACCCGTCGGGCGGGCTCCGGGGGTTTCGGTTTCGTGGGGTGGCGCGTGTTTTGTTTTGGGAGAGCCGAAAAGACGGGATTAAGCGGGTTTTTTCCTTGGTGCATGTTGCCAAGGGATGTTAGGACTTGAGATTGTTTGTTGCCAACTAATGCTTTTGTTTTCCGTATTAAACCACTAAAGGTGAACCTTTTAGCAGGGGAGCAGCAAGCAACCGAGTTTCATTCGTGGGTGGCTCGTGCTAACAAAAAAAGAGAACCACCGAAAAGACGGGTTTAAGTCGCTTCCGGAGTTTCTGTGTTTGAAGCCTTTGTGGGTCTGGACGGTTTTGTGGTGTTAAAATACATGACTTGTTTTGGCCTATCCAGGTGAGTGTTGGACGTCAAGAAATTAGGTTTTTCATGCTGGCTTCCCCTTAAAATTCGCTGAGCATGGGGCGCCCTCAACAAGCAAGACACTCATTTGGGTGTGTGTGTGTGTGCGCGTGTGTTCTGTTTTTGTGAGGGTACCCCTGTTCTTGGAGGTGGTAAAGGGAAACCCAAGGATGTCGGAGGTACCTTTTCGCTTTTAAGACTTACTCTTGTCTGGATCGTTGGGTGTCGTTGGCGAAAAACTGGTGGCGTGCAGGGTTGTTCCTGAGGGTTTATGCAAGTAACTGGTGAACTCATTTGGGAGCTTCCATTTGCTTAATAATATGTGTTTGGTTGCCCCTGGTTTGCTTTAAAGATATGTGATCGCCAATGACTGGACATGTTTACGGGACGTGTAAGCAAACGGAGGAAACGCGGAAACGCAAGAGCACGGAGCATTCCGAGCCCACCTTTCCCAAAGGGCCCAATTTAGCACCTCATATTCGTGGATTTGATTTGAATCTATATTTGACGAGCTCCCGATTCCGAACCAAACCCAACACCACAAATTTGGGACTTGCTGGGGTTAAGGCTTAATCATTTCCCCCCCCCTCCCTGACCAGACTGGCGCCTTTCAAACCCTTCTTGCGTTGGGGGGGGCTAAACCTCAAATTTTCCCCGCAAATGGCTTCCGCTTGGTTTCCCTAAGCCAACCAACAAATAATCGTGGTTCCCCATACCACTTGTTTGGTGGTTTTCAAGCGAAACCCAAAGGAAAGTCGCCATTTTGGGGGGGCGAAGCCCCTAAAACCGACCGCCCCATACGGTGTCCTTAGGTCAGTTTGCACATAGATGGATTGCTGGTTTCAGTTTGGCTCTATAGTCATTTTCCACTGCTGGTACACCCTGGTGGTTGAAGATTATGGGTGTCCGTTTTTGGACCCTGTTCATTCCGATTTGACAGGAAATGAAAAGGAAAAGCACCATCTTCAGGACATCCTCATGTGTGGTGATTGTTTTGCCAAGTTGGTTTAATTAGAGTTATGCTTGTATAATAGTAAAGCAAGTTGCACATTGTTTGGCTTGATCGCAGTGTTTTAGACATAGCATGCGACTACATTTGTTTGGAGACATTTACAGTTCTGGGACTAGATCAACTAGGTCCCCCAGATAGTTGCCCTTTCTCACCCATTTTTTTTGGGGGAGGGTTCCGCTGCCAAAAGCCTTATTTAAGCCTCTCTACTGGAGGACCTAGTCAAGTGTGAAGGTCACCTGCTTTGGCTTGAACAGGTCACCACGAGGGTAGAACACATGGTCTCAATGCTGTGACCAAATGGCGAGACCTTTTGAAAAGCAATGGCTTTTCCATTGTCTAAGGATCTTCTGGCTGGTGCTCCGTAGGGAATGTGCGAACAAATTCAAGGATTCCAACTCACTCCTTGAGCACCAGCAGCTGACATGAAACATTTTACATTTGTTTTTTTGTGGTTTTGTGGGAGACCCCGCTTGACTGCTGAAATTTATTTTTTTGCTCCCCTTCCAATGTTTACATCAAGAGCAAGTCTTCTACTCGTTCGGGCGGAGAAGATTGATCAGGAGCTGGTGTACCAGATGGCACCAGGCTCGCACGCGAGCTTGCCGGTCGTTTTTGGACCACCACGTGGTTCTTTACACGAATAAGCGTTTGGGTTGAGCGTTGTTTTTTGTGACAGAATCCTCCACTTCCTCAAATCCGCAGCTTATTTTTTTCTATCCAGGGACAGTTTGGGTCTAGGGGTTACTCCCTCCCTCTTTGCATAGTGTCAGTGTCGTGGTTTTCCGGTTCGGGTCATAGTTCGTTTGCATTGCAACAAAACCCTTCTGGTTTTGCCAGCAGTCCAGGGAGGGGACGTGTCGCAAGGCTGGTTGGGTCCCATGGTCCATTTCAGCCCGGCAGAAGGTTACAACAAGTCCTACTTAAACAGGGCTCCTTAAAAGAATGTCATTTTTTGCAAGCACTTGAAACATGGCTGGCTTTTTCAACACCAAAATAAAGTTGGACACCATTTACAAGTTGCAATGTTCAGGTGTAGAACGTAAGGATCCCTGTTAAAGGGGATCGATTCGGTACTTCGGGTAAGTGGTTAAGCGTGGTTATAAACCACTTGGGGAGACTTACAACCATATTTTGTAGGTTATAACCAGGCTTACGATCGACATAATAAGTGCAATGCTCCTTGAAGGAATGCCGACTCCTGACTGATAACCACTCAGCTCTAAATGAGGGTTAGAAGAAAGGAATTCCTGAAAGGGGACCCCCGCCTAGCATCTATGGGACAACAAGTTACTACTGTAGGTGTACACAAGTCCAATTTCAGAAGGTTACAACAAGTCATTATTGGGTTTGCCCCGGGGTTCAAACCACCATTAAACCAATGGTGGTTCACATAACCACCTTTTTTGTGCCCGAGGATTTTCATCCAAATTGTGTCAACTATTCTGTTGGGGGTTGAACCCTAGGGTTTATGTTACAGGTGTAAAGTCTTAACTTAGATCCGGATCTTTGTAGAACCAGCGGTCATCTCGGGTTTTGTTGGTGCTCCGAACGGGTCGGGATCCAGGTGACTGCATGTTCATGGACACCAAGATCTGGCACCAGGCGAAACCCATCTCCAAGGGTGCGCGCTGGGCACTGGTCCTTTTCCTAAAGCTGGAGAAGTGAGAGAAAAGGACTGGCTGCTTCTCAGGTGGCTGTGGGTCGATCCTATTTTGGGGTAGGTGAATTCACCACCCATTCTGGTCGGTTTTAGCCCTGGGTACACAGTTTTGACCCATGGCCAGGTGATCTCGCGGAATTTCGAGGGTGTTCCAAGGAAAGGGGGCCGTTTGGGCCGCTCCAGGGAGTCCACTGAGCCGGAGCTGGACGGGGATCTCGAGGTATCCCCAAGAGGGGGGGGTGTTCCAAGGAGGGCGTCTTTTAGGCCTCAAAGAACGTTGGGGGACCCTAAGCGCACCTTTGGGGCTTTCCACCACGTGGACGTGGTGCTCGGGCAAGTTGGTAATCAAGTTGTTGGTCACCTAGGTCATAACCCGCTTTGTATGTCTTCCCACGTAGAGTTATCCTTGTTATTACTGGGTTGTAGCGCAGGCGGCTCACCACTTACTAAAAGATCCAAGCAGGGAATGAGCGCCGGGGTGGGAATGAGCCGGAAGCGGATCACGGACCCACTGAAGAAAAATGAGGCAATCCAACAATACCCCTTCCGCAGGAATCAGCCAAGTGGCTGGGTGCGACGGTGCTTTGTTGCTGGGAGCCGTAAATGTGATCCGCGGAAGACACTTCAAAGTTGGAAGTTAGCTGTTGTGACTGTGTGCCGCCTTAAGTTCCCTTTTGGCAGCCCCCGTGTGATGTGTGCATCTACAATTCATGTTTACTAGCGGTTGATTCCACCCTTCCAACTACAAGCAAACCAAGCAAATAAAAAATAACCAAACAGACAGACAAGCAAACTAACTAGCTATGAAGCCAACTAACTAACATGTTTGCTTAGTGCTTATTCAGCATGGGAGGGGTCACCTCCTAGGAATTTCATGTGTTCAGTGACTTTGTGGACTCCTGCAGCCCCCGCTCGGTTTAGTTTTGTGTTTAGTTTCATTGTTCTTCCAGTGGTCTGAAGCAAATGGACACAACCCACTCGATCGGACTGAGCTGTGTAAGTGAAACGAGGAGGATTTTTTACGAGGCCTTGGACTTCTCGCTGATCCCGCCAGCCGTTTGGGCTTTCAGAACTTAGGGGTGTGGCCGGGGGCGCCTTTTTTTGCCGCCGCCCCCCGTTTGGCCTATTTGAAGGGGAAAACTAAACAACAGTAACAACTCGCTTGTCGCCTTTGTTCTTGGCCTGGGCAATGTGCCGTGCCAGCGTTTCATCTCTCACGCGACTTTTCCTTGGGATTCCGGTTTGACTGGTGCTGTTCTGACTAACCCAGAGGGCGCCAGTTGACGAATTCGCTTACTTCAAGCCCAAGACCGCAAGGCATGCAGTACGAAGGGACCCGCTAGGTTCGGCGATGTCACGTCAGAGTGACATCGTCTGATCCGAGGCCCCCAAGTTCCAGGGGTGCTTGGACCCCCTGAGGTTTTTGTTTCCCACATTTTCAGTGAGTTGGACTGATTGTGCGTATCAAAATCGGGTCCCCCCCAAAGGTGGTTATCTGGTTGGGTCCGAACCTGAAAAAGGTATCCTCAAACAAACACCGCCCAAAAGGATTCGTCGTGTTGGCTCTCTTGAAGCCAACCTAACGGTACAACCGCCAACCAGCAACAAACACACCTAAAGCATGTGTTTTAGTGTTGTCGGGTTTCGGGTTTTTTTGTTTGTTGTAGTTTCATTGAAATCTTCCTAACGGCAATTCAAAACACACAGTTGGATCCTATCGAACAAAGACTTAAGGCCACATGGCAAGATGGAAACACGCTGCCGCGGCATAGAGGCGCCTTGAGTCGACTCGGAGCACCGAAAGACGTGTTGTACTCCATGTTCAAGTGGGTGGGAAATCGTCCGGTTCAACTAATTTAGTCGTTTTGAGTTGGTTTAAAGGTTGGGTTCCGAATTTAGCCCACTAACGGTGAAACTTTCAGCACAAAAACTCAGGACAGCCCATGTTCGAGTTGGACATATTGTTTTTGGGTGGGGGGACCCTTTTTGAGGTTGGCTGAACTGGAAACCAAAGAGACAACCACAGCTTTCTTCGTCCGAAACATAAATAACTACCTGGAGTCTCCATGACCCTTGAAAAATGGGGTCATTACCTAACAAAATGGGGTCAAATTGACCCATTTTTAAAGGGTCATGGAAACTCCAGGTATATTTCCAGTAGCGGTCGATTCCCTTGTCACGGGTACCAGGCTTGAAAATAAGCTGTTCACTTTCAAACCGAAGCTACCGGTTAACTACTGGGTTCGTGGGAGCCGCCAAAAAGCCACACTGGGAGCCGTGTCAAGGAGGGACCCCCACGACTCCTGTTTGCGGTTCAGCAGTAATCTGTTTTTGATTTCCCCTGTTGGCTTCAAAAGGAATCGATTAATCTGCTTGTGACTTGGATTACTAGCAGCTTACTGACTCGGCCGAACGAACAATCAAGTAGGAAAACGATCTCACCAGAATGAAGGTCCTTTAGTTGGAGATCTCTTGTTTCACGTATTCCCATATATTGAAACTAGTCGTAACAACTTGCAGATGTGTGTTTCCCCATATTCAACCGCTCAAGGTGTGCCGTTTTGACAGGACGTGAGTTTTGACAGTACTTGAGGTTACCCCCTCACCCTTTGTCCAACAATCATGGACGTGGGCAGGACGCCCTCTGAAAATGATGCTAGCCTTCCCAAAATCAATGCACATTTCCATGACCCTTAGAGGGTAAGGAATGCTTGTGTGACCCTACTCGAGGTTTTGAAGATTGGAATCTGCGTGCAGTTCTTGTGTGGTGCTTAGCAATCGCTGTTGGTAGCCCCGGCAGTTCAGTGAGGTTCTACGAGCCCCTTTGTCATGAACCGCAGCAGGAAACATGCGAAACATGGCCATGAATTTAGCTAAGCAACCCCCAGGAAAGTGGTTGGTGGACATGAATCAGCACCTAAATGATGTCCACCACAGATTCCCTAATTTAAATTCATGGCCACATCCCTTTTTCCATGCATGGGCAACACCTAGCAAAAGTACCAACATGCACATTGCCAAAGCATAAAGTAAGTGGTTGTCTGGTGCAGTTGCGCTTTCTTTGTGGCTCATTGGGAATAGGGCTTCCTTATTTCGCTGGAAAACACCATATGTCATTCATTTGTTGGGTTCTCAAACATTGACAGAGACTAGGTTGTGGATAATTACCATGGCTTCCAGCCACCCCCCGTAGGTGTTTAGTTCTTCAGGGTCTAGTGGGGGGTGTCCAATTGACTCACTGAAAGTTAAACCTTAGCAGTTAAACTAGAAGTTCCAATACACCCACTAAAAGTTAAAAGCGTTGAGCAGGTGATCTGAGGACATCGCTGGGCGAACCTCGTGGGTTGGCCTTTTCCACACGCAACAAAGACCCCGGCTCGACTCGAAAGGCCCGGCGAACTGCTCGTGAAGGAGGGTCTCGACAGGTCACAGCCTCGGCTCAAACTTTTGAACTTTTCGAAAAACGCGAGCCGAAGACAAAGAGGAACGACACGACTCACCTCAATGATTCAATAATCCGTTTTTGTTGACTACCCCAAGGTAGACTTGAACCCAGGCGGTTCCCCTTTGGACAAAAAGGATAACCACGTCTTGAGTTCCTGGACTCAGTTGCCTTTTTGGATTGTTTTTTGTTCTATTGCCTTGCAGTACCTCCAGGGTCCCCTAAAGGGTTTTCTTCATCCTCAAGGGATCTTGAACCATATTTCCGCGTCTTGAGTTCCGTCTCGGATGTAATCGGAACTGGGGTCTGGACTTGTTTTTGAGGGCACCTGTTTTTAGCGTGGTTTAAAAGTAGAACCACGGGACAACACCTATTTTTGGTTTCCCCTACTCACTTCTTGAGTTCCTGGACCTTAGTCATTTTTTGGGTCTGGACCATTATAGTGGTAGATGAGAATTTCAGACCGGTTTTGCCAATCCACTCAGGAAGTGGGAAAACAATTGCCAGGCCACCATCAAAAGAATGGTTGGGTTCATATTGTGTACCGCTCTTTGTCATCTAATTTGGGTCAGGCCATCCTAAATCCTAGGGTGTCCTTGACTAGGTGCCCTTTTACCCTTTTTTGGGGGCAGGGCTCCCCTACTAAAATAGACTACAGAAAAAAAGGGTACCCTTATTCTAAAATCTCTACTGGAGGACCTAGTTAAACATTGAACATAGATAGGCTCACTGGCAGAGAACCAACTCAGGAACTCTTGGACTCTCCATGGTTGTTGTTGGGAAGCATTTTACATTTTTGCTTTTTGTGGTTTACTGGGAAACCCCCACTTAACTGCTAAATTTTATTTTTTTGCTCCCCTTCCAATGTCCACCAAGTCTCGGCCATCCGAAAGTCAACGGGGGAACGTCCCATTTCTCCGGGCCAAGGACCAGTTGCAACTCCTCGGTTCCCAGCTATCCGGTTCCAAAGACTTTTTTGGGTTTGGAGGACCAGTGTTGTAACTCCGGTTGTAGACTTTCAGCTTTGTTGGGTTCGGCGGTGATTTCCATCTAGCCCACTAAAAGTTCAACTTTTAGAGGACAGCCGAGCTAAACTGTGCGGCTAAAACGGTGATGGACTGATCTACCCTTAGGGCTTCCTGGGTGCCATTTGAGAGATGGCGTTGAAATTATTTTTTGGAATCCGGATCACTGGGTTCTAGTTACTTAGATCTGGCAACGAAAGGCTTAATTCATTCAGAAGCCAAAAGGGATGCTTTGCATGTTCCAGTCGGAAACCCACCCCTTAAAAAATGGAATTGGGGGATGGGGCATTTCGAGCCCTGGAGATCTCTATGGGCTCCATTTTCCTGACGGGGAATACTGACTCAATTGGGATTGGGGGCGACCCCCCAGCCCCTGCCACTCTAGGTAATTTTTAATATATGTCTGTGGCTCAAAAAACCGGTACCAAAATGGAACCCTGGTAAGTGGAAACATGGACCAAAACCCGCGTAACCCCTCGTGTTTAATTTTGATCCGCAGCCTAATATTATTAATCACCCAAGTTCTACCCGAGTATTTAT